ACATGCAACTATATCCACATTTTCTAGATCAAATCTCTGCCTAATCTCACCCTCAATGAGTAATCGCCATATGTGCTAATTTACATCCAGGTGGTACAACAACAATGACAAAAATAACTCAATAACTCATTTTACCAACTAGTGATACTGACGCAATCTTGAAACACTCAGATAAAAAAATTCACTTCTGTCCTTGACACAGCTTCTTTCTTTCTTAAACACACATTATCTCTTTTTCGACTCCCTGAAAAGCTCATTTTAGATCATTCATTGAAGCTTGTAATGCCGGTGAGACCGAATACTGTGTCTTTTATGCAAGTGTGTGATATTTTACAAATGTGTTCAAAAATACAATTTGAGCAAAGTTAAATTGGAAAAGATCCTTTGAAACAGAAAACAGATGCTTGAATTTGAATAACTGCTTATATTTAACTCTGATGTTTTGGTAAAAAGTTCTCACGGCAGTAAATGTCCTTTGAGTGTTTTTTGAAAATAAGGGCTGTTTGTCTCTACATGTTGGCCCCATAATGGACTGGTGACCTGCTCGGGGTGTTGCCTCTCAACTGGCTCCAGCCCCCAGTGACCCAGAATAAGCTTAATGGTAAACCTACTGCCTTAGGACATACTGGTGTCTCTTTAAAAGTTACTAACATCAGCAATGCTTAGTTGTGCTATTAGCAGGGCTGTAATGACAGAAATATGTAGCTGTCCACTGCTGGCCAATCCTTACACCTTCCCTCTGAGGATGTTAAAGGGACAAGATCATTTAAAATGTTTTGGTTTTGGATCAAATACCTACAAAGCTTTTTACCCTCTGGTAAGTCTCATCAGGAATGTACTTTGCATTTAACATGGTAACATTTATCTTCCCAGCTTTGCAGGCATGACTGTAACATTTACTTACTTACGCCTTACACCCCTGTTGGGGTATAGGCCGTCGACAAGGGACCTCCAGAGTACACGGTCACTGGCGTTCTTTTCTATCTGCGACCAGGTGCATCCCAGTCTCTTGGTGTCTGCGTGGAGATCTCGCCGCCAGGTGTTTTAGGCCGGCCTCTGTTTCTCTTCCCCTGAGGGTTCCAGGTCAGAGCCTGCCTGGTGGTGTTTGACTCTGGTTTGCGTAGTGTGTGCCCGAACCATCTCCATCTTCTTCGTTCAATTTTGTCTGCTGCTGGGAGTTGCTGTGTCTTCATCCAGAGATCGTTGTTGCTGATCTTGTTCGGCCAGTAGATTTTCAGGATTCTTCTGAGACATTTGTTTGTGAAGGTTTGTAGCTTGTGTATTGTGAGCTTAGTGGTTCTCCATAGAGCAAGACAGATTTAACGTTGGAGTGAAAGATTCTGATTTTTGTTTATTCCTGTATCTCTTTAGAGCGCCAGATGTTATGAGGAGTAAAAATGATGTTCTTGCCTTGCCTATTCTAGCTTTCACATCAGCATCCATACCACCTTGACTGCTGATGATACTCCCCAGGTAGGTGAAGGACTCTACTTCATCTAACATTGTGTCGCCTATATTGATTGGTTGTGTGCTGGTTGTGTTTATCCTCATGAATCCTCTGTAACATTTAGCTGACACTAAACTCTTTAGAACTACAGATATTACCATGGCCAAAGACTTATTCAAGCAAGAAGTAGCAAATTGTGAAAGCCAGAATGTGAGGTAGAAAGACTCTTATTCCGGCTCTGTGTAGTCCATCGTATTTCATCCTAGTACACAGGGGTCTGAACTCAGACTGAAGGATTTACACAAGGAAAAACAGCCATGCAAATAAGCGCAGCTGAAATTGCTCGAGTGCTGTAGGTTATGGTGTGTCAGAGTAATAATCCTGTTAGATATGTTCGCCAAGAACCCATGAATACAAAGAGGGTACTCGCTTTGATTTCATGTGTGGTGGGCGAACAGGAATATTCACCATTTGAAATTTCAGTATCTTAGACCTTGTCATTTTGGTCTAATTTGTCTCATTAAGTACAGTCACAGGCCTTTTATTTCTGCCAAGGGGTGCACTCTGCACTTGGAATATTGAGTCTCTTATTACACAAATTTTTATTATTTGGCTTTTCGTTGAAGTGGCTGGAGACTGACTGCGAAATGCCCTGAAATATATAGAGCCTCGCAAAGTTTTGTGTTGATTTCAGCAGTGTTTCATTTTGCATTTCAATGGCACTTCAATTTTCTTTTCCGTATCTACCGATTCCTTTTAAAGATGTTCCTTGAATTATCTGTCAGCGCTGAATAAGGAGAGTGGAACCTACTATTATTTCTTTTTGATGAGATGGAAAAAGTAACAAGAGGCTCTTAGTAATGCACAGTTTTCACAGGTTGTTCTTTGTTCGCTTTAATATCAGATCTTTAGCCTTACAAAAGGATATAAAAGGTGTAAGACCAAATGTGATTCAATGCAATTTAACTCACATAAGAGGCAGTTCTGCTGTCTAAAAGTCATTTAGCCACTCGACTTTAGACATCATGTCCTGCACATTTTACTTTATGCACAGAGAAGAAATGAGACACCCTCAAGTGACCCCACTCCACTACATACTGCCAGTGCTTAATTAGCTGCAGGAGGGGCGTTCCTGCTAAGATTAAAGAAGTACTTTTCCCCTCACTTCCTTAGCCTGTAAATAAACGCCTGGCATGTGAACTTCGATTGAAATGTTGATGTATTTAAAGTGAGAGTGCAGATACAGGAATGTTTATTATGAAACCGATCTGCTCAGCACAGTTATTGACTTTATGAAACAGGGACTCGTTTCTACACATCTTGAAGAGAATGTGTACCTGGATATCCTTAAGGGTATAATTTATCAGAATTTACCCTTTCATCTTGTTTTAACAAGACATTTAGAGAAAATTAGATGACAGTGTCATGGCAGCTTGGATGGCATAAAAACATGCAGAAATAGCCTGACTCTATCTTAAGCTTTAAATATTCATGTGCCAGCGCCTCTTGAGGATCACATTCAGAGATTATATCTTGTTTATTTGCTCAGTGTGATAGAAAAATGTACAAGATGACAACTTAACTTTAGCAACAAGTCTTGTCCTGGATAAAAAAGCAAACTGTTTTCACTGTTTCCAGTTTTCATGGCTAACTAACAGCCTCTGGTGCATCTACATTCAAAACAACTAGTCTTTTAAAGGCATGGGCTGTGTGAAATATGAATGCAGTTTCAGTAGCATCGTCCACTGGTTTCTGAAATGAAGGTATGAAGCCCAACAATGTTAATCACCATATTGGAATTTCTAACTCAACCAAACTTTTGGTCATCCTAGCAGGAGGCAGAAAAGCCAAGGTGGGTGAGGTGAGTCCTTGACACAGCCTGTGTAATAACTGGACATTGGTGATGTCCTTTATTTGTTTCTGAAACAGAGGTTTGAAGCCTATTGGCAGCAGTTGCTATATTGATAATGGTGACTCAACCTAATTGCAGTCAACCTACCTGAGGCAGTCATTTAACCTCCCGAGCAAATAGCCACAGTGTGCTTGCCTGTCAGTCAACTAAGCCGTGCCTGTGATTTGCTGATATTGTGACTTTAATAAATGGATGCCATGAGAGTCCTTTGCTATTCAGACCAAAACCATTGTCAACCAGTCTGTAAATATGTTTGTTTTTGCTTCAAAAACTTGCTTTTATGTCTAAGTGTAGCCGTAGTTTTCAGAGTTTCTGCAGCCAGAAGCATTTTCAATAAGGTTGCCACTTTTTTCTGGCCACCTGGCAAACAGCTACAGTGTGTCGGTAAGTCAAGTCAGCTGTGCCTCTAATTATGACTAATTATGCTAAACTTGTGGGTATGATATCTTCAAAACTAACAACCTATTAGAAAATGTGTCTAAACAGAGACAGGCTATTCAAATTAAAACCATCTTTTTGTTCCGGGCTACATGTTTATCCCCTCTGTAAGCATGAACATGTTGACCTGGCAAGTCATGGGGTCACCCATTTTTTTCTGAGCCAGTCAACTCACGAAACTGCATTTTTTAAGCACTCCGACAAAGGCTTGACTTTTCAATACTGAAGGTAAACCCTGGTGTTAGTTTTGGCCCAAGCCAGCAGCTAAGTCCCGGGAATGGTGACGTTGTTTGTCCAGTTGGTGCTTTCTCCAGTTTTGATTTACTCTGGACTAAAACATTTGGTAAGGGATTAGGTCTTGTGTAATCATCATGATCCCCAGAGAATGGTTTGTAATAGCCTGATCATTGACTGAATAATTTGGTTTATAATTTGGTACACGTCTCTGGGCTTTGTTTTTACTGATGTCTACCTTTTTATTTCTTATACACATTACAACAACAAGCCAGTGGGTTAATGAGAAACCAGGTATACATGATCATGGTTCTGTAGAGCATAGACCAGATTCAATCCTCATCTTATGCCATCATTTTAAGCCACAGTGTGAGTTTCTGCAGAATTGATGCTATTCCCACCGGCCTCCGTCTGTTCTGTCATTAAATGTTAGCTGACATGTCAAACTAAGACATGAACTTTGTAAGAACCATTTCTTTTCAATATCAACATGTTGGCTGAGCTTTTTCATGCTTGACCATGACCTCACTCAGTTGTGAGTGCTGCTGTACCTTTTTGTGCTTTATAAGGACGGTTTTGAGGCCAGGTATAACCTTCGAATCTTGAGGATGAATAAAGTGATTCATCTTTCTTTTATAAAATAAATTGATAGGACTGTGCATGCTCACAGGATGATAAATACCAAGGTGCTGCCAATGGATCACGTCTAATAAGGCATAAAGCAAAGAGTCATAAAAGTGTCTCTCCGCTCAAAGAGGAGAGACTACAGTATGCTCTGAAGCTGCCTTCATACTGCTGCTCCAAAGGAGAATTATTTATCTCCAGCTCTATTCCTGGGAGGATGCTGTTGACAGCATTTCATCTCACTGTCTGAATACCACATGCTTCCATTAGGGCAGGAATTGCAATATGATGTCTTTGCGAGAGGTTCAGCCATTGCGCTGCATTTAAAAGCCAAGAAAGCAGAAGTAATACTGAGGCAAAGAAAGAAAACATTTATTGTTTATGAATGTGGTGTCACACATGGTCCTGTAAGGAAAGAACAAGGGGGTGAGGTCTTGGTTTGAGGTCTCAGAGATGATCGTGCCTACCTCCCTCTTCTCTTTTGACAGGAAGCTGGACTTTGGATTTGCTCCCTTCGAGAACAATCAGCACATTCGTGTAAAAGCGATACATTGCATTTGCAAAAAGACAGTCTAACATTCCACATGACAACTAGGTTTTACATTTGTGATGCCCACTGTAGTTTATATTGTTATAAAAATGTACAGAATAACATTTTTGTGTCTCAGTGCAAAAGATATATATTTCAAAAGAATTTCAGAAAAGCCGTGCCCTTGATAAATGTCCCCCCGTGTCTCCCCCTGTTCTGTGCCCCACGCCATAAAATAACTGGCCTGTTTATAAGACCACCAATAAATAACCAACAGAAGCAGTTTACAGTCACCGTCAGATAGCAGCAGTGTTTCAGCTTTGACTTTAAATACATATTCACAAACACCAGTGTGTCACTGTACACCCACAATTCATCAGAACAACTTTAACTATAGATTATAATAATTACAGTTGTATTGATAGTAGTAACCATGACAATAACAACCAAAACAAACCGAAAGAAATCCAATGTGTTACATCTGCAGTAAAGTATTTACATTGCTTTTTCAAGTTCTGTGGCTTAGTTTCCCGTGTGTGAATTTCCCAAGTAAAAGAAGGCAATGAAGTGTCTGTAAGGTAAAAGGTGGAGCTGGGAGTTTATCAGCTGGTGCAGATGCTGTTGATGGAGATGATAGCGGGGTCCACCAGGCCCAGCTCTTCGTGCTCGTTCACACACAGCTGATAGCCACAGCCCCGCCTGCGCTTCAGCGGGGTCACCTTGGCGTCTGGTTTGGCGCGAGGCGGCAGCAAGAAGCCCACGCTCCCTGCGATCAGCATGTGCCAGATGCTGTGGATGTAGAAGTAGTTCTCCTCTGTCTCCACAAAAGCGTAGAGGGCCACAGCTGACGTGGCGATCATGGTGCCCGGGAAGAGGAAGAACACCCAACGCTTCCAGGTGGGAGGGTAGCAGCGCCGCCTGCGGATGGTGCGCACCGTCTGACAGGACAACAGACACAAAAAACAATGTTTTATAGTAAAACAGTCAACATCTTTAATTTATGTTGTCAAGGAAGTCAAATTTGGTGTTAATGACATTCAATGATCAGTTTTACACGTCCTTTAAAGTCACTAAGTTTTTAACAGGCTAAGAATCTCACATTTCTTAGCCTGTTGCCATCCCACCATCAGTGAGACGCTAGGTACCTTTACATGACACTCGAGAAAACCGAATTATTGCCTTACTCCTGTTAAGACCAGACAGCTGAAGTGCATGTGAAACACCCAAATCCGACTATTACCAGAGTTTGAGAACTCCAACTGGAGTCGAAGAATTCTGATTAAGACACCCAGATAATGTGATGGAATTCAATTTTCTCTACCATGTAACCAGCATAGTCACAGTATAATAGGACAATGCATGTTCGCGTGCACCACGCCCCCTGTAAACCCGGAACGAAAACACTAGAGGTACACCATGTACGACAAAAACAACTCTGTATGATGCTCCATCTTCTTGTTCAAAAATACCCAGCAGCAGTTGTAGTCACTTCTGATGTCTGGCACGCAACCTGCTGTTGTTGTTGGCAGTTGTATGGGGTCAGAAACAGCGCCACTGAAGAGACTCATATTCCCCTCTAGTTTTGGGGAGGAGGACACGTTGACGTCAATAATTCGATATTCTCAACTGCATGTGGACAAGGAGAGAAGTCTGATTCGGCGAAAAAAAAATGAATTATGAGCCTAGTTCGATCAAGCTGTGCATGTAAATAAAAACCCACTTCATGATAATAGCCTCATACAGGGGGTGCCTACACTACTAAGTTAAACCAGTGCCCCATGAGGAATAATTCTTACCAAAACAAATGACTTACAAAAGTCACTCTGTACATATTTAACAAAAACAAATTTTAAACAAGGCTGTAATCATGTTTCAAAGTAACAATAGACATTTCTAATAGGCTGTGACGGGATTTCTTTGGCTTCTAGAGCTTGCTTGTGTATCCAAGAGCTTTTGAGATAAATGTAGTTTCTACCATTTGCCAGAGGTCTTTTGTGTAACTAGGCAACAAATATGGTTTTAGTAGAGAAAACTTTGTTGGGTAATTGTTGGGCATTGTTGGGTAAACTTTAAATACCTGGTTGAGATTTGCAAAGAGTTAAAATGTCTTTGCATTTGTTTCTCCACATATTTTACTTTCAAACCCAGCCTCGGCTTCTATAAGAAATTACTAAAACATAATTTGCCATTCAATTTGAATTTCAATTTGTTCAGTAATTAGTCTCAAATTAAACCATTATTTCCGAGGAAACAATCAGAATCAATTTCGCTCTACAAAATTATTAAAGAGCGAAGGGTCCTGTCGAATTATGCGTTTTAATTTTATTTCTTTTGCAATTGATCCCAAAGACCTTCAGTTTTATGCTCTAATTTCCGTGATTCATTGTGATTACATGTCATGTAGAAACAGGATATTGAGGGGAGATCATACAGACAGCAGTCGTTCACACATGGAGACTGAAGAGATTTTAGTGAAGAAGCAGCAGGCGGCTTGCTGTGATCACAAGAACAGAGAGAGACGGGATTCTTCATAAATCCACTTTTATTGTCAGGTTTTTTTGCTCACACCGACTGCTGCAGCATAAAGTCTATCATGCTGATCATAATCAGCTGATAGATGCCTAAAATTGGGCCTCAGTGATTGGTCAGTGTCTGCTCTGGCTGTTTTGTTGTTTACGCTCATGTTGTGTTTGCCAGTTACTGGATATGATGTCTCCATTCGTTTAATAAAGACAGAGCTCATTTTTTCCTCTGTAAGTGGCCCACAGTTGCTGAATGTGTGGCAAAGTGAGACTTGGAAATTTCATTTCTTCCTAAACAGCGTTCAGAGAGTGCTTCATTATTTCATTCAGTCTCTGTTTTCATGGCTTCATAAACACTGATTGCCTGGATTATATTTTTCCCCCCTAAAAAACGCTCCCATAAAGCATCCGAGCTTCGTCAGGGGAGAAGTAAGCTGTTCATGAATGACAAAAATAATTATGTGTTTTCTAGCAGGAAAATAGCTCTGATTGAGTTATTACGCTGAATACATTTCGAGTTAAAGACTAATAATCTATGTGAAGCCAAGTGAGGAAAACATGAAATGTGTTTTTACTCTTCCAGTCCCTTCGGAGCTGCACTTTTCTCTGCTTAATACAAACAGTTTCTGACCGGGATTGTCTTTTTATGCATAAGTCAGGGACCTCATTTAGTTTGAAGACTCAGAGATAGTTGGCGTTGACGGATTTGAACTTCTGCCCCTTTTCTCACTGCTCACGACACCCCTGCAAAGTGGCAGGCGTTTCGTGCCCTCCCGCTTGACTGATCTAATTCGGTTGTGTCTGGGAACATCCAGAATGCCAGGCTTTGCAGAAACATGACACGCTGAAATGAAAAGGGCTCTTGTGGAGAACGCACAAAAGAAGAGTGAGGAGAGAATGCTGAGACGCAGACGTATGCTTCTGAACGGCTGATAGATCATGGAGGGTGAAGCAGTCAAAGCTTAAACCTGGGTTATGTTTAAGACTGTGGGCTCTATTTGGAAAAGTTGCAGTTTAGAGTTTACAACTGCGTCAAGATACTGTTTGGTGCGTCACCATATACAAAACTATAATATTTGCATTGTTTGTGTCACATTAGCCTGTCAGAAACTTGATATTAATTCCTGCCTTAAGCTGCAGCAGTACGAAATTGGATTTTAAAGATATTGTTACAGATCTGTGTTAATTCTTTGTAATTACATCAAAACAGTCTCCTTCCCAGAATAGTTGCTCAGACAAACAGATCATTTCAAGGGATATGACCCTAATCACGGACTCTAGAGGACTAAATGTTATTCAATTTATGAGTCACATTTATTAAGTTAAGTTGTTTATGGTGGGAAAAAGAAAAACAGACAAAAGAGAGGCAGAAGAGGTTTTAAAGAGAAACTGTAGAGTGTTACAGAGAAATCCACAAAACTGAAGCTGAAGCATAAAGAAAAAAATATGGAGCTGAATAAAGACTGATGGATAGATTCAGCCCTGCTCTCCCTGTCAGGGCTCATATCTGTGAGAACAGTCTGCTCACTATGCATTATCCCTTACATATAAGACTTTGCTGCTCCACTGTCCTAGTCCCTCAATAAAGGCACAAAAGCCTAAACCTTAACTTAAAAGGGGATGAAAAGTTTCTGGGGGGAGGTTCTTCAAAATCACAAACCTGAGGATCCCTGGAAATGAATCTAAGACAGTTTGTTACTTCGATAAGACAAGTGTGTAGTTTCAGGATTGGCATTTCAACAATGTTAAAGAGCAACTTGGAGTAATTTAACAGATTTAATAAGTTGGTTTTGTCCTGAGGAAAACTGAGGGTTTTAAAAATATCTGGTGGAGTCCAGTGGAGTTTGTGAAACAAAAATTTGTCAATGATTAACATAACCAAGAACTTGAGTGACTCTAATAAGAGATATCCACATGGTTGTTAAACTGATCATCTGTTTCACCTTAGTTTCCATTACACTACACATACGTTTCATTAACATTCAATTATATTGAATTGATGTGACAGAGCCACATTTGAAGTAATATGTAAGGTGTATTATAAGTGAAAAAGATATTAAAATGTCATGGAAGAATATACAGTACATGCATATAAGCCACAAGTCAGAAACAAGCCATCTATAATATGCTTCTATATGCCTCAAAGCCTGGGAAAAAAAAGATTATGTAAAGCTCCACATACACTCTCATTTGAAAGAAGAGTCAATGTGTACATGTGTCTTAAAGTGCTGTTGCTAGGCTTGAAATACACGTCTCCTCCATAGTAACAGACAATGTACCATCTCCTCCCTTTGTTGCTATAACGGGATGCTTTACATGGTGGAATTAAACATTTTCTCATCTGCCACACTTTCTCTACGATCCTCCAGCTTGCACAAAGATAATTCTCAGAGCCACTACACCCACTCTTTACTCAAAGCGAAGCCTTCTCCGAGGAAGCCACAAACCTTGTTTTCAAACTCATGTCCGTGGTTTGGTGTTAAAGGTTTATTTTTTTCCAAGAACCTAGCCTGAAAGACTATTATTTTTTATCTTCTCAGTTCAGGGAGCACATTATGACTGGGAGAAGAGTCAGTGAAAGTACAAGCTGACTTATAATGGAACTACAACCCATGACTAATACCCACAGGCTGCAAAACTTTTAAAGCCTCTTCCATGTTAATGTAAAATAGCTTTATTGGTCAGAAAGACACAGTTTTTAGCCATGCACATGTTTCAGCCCCATGTTCCAGCCTTGAGCTTAAACGATGGATTAAGTCCTTTTTACACTTAGTGGCAGGAGGAACAATGGAGGGGCAGCGCTGAGACGTTTCATCTGCATGTTTGAACAAGCTTGCTTATGAATGTTAAACACACATTATGTATTAAATTTAATTATCTTCATCCTGTCCTGACCAGGAGTTCAAACGCTGCAAGAATTAGCAATTTGAGTAAAAAGGGAATTAAATCTCTGAAATATGGGATTAAAGCTGAAATTGATATTTAACTTAATTAAATGCCTTCATTTTACTCTTGCTGTAACTCTGAATGTTAACGACTGAGGCTTGCAGAAATTATAGCAGAGTGTCCTTATTTTAGCTGTAAACTCGACTGGTCTTTTTTCACTTAGTATGTATGTTATCCTTACCCAGGCCACGGCCATGATGCCCAAAGCAAACAGACTGGGTCCCAGCAGGTTCCACAGACCGTGACGGTCAAGCTGCAGAGCCATGGACAGAGACATCGCCCCCAGCAGATACAGCACCTTGACAGGAAACACACAGATCAATAACAGCCCCCCATAAACACTGCTGACAGAGTTACTTCCACAGGAGACAAGAAGATATCTGTGTGGTCAAGACAGAAAAAAACATCCTCGCTTTGCTTAGGGGGGAAAAAACGCTGTGAAAATTGTCACAAAAAAAGAAAAATACCAACAAAAGCTTTGCAGATTCATAAAAAAACCTCTTTATTATACAAGCCACAGTTACTGCAGGTGGAACTATTTTACTTTCATTTTTTCTGCACCTGTGTCCTGTTTTTGGGGATTTAGGAGTCCTACTTTTCAGAACACACAGCTGCTGCATTCAAAGAGGAAACTCAACAAAAACAGGCAGGAAAAAAAGGTAGTCCTGGTACATAATAGAAAAGTGTTGTAAGGATGCAATTCAGACTGGTATGTTTGAAAAACCAACAGTAAAGAGAGGAGAAGTTGGCACATATTTTGTGTAGCTTTTAAAGAATAGTCGTCATGGAAATGCACTCTGAATTGTAGCTTGAATCTGTGAATAGGTTGATGGTGATTTTTAATGTAGACTGGCCAGAAAACTAGTTTTGGAAAATGTAAACTGCAAAAAGGAAATGTATTGACCATTTCAGAAGGGGATTTATTGTAGCTGCATAACCCATGCAGTGTTCAGTGTTACCCAGGTAACCATTGTATATTCTGTATCAAACAAACAGGGCAGTAGATGGAGAAAGAAACTGGAGGAGAGAGTGGACAATAATATTCAGCCACAGGGAACTGGACACAGGCCACCAGCTGAGAGGACTCTTGCCTCTGCACATAAGGTTAAACATCTACTTAGGTTATACCCTGGCTTTTGTGAGCATTTGTATGTTTCCCATTATAGAAGATGCATCTATAGGAATACATAGAGCAGGTCTGTGAGGCTAGAAAGTGCTGAGACTTTTAACACTCTGCCAAACTGTAAATTCTTGCCTTCACTGGATTGAAATGAAGAAACATCTTATTATACAAATATCAGTAAACATGAAGGCTGGCTCTAAACACAGTTTAAGTTTTTAGAAAAAGGTCATGGTCAGCTGTTATGAAGACGTTAAAGGAAAAACAGCCAGTTCAGAAAGTAGCTCTGTCCACTATTCAGTTAAAATTGGTGTCAAGTTGCTTATAGGGAGATATGATGTCTAAGTTTCGCTATAGTAAGGATTACAAACCACCAAGAGCAGAGGCCCTGGCTATAAATAAACCTACTTTAACTTTTTTTTTGTCAAGCTTACAATTTGACATAAAGCCACAGGATATAAAATAGATACAGGGAGAGTGAAAAAATCAATAAGCTGTGCTCCACATGCTCTGGGAGAACTTTTGGCTGTCTGGGATGCCTGAGGTCTGCATTCTTTAGTTTGGTGAGGAGCATGAGGAGGAATCGGGGATTTTTCAAGCGGAAAGGGATGACCCGTCTGCAGGAGAACACGACTAATTGGCACAGAGCAAGGAGGAGAGGGGCAGCGTGGTGCAGCCCGAGGACTCGGTGCAGCACCAGTCATCAGTCATACTGCACTGCTGGATCACACAGCAGCACCAACCATGCATGTATACATGCATTATAACGTGTATTATGCACCGGCTTGAATGCACGGATGCTCACAGGCAGGAGTAATACTGTAATGAATCATGTTCTGTCTTTGTGACGGACGAGCTGGTTGGAAAAAGTTGGGGGAAGTCTATTTTTATCTGACATATATTTCCAAGCCTAACAATATACAGTCCTATGGAATTATCCTGTATTCGGCACGGGTGGAGTACCGCATGCCTAATGCTTGTGCCGTAATAAGAGGGTTCACAAAGGATCTGCTGGGCTGAAATTCACTGAATATTTCAGATTATCTGAGTATGAAAGGTCATTCTTGACTTTGGGGAGAGTTTTCTTTAGGTTTTTGAGCAGAACTAGCTTTCAGAGCTAGTTTCATTCTTTGCTAATCATGTGCTCTACTATTGGAAAATAATTGCCTACTTGGCTTTACATGAGACTGCTGCTCTAATTTTCTGCATGCACTGTTGATACTTTGAGCCTCTGATCATTTGCTGAACCCACGTCCAACTAATTAACATGACTGTGTTACAAGATGCCTAATTAGAATATCAATGTTGCTGCTGCAGTGGAAAGTCATTTATTTATTTGGACTATAATGCTGAAATTAATAATAATAAAAAAAAAGGATAATCCCTGTGGTCATTTTTTAAACTAGTAAATGAATTAAATCTCTTCAAGTTGGAATAAACAACAACAACAACAACAACAACAACAAAAATCACTGGTACCATCTCACCTCTCTCAGCCCCTCCCACCAAATGATGTACCTAAATGCACACACATTTTACTGGGCTTGGGATCACTTTCAGGGGAACAACAGAAAGGCTGCCAGCTGATCAGCATAGTTATTATGATAGTTATGCACCCTGGTGTGGATGGCCCTTTTGCAGAACCTCTGCCTGCAGGCTGCTGACCAGTGGTTGCTGTTGAAGAGAAGGCATTAGGATGCTTCCCCACCAGTCTCCACTAGGAAAATTGCATATGAGAACTAAATGCGATATTTAAGAGTTATTGCATGATACTGGACTCTTGCTCATATCTGATATGCTTATATTTTTCAAATTTTTTTTAGCCAATACCTGATTTTCCATTTTGCTGGGATTTCCTTTCCCTATTCTGAGACACACTTAAGGCATGGACATCACTTTTAGTGTGACTTCAAAACACAAATGTACAGAATATGAGAACAGCCATTGATTTTTCTTTATTTTTTATGCACCTTCTTTTTGTTATCTCGACATTATGAATGTTTTTCCCTAATTATTATTAAGAACAGATTATTTTGCCAACCTCAATGTTAACTTTTAAAAAACACCCTCCAGGTTTGATATTTCTGAAATGCCGCAGCAACCATATTCAACAGCAAGCTGGGCTTTTCAATTCAAACGCTGACGTCACGCTCCACACGTGCATTACACTTTCAACGTGGGAACATTTAACTGCCATGCGTGAAACTTGAGAACAACAATTACAACGGCGGACACATTATTAATTAATTCGTTATCACGGGAAAACAATCTTTGTTATGTTGAGATAACGAGATAGTAAGTCGTTATCATGAGATAACAGTACTTAAAAAAAGAAAAAATCTCGTCTTCCGTAGCCATGGCACGCACATAATTAAAGAATTTCCCCCTTCTGGCCATTAATTTTCACATCTGCTAGTCCTGATTATAAACTTTTTCAGCCTTTATCTGCTAATACTGATATGCCAATAATATTGTGCGTCCCTGATTATGGGTTTGAAATATGCAGAAGATTTTATTACACAAATAAACAGAAAATAGATGGTGATTAAATTAGATAAGCTGCAATCAATCTGAGATAACAGATGTTCTACATTTCAATTTCAAGTCTAGACTGAACTGAGTTGTGCCCACATGTTTCTACTCAAGTTTGAGAGGTGATCTTGGCAGAAGGAAACCATTATCCAGTTTTAAATAAACTTTTATCTCGTAAGACGGCAGCATCACTGGGCACAATGTCTGAGGAGGAAAGTAATTAGCAGTCCTCCATACAAACAGATTTCCTCCTAACATAAAGCCAAAGTTTTTAATTAGTAAATAATAAAAATAATGCCCACAAGATGTGTTTTTGGAGACTTTTAAACCTTTGAAGGTGCAAAAGTTACAAACGTTCACACCCACGAACAGGTGCTGCTGGGTCCTTCACCCTTTACTGCTGCTGTGGTCATGGACACACACAAACAAACACACACAGACAAGCAAACACACACACATACGCAAAGATAAACAAGCAAACACTCACACTGCCTCTGTCTAGTACACAAAAACACACACATTTCCACTTGCCAGTCCTGACATGTGCGATTTGATTAGTGACTGCGTACTGCAGCGCTCAGCAAAAATGAAAAACTCTAGAGGACAGCAGATGTTCGTAGACTCCCTCCCTCCCCCTGCTCCACCCCCCTTCCCCCCTCCTTCCCTGCTCTCTGTCTCATTTATGGACATGAACACACACTCACTTACACACACACACTCCCTGAGACTGCTCTGTCTTGGTGCACAGCCAGGGAGTGACCCAGGGAGAAGGTGCACCTGTTAGTGTTTACTGCAATATGTCAACAACCAGAGAATCCAGCGCCTCATACCGCTTACTCCAACACATTGATTTTTTAATTTATAACTCAAATTGAGGCTTATGGCTGCACTCATTTTTAGCTCTTCCCCACAGCTCCACAGCTCCACAGCCTTTCCTCTCATTCTCTAAATCCCTCTTTGCTTCACGGCTTATCTCAAGTTGTCCACCAGCAGCATGGTGGAGCTCTCAGCTTAGGTTCAGCCGGACTGCAACACATAGCTGTGGACACGGGCTACGAAGATGGAGGCTTTTTAGCTGTCTGAGTCACAACTTAAAACAGGCCTGGAGTCGCTCACAGACACAACTGAGCATTACTACTTTGGCAAAAATAAAGGTGGCGCTCCGGGTTACTGTGACGGTCTTCTGAACAGAGTGGCTGGGGATGGTTGAGGCTGCATCACCAGGATACACTGGAATGTATAACAAGATAGACAGCATGACAGCTACTCAAGAGTGAAGCCAAACATGTGGAGCCAGTTCCCCTTGGTTGCTGCAGTACAGCCCGTTGCCTCCATGTAAACAGATGGAACATGGGTCAAACTTGGGATAGTCTGGCGTAAAATTAATTGAGGGTCAAAAACCGTAACACCAAGTTAGACACCCCCTTAGTTAGACATCCCCTTACTTACTTCTCTAGTTATACCAACTTTAGTAATGACTGCAGGATAGCAGTCTCAGGTTCTTCCTTGAGCTGCATCACCCCACAGCTCAAGGAAGAACATTTATGATCATTACTTTATCATTTCCTTTAAGTAATAATCATCACATTAATCATTTTGCACTGCAGACGTGGTAGTTCTTCTGCCTTAGCATCTTGGTCTGATTGCACTTCCACAAAGAAATGATCATAAATGTCCTTCATTGAGCGGCGTCCCCCCACAGCAGTCCCTAATGGATTGGCCCAAGGTCTTGCTACAAACAAGCGTCTGCTGGAAGAGAGTAGGTGAGTTGTGTTTAGTTTCTTTGCTAAGGAAATTAGGCAAAGTTAAAAAGATGTTTGGTGGCTAGTACTATGGCTGGGACCCTATATGTACTGTTGATGAAGTTAGGTGCTGTTCTAAGCATTATTTGTGGCTTTAGAGTGGCGTTTTGGTTGAGGTTTGTTTATGGCTCCTCAGACCGCTGTGTATTACTATCCTGCATTCGTTTCTAAAGTTGGTATAACTAGAGAAGCAAGCGGTCAGCAACATTCATCTCTCAAGGGGGGTGTCTAACTCGGTGTTACGGTGTGTTTGACCCTCAATTAATTTTACGTCGGAATATCCCTTTAACATAAAAATAGACGCATAATAAAATTTTCTCTGACATGCTTTCTGTCATTATTGTTCGTTCTCAAAAGGAACTCTGCAAAGAAATATTTAAAGATCTAAGTCTGGCTGAATCGCAGTAAAACAAACTCATGGTTGGACTAACAGAGTAAGTTTTTCTTTTATAAGAAATTTCCCAAAATATTTTCTTTTTTCTTTTTTTTGTCATGCATCAAAAATATATCTTTTAATCCAATAAGGTTGACATGTCTTTTGATGCAGTCTTTTTTGTGTGCCTATTTATGTCTGAGTGATTGACAGCTCATGGCAAATACTCTTCCTGCAGAATCCTGTACCAGAGTTGAAGTACAGAGGAGGAACCATGAAAGAACACACTAAACCTTGAACAGGAGGCATTGATGGTTAAATATGAGTTTTCAGCATCTGTTTCACAGGTGGCATGGTGTTAAAGTTCACCTCCATGTTGCATTGATATTGCAGACTAGACAACATAAAGTCTCATTACTACACACCAGGTGTTATGTTTTTAAAGAGAAAGTACCTGCACATATGGGAGCAAGGATTACAGAATTTTTGTTAAGTATTAACAGAACTTCAAAAAATAAGTGAATAACTTACAGACACTTGAAAGATTATGTTGATTAGAGGTTCTGAGTGTTGTTTTCCATTCATTTTTGATCAACAGCTTACCACTGAATGGCTCATGTGGTTACTTCCTTACACTGTACTTGGGCTGACTTTCATATAACTCATCTATTTTGAGTACATAAAAGCTCAGGAGGCTGAGGTCTTTTGGGGTGCGGGGGGCACTCCTGAAGATCTTCTATGACTCCGTGGTGGCCTCTGCCATTTTCTATAGAGTGGTCTGCTGGGGGAGCAGCATCACAGCAGCTGACAGAAGGAGGCTGGACAAACTCATAAAGAAGGCCAGCTCTGTCCTTAGATGCCCTCTGGAACCTGTGGAGGAGGTTGGGGAGGAGGATCACAGCCAAGCTGTCCTCCATGCTGGACAGTGACTCTCACCCCCTCCAACACACACACTCACTGCACTGAGGAGCTTCTTCAGGAACAGGATGCTCCACCCAAAGTGTGTGACGGAAAGGTATCGTAGGTCGTTACTTCCTGCAGCTGTCAGACTCCACAATAGGAACTTCAATGTGCAATAAATCCTGTTATCCTATTATCATGTAAATTCTGTATGGATGTAAATATGATGCATGTACATATCTTTTTTTAACTCAAAGTTTCTCTATCTTTTAATTTTTCTCTTTTTGTATCTATACTATGCTGCTGTAAATTTGGAATTTACCCTTGTGGGACGATTAAAGGAACATAAAGATCGTATTTTATTTTAAGAGTTGTGTTAAATTTAAATTGTTAAATAAAGAGTCATAACTGGTCTGATAGACAGGGGGGTATATTTTAGCTATTTGCCAGGAGGTTAAAAACCTGCTGCCGCTTCAGCTCTGCCAGTTTCTGGTTTAGCAAAGGTTAAGTTGAGTCAGACTTATTAGCATGTCGCAGGTACAACACTGGGTCATTAATAGCTGATGATAAAAGAGGTCATGAAGATACTTAGTGAACTTTAATCTTCTCCCAAGTTGTATTTTAATGAAAGTGTAGCCACAAGAAGCTATTTAAAATGCTCTTTTATGATTTTGAACCATAAACTGACACTGCTGCAGTGTGCCACATTAGGCTTACAAGACATAAGAAAAAATGCTCAACACTTGACAATAACTCAACAATAAGTGTGCTTATCAAAAGTATCTTAAAATACCCTGCCTGACTGCTAAAGCCGGCTTGTTCAACACAAAACTTGTATCTGTTACACGCCATTTCTGTTCACTACAAAATTATTCATGTCATATTGTCACAATCTCCGCTGAGGTGTTACCAATTTATCTGAGGGTGGCTGACAGCTAGCAGGGGCATCATGAGTGCACGGGTCATAAATCCTGTGCTCCATAAGATGGGTTGATGCTGACTGTGGATGCATGGCACCCGTACATTATTTTGCAGCTTAAATCAAAGCCATGTTTTTCTTGCACGCTCCTATCCTTATGATAAAAAATGTATCTGTTTATGTGCAGCTTTATCCACACAGAGGGACTTGAGCGGTAGGGAACAGATATGGAGCTCAATTAGTGCTCTGACAGTCAGACTTCCAGCACACTAATTATTAAGCTGCATCAGATGGTGCATTCAGGTTGTGTCATGTATAACAATGTGTTAAGAGAAGTTTATTTTTACATATACTGACATGTTCACAGCTTTGCAAGAGTAGCTCCAGGCCCCCATGCTCTGTCTTAACCTAATCCACAGGAATATTATTCAGCACTCTCAACTTCCAGCTTTAAAACATAAATGCAATGAGATTTTCATTTCCTGGGACAATTAGAAGCATATTAAAGATGGTTCGAACCTGTTTGATGATGGATTTAAGTCTGGCCATAGCGATGACAGTGACCCACACTGACATGAGAGAGCCGAGGAAGTCACAGAATTGCAGAACATCGTACTCCATGATGCAGAAGACCACAATACCCGGCTGGTCACATGCATGGTAGAACTGGAAGAGGGGAGGAGAAAGGCAAGGCTTAGACAAGACCAGGTCCAACTGATAAAAGACAAAGTCATATTTATTTCTGGTTTAGTTTAATTCAGTAAGGGAGTTGGTTTGGCTCATAGATGCAACACAAGGTCTTCATCTCACCCTCTTGTTACAGGTCATTCCTCCCTAACTCTCCTTCTGAAATCTCCTGGCTGCTCTATCGACTGGCAACACAATAGCCCAAGGAACTATTTGAAATGGCCAAAAATATCTTTTTGGAGTGATATTAATGTTTGCACATCTTTGTATCTTCTCTTACTTTTCTTAAATTGATGTTTTTATAGCAAAATGACAGTTAAATCATTTCCCCCACCTATTATCTTCAACCAAAAGACAAATATTAGATGTCTGGATTACCGTCAGTGGAACAGATTTCTGCCTTTGAAGGTTTTTCAGTCACTAAAAATACTACACACGGTTTGTTACAACTATCTGCAACAGTTTTATCTGCAGTGATAAAAACCATCAGATAAACAATAGAAATACGTGTTCTTCTGCCAGGAATACAGATCCACAGTACAGCTGTGCAGCGATCTATAAAGGTATGTGTGTTTGGATGTATTTTTCTGGCAAACACTGCATCCTGGCAGCTTTCAGTGAAAGTTGAGCCAGATTTTTTTTTTCTTTTTTTTTTCGCTGGATGACCCTGTGTTGTTTTGCTGAGTTTTCCTCAGCTGGCAACCTCGCTGCACCGACAGGCTGCCCCACTTTCACATGAATGAGGGAGCTGCTATTCTTCTGAAGTCAGACTGACTGCAGCTGTACAGGCTTGTTACAACAGAGTGCGTTTCCTTCCTCCTCCTAATTTCACATTTACAAAACCATTTCCCTCTAAATACTCAATTGTGTGATGTTTGCACCCACACTGGCTTGGTTGCTTTATGTTCCTTGGCATTGTTAGCACAATATGCACCTTTATGTGCCTAATCAGCCTATTAAAGAGGCAGGATCATGCACCCTGTCACTCCCTGCATACTCACAAGGATGAGGGTGCTTGAGAGCATTTGCACAAGTTCTTTTCTTAAACTTGTAATGTTAATAAAACCATCAGCTTTAAACATCAGCATCTGTCAGTAAATGAAATATCAGTTTAGCTAAGCTCCACATGAAGCCGTGCTGCAGCTGTTTGTTTGTGCTGGTGTGAGAACCAAAAATACTTTATAGGTCAACTCCTTTTTAGAGAAACATGCATCTCTCTGTTTGTGTGTCTGTCACTCACAGTGGAGAAGAACATGGTGAAGATGTAGACGGACGCCTCCAGCAGGTAGTGGCTCCGAATAGCGATGGCCACAGGAGGAACGAACATAAGGTTACTGAGACAGAGCAGCAGGGTGGACAGGAGCTGGAAGCTGTAGGAGTAGGCCTCTGAGTTGTCTGTGCATCCCCAGCCATCCCAGCCTAACACACACAAACACACACACATATTTGCACAGTCAGTAATGGACTCTAAGAAGGCCGACATCTGAGAGAAAGCCTCTGTCTCTGTGTTTGCAGGCTGTATAGGTTGGAGGAAACTTTGAGAGTCCATCTCTCATAAACTCCAAACAAACTTTCAGAAGCTCTTTAAAACCTTGTGACTGAGTGGATAAAAGCATCTCTAAGTCAGATGAATCAGGCTTTTTCAAAAGTTCAGCCTTTTTGAATTTACAATATGTCTTAAAATGGATTAAATATTTATCTCTGGACAAGATGAATGCTTTGCGAGTCTTTTCTTGTAAACACACATTTCACTGTGAAAAATAACCAAAAACAGATCTTTGTGAAGTTGTTTATCCTGCTCAATAAAGCCTGCTGGTGTGAACTCCATCCTCTGTTAAGACATCCCTGTTTCTCCACTTGAATTGGATCCTTATCAAGTGCTTCATTGGATGAGACAGGGTGCATTAGGTATTCGCGAGCACTGTAATACAGCAGGTTTGCAGTGTGAGACGGGCCAAGGGCAAACACTGAATGCAAAGTGCCTGCCAGGATGAAGTCACACATATGAAGTATGACAATGGATTTGAGTGAAGAGAAAGCGGCTCTGATAAAAGTAGATCAAAGTCAGGATTAAAAAAAGCCTCAGAGGATGAGCTTTGTTTAGTTCCATAAGCTCATCTTTTATGAAAAGCTGTTGGTAATTAAGAGGCGGTTTATTGTCTTATCCAAATGGCTTCTATTAGAGGATTAATACAAGGCTGCTGTAGGATTCATTGAGCTTCTATACATACACTTTAAAAATGACACTGACAGCTCAGGTCTGGAGGAGAACCTGCTCTCTCACCTTGCTCTCTTGCATTTTTTATGCCCCTGTGCTTATTTTTGGACAAATTAGAAATTCTTAGCAGCAGTAATGACCCAATTTCCTCTCAGAAACTTTAATCTTATCTTGCATGCAAAAGCTTTTGACTGCTCAAAGTCACTTCCAATTATTAATTCATTGTCACACTTTTAGTAATTATTAATCGCTTATTAATAATTAAGGCTTTGTTGTGTATAAACCCTATTTATCCAATTATGTCTCCAGTTTGAACAAACAGCTTGTCTTGTTTGTGAGTTGCTAGCTTCCATGAGCAGTATTTTGAATCTGAGTATAATTTCAAAGTAAAATGCAGTTACAGAAGACACATTTAGATCACCCAATCTAGAATAAATCCACTATTACTGTGTGTACAAACACAAATCAACTAATGAAGATGAAAAATTGACAGACCTTAAATTGAACAGTTACCTGCTTTGCATTCACATGCAGCATAAAGGTAGTTATTAGTGCGCAGAAGCTTGCACTGTCCATAGGTCCCACAGTCATTAATGCATGGAGTCAGGTATGCACGCATGTACACCTCTGCAGTGATATTGATGCAGGCTTCAAATCTGGAAAAGTCAAACACAGACAGAACACTGGATTGAACGAGCATCACTGTAGAACCACATTTTAAGAAGGATGCATTTAGAAATTTGCTGGTTTGCCGACTTATTTTTTCTGTACATAGTTGTTAAAGCTACAATAGAAGCATTGTTTTCCAAGATGGCCATTCAAGGCTGCAGTTCAGATGCAGAACTTTGGTCAAACAGACAATGTTTAACACGTGAAAGTAGTCTTAGTGACTTCTTAGATTGTTTTCTGAAGCGGTAGATTATTTAGATGCTGACTGAACTAAACTTTGATTCTACCCAGAAATAGACAAAGTGGCAGAGCTGAGGCAAAAAGTTGCAGTGCGCCCCCCTATCAGTAAACTCCCCATGCTCCTAATAATGCATATTTATGCAAAACCCTAAATCTAATATGACAGAGCTAAATTTATAACCTGCCATTTTCACATCTCCTTGTGTTTAACCTTTTTGTCAATGTAGATGAAGAAATAGCACCTGCAAATGTTCTTTCACATGATTTATTTGGCACCACGTGGTATAACAGCAGAAAATCTTACATAACTGTGCTGAAACTATATCTTTTTTTGTGTGTGCCATGCCACACACAAAGAATGAAACTCCAGGAGCTAACAAATATCTTTCTTCAACTTTTCCCTCCAGAGCTTTTATTCTAATTTTCACAGCTGTATGCTTCTTTATTTCTGAATTACAGCAGTCTCCTTAATTGACGCCTTGAAGAGTACCTTTCACACACGCTACCTTTTTTTCTCGTCAAACAAGACCTGATTGATTTAACACATGTGAAATGTGAGAGAATCTGACACATAGCCATGTCTGTGTTTTCCATATTTTCCTACCTCAGCAATGCTCTCATGTGAGGATGAGACTGTGTCCCACACCATCTGTTATTATTTGTTATTCCAATTCAATTGGGATTCCCATGAGGTCTGGGGAAAAAAATCTGCTTAATTTCATTCTGTTCACATTTTGGTGTGATTAGGGATTCTGCAAACAGCTCAATCTGCTGAATAGCTCATGAAAATTTTGAGATAAGCATTGCGTTGGACAACTTAATGGGCATGTCTTCTCCCCCTGATACATTTCTCACTATGACTCTTAACAAAGCTTAGATAAGGATGGTGTATCTGCTGGCTGGAAATAAAAGAGGATAAATTCTCACACATGAGAATAAATGAAAAATAACAGTCCCAACCTGTTTTACGATGACTTCCTTCTTGTACAAGCTGTTAAAACCAGTACAAAATGGAGCCAAAAGAAGGTTTTCTCAAAATAAAACTTCTGTTTGTGACGTTTAAGATGATGCATTATACTCATCCAAACAAATTCTGAGCACCAAGTAAAATATATGCAGTATGTAGGCTAGATTTTTAACTCTACAGGCTTTGTCCTATTTCATATTGGGCTTAATTGAATGCTTTTATCAACATTTTATAATATGCAAATGTAAGATGTGCAAAATCTGCTCCCTAAACCCCAAAATCTATCCCCCTCCCATGTCATATGCTAGGTGTGAACCAGAAACACATTTATGAAGCCAATTCTAAATTAATCTGGTGGCTGACAGATGGGAGGGGATGTGTCTGGATGAGGGAGACTGCTCTGTTTAAACAGAGAGCCTTCACTGCAGCACTAAATTATTAATTTTGGTAAACAAACTAGGGATTGTTATACATTGAGGACTTTTTTAGAAAAATATTGAATGTCCCATTTTGCAATTGTCTCGCTATAATTGACAGCAAATATTGACTCTGAGAGGTTGCTCTGGGGCACTGGGACCGAGCCAAAGACTTGATTATGAGACTGTCAAAAATTTATGAGCAACATTCATTCAGTTGGTTTTAGTGGATTTCTGCTTGTAAATGATGTTTCGGTCACTTCTTGAAAAATTTACATCCGTGACCCCCTGATTTATGAAATGGTTCAAGAGTTTTGGAGCTAAACTAATTATTTTTCTTGATGAGCACTACATGAGCAGATCTCTGTGGCTTTGTTGTCTGCATGCTAAATATCAGGCAAACTCCAAAAGCTGGCTGTATTGGATTAGCAGAGGAGCTGGACACAGGGAGACAGCCAGTCTGGCTCAAGCAGCAAACTCTGGTGTTGGGAAATGAAGCCAGTTAGGCGCAAAAAACTGCAGGTCCAAGGACATCCCATTAACACTCCCATTAAATTTCCATTTTTACAGCAAAATCAAACATTTACAGGCCAGTGCAAAAAACAATTTTGGTCAGAGTGATTCATTTAGTTATTCATGCACACTTGTGCATGTACAAATACTAAAGTTGTGCATCGATTTGGCTAATTAGGGGTGTGGCTGATATGACTAACAGGGGTGCTTTGTAGCTGTCTCCTAGGAGGCTCCAAAACCCATATCAGCTCCACCTCTTTGCCAATATCCAGCTTGAGTCATGAGTCAGGGTGGCATTTCCAGTATTGCGCCCACCATCCCTGCACTTCAAAAGCTCTCTTCACAAACCAATATGTTCGATCAGTTATACCATCTATCATCCTGTTCAGTCTAAAGGTGGCAAAAAAAATCTAAATTCAGTACAACTCAAATCTTGTGACTAATGGTGCGTTCCAGTAACCTCAGAAGTAAGACGTCAGAGCTGGGAATGACGTCACACCCAAGTTATCAGCGTTTCAGTCACAAAGTCAGAAAAAAGTAGCCAACATCCAAAAAACGGAAACAAGATGGCTACATCTATGAAAGTTATCCTTGTGCTTGAAATTTCAGAGTCGGAGCTCAGAAATTCTGACTTCCAAGTACAACTGGAACCATTATTTTTTACGAGAGACAGCAATGAAAAAATAATTAAACCAGTTAAAGTTCAAGAGTGGTGCAAAATGTGAGGGTTTAAGAAACCTTCAGAAACACAAAAAGCATCTCTTACCCGTGTTCTGTGGCACACAGAGAGCGCAGACTGAGGTACCAGGTGCCTGTTTGTGGGTAGGGGATCCTCAGTTTGGTGATGTTAGCAGAGGTGTTCACGGTTAGGAAAAACCCAGCCACTGACTCTGCAATAGAAAGCAACAATGATACATCAGTGGTGCCATTTTTTCCTTCATCTTTCCTATTTGACCCACGTCATCTGTTATCATAAAGAAAGCTGTGATTAGGATATGTACGGCTGCCAGCCTCTAAGGGGCACTCAAAGAGTCTTGGCTTCATTTTAACGAGCTGTTATCCATAATTTTATAGAGTCAATAGGTGGAACAGACACTTAAAATTGGAAGAGCTTTTTGATGCAAAGGCAGAAGCATGAACTGGAAAACCTAAGCTATTACAATAAATTTTCTAGTGTAAATTTTTGTTGGAAAGTTTTTGAAAAAGTGAAACTGTTTCGGTTGAAGAACAAACACAGACAAAAGTTCACAGCAGTTCAAACAGCAGGGCTGAAATAATTTGAAGTGTCATTTAAGGTGTAAAAGAAAAGGTAAGGTTGAAGTATCAAAGTGTTTAAAAGTTGTTATAGATTCTGTGGAAGTCTGACAGCTGAAGGGGATTTTTCAGCGGCATGTAGTAAAAAAAACTGTTGACCTTAATCTGTCAGTTGTGTAAGGATGTCTTGAAAGAAATCTGTGCAGGTTCAAGTTATTAGACTTAAAGATTTTGTCAGTTGGGGTGTGAGATGAAGTTTAAGCAAACATTTGGAGCCAGTTTTGTAGTATAGTCAAGGTTCTTGAAGTTAGAAGAGCTAAAAATGGGTTTATGTTGTCAAAAAGTGAAGATAACGTTACAGAAAAGGCACCTTCGAGTGCTTGCACTTTTCTTCGAGAACAATCTAAGGAGCCAGGAATGTTAAACTGGTGTATTTCTAAGAGTTGAGTTACCTGATTCACATTTCAGTGATGAGTTCTCCCGTAAGAAAAGAGGCATCCCGTGGTTCAGGCAGCCGAACACTGTGACATTAGCTCCTCTCAGCGTAGACTACAGGAGAAAACACAAGCAAATGTCATTCATTTATCCAGCCATCGACCATCTGCTGCCATCATACCGCAGAGCTAACACCGTCCATGATTACCGCGACTCATATTCCCCCTCAGCTTTGAGGTAGTAAACCTCAAAACTAACAAATCAAATGAAACTGCTCTCCCCCCTGTCTGCCTCGGGCACCTAATGAAGATGTTGGCAGTTTATCTCCTTAAAGCATCAATTATACATTAACACTCTCATACATTTAAAAAAATCCTGGCGAATTATTCAAGCGCTCGGAGCTGCATATGCTTATACAAATTAGCTCATTCTGCAGAGGGGTGAAAGGAGAGCACTACAGTCCAATTTGGTGTATCAGTAAAAGAAAAACAGGAGTACAAATAGGAGCCAAAAATGACTGCCAATGTTCAGAAAGCATCAGTGTGCACTCGGGCATCAAATTTGACACTTTCCAAACTTCCACTAATTTATTCAGAGTGTCTGTGTTTTCTGGGATTGAAGAGGAAGCACGGCAGAGTTTTTTTCCACAACTATTGCAAAAGGTGTCCAATTAAGTTACCTGGAACTGCCAGTCAAACACAGTAAAAGCCATTCTGTTTCAAACAACAGCTTTGCAGAACACAATGTAGCACACTGTGGTCATTTGCATCATGTCCAAAGGGTAATGTGCTTGGTACAGTGATAGCTTTAGGCAATTATTTCTTGAAGAAATAACACTTCTTCAACCCCTCCAGCACAGAATAAACATAATGTATATGTAGAAAGTTGGCAAAGTTGTTGATTAATGCAGTGACTCGACAAGCACTTTGCCAGGTGCTGAGATTTCAGGCTTCCTAAACTCACCATCTGGTCTGGTAGTCTCTCGGTAGTAAGACTCAATCACGCCCACTGGCATTTAAAGACATAGTCCCCTCCCTCAAACCGCCTCCACACTTTCCATCCTGATTCTCACTTGAAGACTGAGTGAGAAACACTTCTGGAGCGATTACGAGAAGGGCAAATCAGTCATAAAGTTAAAAAGCAGTGTCAGGGAAAGAGAAACTCTTCCTGTGCCAGTCCTCTGGTTCTGGTTGGCGACTCAAAGACCTTGCAGCTTGGATAGTCTACCAAATGAGGAGTTGGTTTGCCATGTGATAGTGAGAGTGGTGCAGGAGTTGAAGGGCTGCTTCTACATGGCGAAAATTAAAATCACAGTTATATTGATTGATTCTGGGATCACAATTTGACATCTGCACCACATACATTAAACTTTTTACTCTTTAAAACTTCAATAGTCTGAAATTTTTGAAAACACATCAATAAGTTTCAGAATACAGTATCATTTTTATTCTATCAGGGCGTTATCATTAAAGAAAGTCACTTATTTACCACTGAAAGGAACGGGAACCAAGTACAGCCATGGATTTTTCTTTTTTTATGCACTGCTATCTTGTGTAACAACTTATCTTGTTATCTCAATATAACAAAGTTCCTTTTCTCAAATAACTATTTGTGTTATCTCGACATAACAAAGATCGTTTTCTCACGATAACAGAAACAGCGTTTTAGCCAACCTAAATGGTAACTTTTAAAAATGCCCTCCAGATTTAGATATTTCTAAAATGCCTAAGGTCAGGTAAAAGTCACAATTTCCATTTCAACGATTCATTAAAATTTATCCAGAATACGTAACTATCACAGAGAAGTATGCATTTTAGATTTTAATGTGAACAGCATGGAAACCTCATCATTTACCTCAGAGTATTTTTCTGTCTTAAAAATTTCAGAAAGCTGGACACAAATCCCAAACTCCCTTGTAGCAATATTTAATGAGGAAAAAAATATCATTCACTTTCATAATTTTGTTTTTGTTAGTTAGTTGTTGTTTTTTTAAATGGTTGTATTTTGTGAAATGCAAAACATTGGCTGACCAATAATGTTTAGTAGTTTATTGTCTTCTTAAGATTAAAGATACGCATTCATGCATGTGCAGTTTTCATCCAGAGCTTCACATACTGTTACAGCTGATTTAGGTCAGATGTCCCTGGCTTTACAGTTTGATTACGCCCACTATACAGAGGTTAAAGTCCTGGATCCAGCATGATTAAGTGCATGTCATTTCTCTCCTTACATTTTTGGTCTCATTCTCTGTCAAACTGTTTAATCAATAAAGGCAAAAGGCCCCAAAAAAGATCTGAAGAGGTTGATTCAGGTCAGTTATCTAGCTCAAGAGACAATTCTATTATTACTTTGTACATAGGAGTTGTTTTATTAATGTCTTATTGCCCTACTTTGTGGATCACTGTGCCATGATCTGTTCATGCAAATACTCCAGCCCCGACATTCACAGCAGCTGTATTGTTATTGATGTTTCTTCGATACTGTCATATAAAGCCTGTACGCCTGAGTGAGTACTGCGTGATGAGACAGGAGGAAATAAATTCCCTCAAAGTCACTGTCCCTCCTCCTGGCCCAGTTACAGCTCAACAAAGTGACTCAAGACCTCTTTTTAGGACTTTATTGTGTTTTCCACTCGGTGTAATTGGCTGCCATCTTTTTGAAAACTGAGCCAAAAAAACAAAGAAATAAAATCTGGAAATATATTTTATTTTACCGTGCTTCAGAAACTCATTACTTTTTCCTCCTAGAGCACAGAAAATCTTATATGATAAGATCATCGTGCATGAGGAGGCACAGAGCGAGGGATACAGCCAAAAATATCAATATACCAACAAGAATAAATAAAAATGCCTTTTCTCACTTTAGCTGATATGCTAGGGGAATAAATAAAAGTGTGAAGAATATGATTTTATATGATTTCTCTCATGAAATCAGCACAATGGATGTAGCCTGGGAACAGTTTTACACCAATCCACCCAAAAATCCCCCAAAATGAGATTAACCGCAGCAGGAACATTGGGATCTTGAAATGGTTTACACAGATCAAAACTTGAGGCTTTGTCGTTCAAATTATGTGCAACTTATTAAGGAGGATTTGACAGGATGCCTTTCAAAAAATCCCTTTTGCTCCCTTCTACACAACGAATTAATGGATTAACATTATTCTAATGGTTGGAGACAAGCAACTGCAACATATATACCATAATGTATCTGCATAAAGGTGCACAAAAGCAAAAGTATACTGTATATAGCAAAATGATGTGAAAGCTTTAGTAAGGAACTCACAGTTGTTGTTTTTTTCCACTCACGGTGGACAAAGCAGTCACACTTGTCATGAGGCTCATTTTGCAAACAAAATAGTGTTTTGTCATGAAATCTTGATTGGTACTTACTTGCTTAAAACTTAAATGTGCCACTTTTAATGAGCATCTGTGTGCAACACGTAAAATCTGGCTGTTTGTGCAACTTAATATAACACACACCTACAGTGGGTGGTGGTAATTGGCATAGAGCTTTCTCAGTAAAGCAGCATCGGCGATAAATGTCATTTTGAGGAAAATCGATTAATTAATACTGTGCCAAAAATAAGCATATGTAAATGCTGTGTGAGTAGTTAAGGGTGCAAAAGGTTATTTACATTGGTTTACTTCCACTATAAAACAACAGGAGCTGAAGAGGCAGCAGCTAGCATTTCTTTACTGCTGTGTAGCTCCTACTACAGCCTGTATAATGTCAGAGGAGATGACCAATGAGAGTACTTACTTACAATAACAAAATAGTCCGTTTGCCAGTTTTGGAGTTTTTTGGAGTAAGTAATAAATAGAGGGAGTTTGTGGACAACATTAAGCAAAACATTATTTATGTGTGGGAGGAATCCCGAGGACGCCTGAGCATGATTTCTTGTCTATTCTCATGTGGAATGACACAACAGCCAATCAGAAGAGGGAAGCACAACAAATGAAGCCATGGCAATAAAAGTGGACTCAAAGCATAAACTTAGATGGACTTCGGTTTTATTCAACCCACATGTTGATACATGGCAACAACACGAGTGTTTGCACAGTGTATTCGGTAAAAAAATACTGATTCTGAAATGAAGGGGAGGCATTGAAAAGAAATTGTCATGGTTAGTTTTCATAGTCCAATGTGTTAACTGCAAGAGCTTTTACAAGGTTTCTAGTTCAGGACCCTGAAGAGAGTCTTCACATGTGTAGTGTACTATCACACCGCTGCATGCCACACACTCCTGGAACAAAAGAGGTCAAGTGTGAGCTCTCTGGTTAAGATTTTAAAAATCTTATCGTGTCTGCCAGGCTTCAGAGTTTTTTCCCTTATCCTTAAACACTATTTAATGATCTAGCTCAAAGACTCAATACTGTATCAATAAACGCCTTCAGCCTCAGCCTTCATTCTCTGTCTTTATCTATGCCCACATGCAAGGTGTCAATCACCACTTTGCCCCAGCAGGAAACCACAAATTGAGGATTTAAGATGCTCTCAAGATGAAAATCATTATTTTGCGATGTGTCCAAACCTTCTCACTTTTATCACTGAACTGTGCGTGTGCTGAAGATAACAGGAAATCTCTTTACTCAGTGTGTGTGGAGGTGAAATTAAGATCTTACTGATAAGTTTCTCATTGCAATCCGTCTTCCTGCTCTCATGTAATTCTCTCTGACCGGTCCTCTGCACTTTGCATCTTTGCCGTCCATTAACCTGCTTTTAGTACCTCACTGTTGTCAGGCCATTGTTGTTAATTTCATTCTTCCACCGCTCTCCTGTCGTATTGTGGCCCCATTTTAAATTAACGTCTGAAATTTTAATGTTAATTTTGTTTGGATTCTAATTTATTGCTTTTACTCAGAGAGCACTTTGTTACAATGTTGTGAATACTGCCGCATTAATCACGTTTAATATTGTGATTTATGTGCCTGATCCATTATGCAGCTGTTAGTCATGATTGTGAAACGTGAGTGGCAGAGGCATTCATCAATCAGGGGAGCGATCTTCCGGCAAACGATGCTCAAGGTTACCAACTGGAACAAACAACAGCAGACAAATATCAGGATAAACATCTCTTCGAAAGCAGAACAATAGCTCATTTTTAAGTTCTCGTCCTGGTTTTGAATGTGGAAAAAGTGTTTTTGTGGAGTGTTTTTGTGGTAAAAAAATTAAACATAATTTCAAAACAATCACAACAGGAAATCTACTTTAACTTTGAATGAAATGCTGCAAACTAAAACATAACTTTGGTGTCTTTGTTGTGTGCTTTGCTAGAATCCCCTGGAGTTATATCAACTACATGTGCCAGCAGGACACAATGCCAAGTAATGCAAAAACACAGAGTAGGCCGGCAGGAGCAGTTCACACAAACTGATGAAAATAAACCAGTCCATGATGAGTTCTAGTTTAGATATATTGCCTGTTATTGGTATTATGGTATGATATGAGTTCTGCTTCTGCACAAACATAAAGCTTCTCACTGAAGGGAAACATAAAAACATTAAAGTCTCCTGTCCTGTTTTAGTGTCAGTATGAACACTAACAAGTTTCTCATATTAGAGCCCCAAAGTGACATGAAACATGAATAAATAAGTAATTCCTGTAAATGCATATGAGATCAACAGACAGATTGGTGCACCGTCAGCAGTAAAGCGAGTAATAAAGAGAGTTGTTGTACGGAAAAGAGGGCGCTGGGCTGAAAAGCAAAGCTTTCTATTAATCTGCTGATCCACAAACCAACCTCCACCCCAGGGCATGAGCTTTTGGTGGTGATAGAAAGAATAAGTTGGCAAATTCTAGCTGTCCAAATGAGTTTCCTCCTCAGGGTGAGTAGGAGATTAGACACCAGGAAGGAACCAGCTGAGGTGGTTCAGGTGTCTGATTAGGATGCCTCAGGGGTGCCTTCGTTTTGAGGTTTTCCGGGCACGTCTACTTAGGTGAACCCTAAGGAAATCCTGAACACACCAGAGGGATCAGTCAATGTACTATATTGTTTATTCCTATTTTTAGACCCTTTGTTTTTTATTTATTGACTGACAAATATTTAATCCACATGGAGATAAGCGATGCTGTCATAAATAGAAAACTAACATGAATAAATGAACCCCTCAGAGTGAAGAGTCGCCGCTAGTCAATTACTCTGATTTATCATCTTTCTCTTTACATTTTTAAACAAACTTTAAGTTTGTGTCAATTTTGGCACCCCCTGTGGTCAGTGGAATAGCAGTTGGGTAGGGTTACCATACATCCTCTTTTACTTGGACATGTCCTCTTTTTGGGGGGCTGTCTGGGCTGTCCGGCTTTGTCCAGGGAAGTTTATAAAGCCCTTCAAATATCCGTGGTTTTGTACGTAAGTTTCGATTTTGTGTCACATGAACTTACTTAGAGGCACGTAAAAGACACTCGATCCGACCCAAAAAACTCTCATAATTAACTTCATCTGACTCTGTGACTCCTCCCCTGCGTAGTCATGTCCTCTTTTTGGGAAGCCGGAATATGGTCACCATACAGTTGGGTGGCCTATGAGGTTTTATAGGGGCATATGCTAACAGGCCATGCGATTGTGAGCAGTCAGTGAAAAGCCTTCACTGCTGTACGAAAGCTTTTCCAGAGAAACTTAATCACCTGTACCATCAAAACTAGAGGACAGAGTTCAGCTAATGTGATCGTATGATAATGTGTATAAATATTTGGCAATATTTGGCATTCAGAAAAATGCCATTTTATGAGGTGATGTCAATGTGGGACTTGTCATGTGACCTTCTTCTTCAGTACGGTCAAAGTAAACACTTGGTTATTGTTACGTTCATAAGTTAAGTTACATAGACAACCATTTATCTCTGTGTATGATTAACTCAGTGGGAAGAGACTTAATGCTGCAGAACTTATACTTACAAATGTAGAAAAATGTGCTGGCAAACACACAGAATTACTTTGGATAGGAAAGTGTCATTTAAATGCCACTATGTGAGACCAGTCTGTAATCACAGTAAGTAAAACAAGTGTAAATATAAAAGCTTACAAGGCAGCCACCGATACAGTGTCAGACTAGCACTCATCACAGAGCTTACACTGCCTCTCTCTGCATGAGCCCTACCTACAGAAAACTTAGAAAACTGGATCCAAAGCGATTAAAGTGATCCAGAGCCAGCTGAGGTATCGGTGCGGGTAAAAGCCATGCAAGTTCCTTTCACAATCTTTCACACAGAGTGATGCGAGGCAGACAAGCAGCTCCAGCTATTGTCTCCTAAAGCCCTGCAAATCTGCCACAGTCCCACACCAGCAGCGGCTGACTGGATTCTGCTCCTTTGACAAGCGAGTGACAGATCACCGCAGAGGGGGGAGAAATCTGTCCGTAGAATAATATAATATGACAGAATCTCAGTAGAATACATTTTGCCACTTGTATGACAATCACAAAGCACCGAGTTTCATCAAAATATGCTTTCTGTGACATATGCAGGATCCATCAAGTGAAATTACCAACTATATGCACCGATTATACTAATCAAACATGAGAAAATTATGGGAAAAAAAGAAAGGTTTGAAGAGAGGATCTTTCTGTGATTTTGGAGGCTCCGATAAGCTGTTGTGTTGCCACAGCAACCAAGCAATCCATCAATAAACCTTCAAATTAACTATAGTCAATTATTTCCATTTCCTTAAGAGTCAAATATTTGCTCTCCTCTTTGACATTTTGGGAAATTAGGCTGTTTACTATCCTTCCAGCGATGAGATGAGCAGATTGATTATCAATTTCAGCGGTGTGTGTTCAGGAGAGATGAGAAATGTGTTTAGCCCGGCTTATCACCGAGTCTCAAAGCAGGGACCTTCCTCTCTCTCTCCTGGATGTCGGAGTCTTATCCTGGTGTTGATCTGGATCATCTTCCCTGAGGAGATGCAACCTCCAGTTTTTCTCCCTTATTCTCTACACACATTACATGTTAATCCGCTCCCTCTCTCCCACTCTCCCTCTTTGTGTGTGTTTGTCTCTCAAACATGGACTTATAAAGGTTGATCACAGTCTCATTACCCATCGGTTTCTCTTGACATGTAATTAAACCCAAAAGTGGCGGCTACCTTTTATCTCATTAAGGGGGCAGAGTCAAGGTCAAAACCTCACAGCTACAAGGCATTACTCCTAACTAGAGGTGGACCGATAAGCTGATCAATTAGACTGATTAACAACATTTTTTACATGATCAGGATTGTATCAGTATTAGCCCTCACAAGGCCAATATCACTGTTATCTTTCCGAATGAAAAACACATTTTTCCCATCCCCAACGACAGCAGATCAAATTTAAAACAGCAACTTGCTGATGTTTAACCTAAATTCTGTCGTGATGTATAAAATCATACAGCCCAGTTTTGCTTCTAATAAGGCATGCCCTGCAATCTTTAACTCAACCCAATGAATTTGTTTTTCAGGCAACACTCTTGACCTCTTGACCGACTCGCCTCAAGTTGGAAATTGAGAAACTTGCAAATTTAAGCTCTTCTCTGTTGCGCTGCTGTTGATTTGGGCTCAGGTATTGACTGCATTCAGACACGGAGGATGGAGAGGGACTCAGACCTGTTCACTAATAGAGTGTTTTATTGTTTTTGTTGTACCTTTTCAAGCGAGGAAAGAGGAGTTCCACTTGTACTCGACGAGATGGACTTCAACTTCCTCTTGAACACTGGGTGCTTGACTCAGACTGAAGGTTTGGTGACTCAACTACAACGCTGCGACACTGGCTTCATTTTTGAACACCAGTAGTTGCTGCTTGATTCTTAAATCTGTGCCTTTGCTGTACTTTTCTTTCTTGGTTTTGTGTGACCTTTCCTCTTTTTAAATCTGGAACAGCTACATGTTTCTATAGTTTGTATTTCCACACCTCAGTAGCTTTAGTACCTTGTTTTGCTCTTGCTGTACTCACTTCAACAGAAAAGGGGTACCTTCTTTGTTAGTCCTCTGGGGTTTTGATAGTTTTTTTTCCCTGGTTAAATGCTTTCTTGGGGAGCCTTTGGTTATTTGAAACAAGGCTCTCAGGTTTGGTGTCTGCAGGCAACAGAGCCCACTGAGGCAAATTGGGATTTTGACCCAATCTGACTTGACAGGTAGAAACAGCACAGAAGCTTCATGAATACAGATCCAAACCAATCTTTTTTACATGTCAGGCAACAAATAACAGATATTTTTTAATAGCAATGAAACTGACAACACTATCTTTCCTTTTCCTATAAAATCTCCTCAGATAGTCAAATAACATTTATGTATGTATATAATTAAAGAGGAAGGCAAGATTCTCATTTTAGAAAGTGGGCCCCAGTTTGTTTTTGGTTTTTCCTGATTAATAAATCAACAGGAACTTAATGTGCATTGTAACCTGTGAAAAAAGCATTAAGATTTGCTGGAGTTTTATTAATCACTCATAAAATCTGTGGGCTGACTGCAGCTAAAGGGCTGCATAAAGCCTCTCCACAAGCAGACATGCACACTGGATCTCAATTTACAAGAATACCTCAGTTGGTATTTTGAATATATATAAAATACACGTTGCGGCAAACATTATACAAAATGTAAATAGGTCAATTCAAACTTCTGAGACTGAAGTCAACAAAACAATCCCACCACAAAGTCTGCTCAGGCGTTGTTTTGAAGCTTGTTGGAGGCAGAATATTTTTCCTCCTTTTTTTTTTTTTTTGTAGGCTAAAAATATCCCTGACCAATATGTTTTCTAGATGCAGAGAGATGAAACAGATATCAATCCAACTCCCACAGAGAGAGTGAAAAAAGCAGATTTCCAAAAAATGTCAGGATATTCCTTTGAACTGAACAATCAAAGACATTTGTTCGAATTTTACTCTTCATTCGGAGGTTGTTTCAACACTGGCGGGCTCGCTTTCTATCAGGAGCGAAACATTTAAAAGTCCATCTGCCAGCTCTTAGCTCTTCACTCTCTGGCTCCCTGTAGACCTCCTGCGCGGCTGCAGGTGCATATTAAAGCCATCAAAATCTGAAGGACAGCTTAACAAAGACGTTTCAAACCTTGCCTGGATGATTTCTGCATTTCTCCTGTTTTCAATTAGAAACAGACGTCACAAGCCCAAATACTGCCGCCTGTTTGATTGTGAACTTTTCCAGCTCCCACAGCAGAGCCACTGTCCATACAAACATCCGTATTAAGCAGGCCGGCTCAGACTGATACTTTGTGAGCCCAATTATTTACCCTTTGTAGCTAGAGCTTTCCTTTTGATTACTATTGCATATTTACTTACAGCACTCTCCTCCATACTAATTCACAATTTGAAACGCTCAAACATTTATTTTCCCAAGCACAGTGAAGACTTTTACTATAATCTTGCCTGAGCCGAAAATCTGAAACCAAATTTATACATGTAAAAAATGTAATATTTAATGTCTGACTCAATAACTGCTCTAAAAAAAACACTAAAACTGCAGAAACACTTTTCAGAAATTATGAGATAATGTCACAAAATTAGAGTTGCAAAGCTCTAAGCGGGTTTTTTAGGTCTGTAGCACCTCCGATCAGCTGAAACTTTTTACAATTTACGTATTTTCTCATCATTGTCATGTCCCAAACTCAAATATGCACATCCACCTTACAACTGTTTACACTTCATGCCCATATCATCTGACACCCAATAACCCAATCTCATTATAATTTAAAAAACCAAAATAAATGATATAATTAGGTCCTTCCTGTGATATTTAATACATGTATTAACAGATTATTTAAATTTTCCATAGGGACTTTTTACCTGGTTGTGACAAAGACTGGAATTGATTTTATGACTCTTTATGACCTCCAAATTTAGTTTAAGTAGTTTCAATGTGGTACATTTGAACACATGCAACCACTGCTACCAAATAGGTGTTGAATGATGTCAATGCCAGCACCCTGCTGCAACAACCCGTGTCACCATTCTTCTCAACAAAGAGTCAAAGTGAGTGATGTTTTGACGGTTTAAATAAAACAGGATGGGATTTTTCATCTGACAAAACTACTACTCATATACATGACAAGGAAAGCAAAGCTTTGAAATGAACTCCTTTGTGCACAAGGCTTTAAAATGTGCAGACGCACACACCCGCTTCTTTAAGGGGCACCTTTTTTTGCAGGTAAGAAGACTTCAGTTTGATCAGACATACGAGTGGGTGGGAAGAGAATTTTCAGCTCTTTGCCCCAGATTGCAGAGATGATGGAGTAAGATGATAGAGGGTGATGGTGACATTTTCTTGTGAGATGGCAGTAGAGTGAGAAAGCTTATCCTGTGTGTGTGTGTGTGTGTGTGTGTGTGTGTGTGTTTAGTTGTATATGCGTCTGTAAATGTGCCACCCACTATCACTGCTTATATAAACTTAATTAAAGCTCTTGTGGGGAGTTTTTTTTACCTTAATTGAATAGACTGAAATTCATGTTGATGCCTTTTCATTATATCCAAAACCAAACACGACCATCAGCAACAAGACTGAAGATTTTTTGTTTAATTTGTAATGCCTGAAAGTGTTTCGAGGGGGGTAGGTGTCTGCTGCATTTTACAATTTCAACATAAAATACTCACAATAAACAACACATTTGACTATTGACTGTTGAACATCTGACCCTTTTCCACAGGGGGCGCCAAAATGGACACAAACTAAAAGTTCCTTTAGGGTGGTCAGTAAAATTGAAAAAGCCCAACTTGGAAAATGCAAAACAATGGCAATGTTTAACAGAGATTTGATCCCACATGTTTCTTTTATGTGTCACATGGGATCATTTTGATAATGTCTGATCAGTTGGCCTATTGTGTATCAGAAAAGTGGTGTGTACCTAGAGCAACTCACCATGTTGAGCTTGAGTTCCATGTTAAGGACTCCTCCGCTGTCTAAAACAGGCATCAGATTGATGGCGAACACGGCAGCTCTGTCCGGTGGAATCGATATATTGGGACCAAAGAAGACGTAGAAGTGTACAGAGAAGGTGTCCAGCTCATTGCGAAGAGTCGGACGGATCGGCCAGCATCTATTGGTGTCAGCTGTGGGAGGGAGGTACACGATGCTGTCCTCTGAGGTGTGCAGGTGACTGTCATTCTGGGACGGACCGGGCATGGGGGCCATCGACATGGTGTCAGAGAGGGAGAATCCCATCGCCGTGCCAAATGACTGGGGCATGTTCATTGATGAGCTGAGCTGGGCTTGGTCCTTTGACAGATTGGACTTTGAGCAATCTAGTCAGAGGAGAAGGAAATTATATTAAAAAGAAGTGAATACATTTTGGTGGGTTGTAGCAGATTAGCTTAAAAATTCAACTATTACTGTAGAACCAAACAACTCACACCAGCTGTTTTACTTCCATTATTAGAAACCGCGTCTACTGCAAATGTTTGAAATGATCCCCCTCGGCTGGCTCCCTCAGTGTAAACAGCAAGGTTTCAGCACTGTACACTGCTTTTTAATGAGACAAAGATCCACAATAATAGCAAACAGTGTGCTTTCACTCAGTACAAAGCAACTCACTGCAAAATGGTCATTGATGGCAACTGGCAAAGTACCATCAAATACCGCCAATCCCCGAAGGGAAAGGATTTCAAAGGCTTTTCTAGCTCGGCATCGTTTGCATAGTGTTGTCTCTGAAAGGGTTTGAAGTATTTTGATGTCCGCTCAGACAGCTGAAGCACTCCTAAAAATACTGAAACACAAAATAAAGCTGGCTCGCTGCAGAGTAACTTTGGTAGAGACAAAAAAGTCTAAAATCAGTGAAGACTAAAAAATATACGTTTCATAACATACAGGAGAGAGATATCTGTCTTTTGCTTTCATATACCATGACACATAAGTCTTTTTGATGTCCACTGATCTATTTAGAGCGAGACACCTGCTGTGAAAATACTGTAAACAACAATAATAAATAATAAAGTGCAACCTAGTTTCCCCGCTTCTTCTCTGGCTGCCGCAGTGATACCTTTAGATTAGACCAAATTCAAATAAAGGCCCAGATCACGGAGACGGCTCATATTAACAAGAGCCAATAAGAAGAGGTGAGGACGCCAGATGGTCTCTGAACCTGAGGTGTTCTTCAATTTAAATCCACAAAAGGTCAAGTAAGATCAGCCTGGCAGGCAAGGGAGGTAGAAAGAGAGTGTGAATAATTAGTGTCTGAGTTGCCATGGTGACAAAGTGCACTGTATAGTGTCCGACAGAGGGAGGGGCTCGCTACATGGGAGTAGACTTCCCGCAGATTTGTGAGCCTTCCCTGTGGAGTGGGCATAAAAAACATTTCAGCTTTCCACAACCTCCAAACAGCATGCAGCACTTAAGAGTGGCATCAGCAGCCTCTGAGGAGCCCTGAACGCATCGCCTCAGTTTGGGCACCGCTCTCTTTATATGAACAAGCCTCTAAATGGACTGACAGTGTGTGGCCTCCCTTCTATCATCTAACGCATGTCTAAAATTCAATTTCTGCCTCACATAACGGTGAGAAGCGTGAGAATCTTGGAGACGCTTTCAGGAGACAGTTGGAGGTTTTAGCTTTAGAGAAAACCTCATTCTTAGAGAGCACCTGTGCCACTTGAAAGCCAAAATCCTTTTACACTTGGCCTGTATAATTTTGGATACTGGATATGCTTATCTTGCAGTGATGTACTTCAGCTTTTTTTGGGGGACTTATTTACAATTCACCGAATTTACAACAATTATGAACACCCTGGTATCCTTTAAATGCAACAGCAAAAGCAGCAAGAAGCAAAATTATGGACCATGCTGGACGCAAACAGGCTGTGGTGATAAGAGAAAAGAACAAGAACCCATAAATCATTGAACAATTTTATCTAGTTTTATAAATTGATAAAATACACCTATTTAAGAAATCAGCTGCACATCACAGTGTGAAACTCTTACAGGACTCATGAATAACACACATCTCTTTAAATGCAGCACTTAACTCAAGCCAGCTGAAACTAGATTTAACATAAATCTATTAATTATCCATATGATCATGTTTTTTTCTTTTCATTTGAAGACTTTCAGAGATAAAATGTGCAAGGGAGGACAGGTATTTCCTTTTTCCCAGCATTGATGGATAAAGTTATTGCGATTATGTGATTTTCAGGACTTAATAACTGGTAAAGCCTGATTAAATGCAATCAGGCTTTATTTAAAGATGCATAATGTTATCTGCATCAGCTGATAAAACCTCGAAGAGTTAATTACATGTATCAGCAGACGTGAACATTTCTGCTTTGCATGGCTGATAAGGTGACACACTGATAGTGCACACGTGTTGACTGCAGCAACACCAACATGCAGGTTAAAAGGAAGTACTTAAACGTGTCAGAAACAGATGATCAACTAGATATCTGTGATTTTTTTGGACCACAGGTGATTGGAAGGAGAGCTAAGTATCCCTCCTGTAACTCTACCAAACTGCATGAGTATCTCAAGAACTGTCATTTTGAACAGCATCTGAAGTTTCTGGATGTAAGAACAAAAGACGGCTGGTACCAGCGTGAAAAGCTGCCTGCAGCTTCTACTTCAATCATTCAACAAAGACAAGAAGAAACCAGTCAAAGTTAAAGGAGCTTAACAAGAAAACCACCAAATCAGTGCTCTAGTTAACCAGCCTTTCAGCGCCGTGACGCCATGTGCTGGCATCTGCAGGCTAATGATGTACTTAGGTCAGCATCAGCACCAGCCAAAATGAGTTTGAAAATATCAACATATCGGCATCCCTAAAATAAATTGTCCTATTTCTTAATGCACAGAGGAGCAGCTTAACTAAAGGACTGCACAGTTTCCCACTAAAGCTGCACAAATGAGGCAAATGGGAGCAACATAATTACCTGCACAGGGTGAAATTCTAATGTGACTGTGCTTCCAAGCAAAGCAAACAGCATAATGTTGCAGAGCATTCACAAGTTTTCCTCCTTTCGACCAGAAAAGAAAAAGGTCATGTTAACAAACACCACAGCTAATAGCCAAACATCCCCTGAGTGTTGGCAGTGACTAAAATACATTTATAGGAGCTGCCATGCTCAGACCTTCATTGATCACTGCTGCAGTAATTGTAGTGATTCATACTTTGCCATATGGATAATTACAACAACAAGGCAAATTGCACCAAACTGCAAAACTTTTTACACTTGCATATGATGGGACACCTTTAAAAAAAGTGTCTGATGTGAACTCTGTTTGCATAATTCATGGTGCAATCAGCAGCTGCTGTTTATGCTTTGTGTATTCCTCCCTCAGGGTCTTTGATGTCATCACTTTTTCTACTTTGTGACCTGAAGCTAATGGTGGCCGATGTGAAATAAAGTCCATATTGAACACTGTGTGATTACTTTATCTTTTCTCTTTGATTCAGCTGCTGCTACTCTTTGTTTTATTTACTCTTTAGTAACTTCAATGCTGCTATTTGAATGTTACATATGCTTGATTGGATTCATTTGGTTTGCAAACGACTGAAATAAACAACAGATAATGGAAGATCACAGTCTGCACGAGCAGACCAACACTGTAAGATCAATTCTATGACATTTCAAAGGTGTTTTGATTTTGTCTTTTTTGTAACACTTTATTTGACGCCTATCTCTATAACGCATTATAAACATATTTATAATGCGTTATAATCACGGTATCACACTGTATGACTATCGTTATAAACACTCATAAATGATCATAATGCTTTATAGAAATAATCATAAACACATTTTAAAGCATTTTATCATGACTTACAAGGTCAGGTATTATAATGTGTTAACAGCAGTTGCATTGCATTATCTATGTGGGCATCGTCAGTGAGTTGTTAACAGTTATAACACATTATTACACCTGACCTTGTAAGTCAGGATAAAATGCTTTATAATGTGTTATGATTATTGCTATAAATTATGATCATTGATGAGTGTTATAATACATTCTAAATATATTTATAATGCGTTATAGAGACAGGCGTCAAATAAAGTGTTACCATCTTGTTCATTCCTCTTTTTCGGATCAAATCTCTGTTGGTTTTTCAAAATGGCCCCTTTTAATTCTTCAGCCTGCGAAAACTGACTCCAACACTTGTTAAAAGAACAAGTGTTGGAGTGGATACACATCACACTCTGCCTGTGAAACAAACTCACCTGTGACCTGCACCCCGATGCGGAAGTAGACATTGGAGTTACTGAGATATCTCTCCACCAGGATGTAGTACCATTGTTCCCAGGCAGGTACAAGGGTATCTAATTCACAAGGGTTCCACTCCCTGCAGTCGAGGGCACTTGAGTTATGCACCGGAGGCGCCCGGGCTCTTATCTTCAACACCACGGGACAACTCTCACTACTCTTGTTCCTGGTGCTGCAGTTTACCAGCTGAACCTTCACCTTCGATATATAATTGGGGATGAACACTCTGCACAAGCACACACACAGATAAAAACACACACAAAGACATGTGTTAGAAGCAGTAATAATTGCAGCCTGGGCTACACAGAGCATGAAAGAGTTACAGGGGATTGTAGTTCAGGTGTATTTAAGGTTATTGTATAAAAACAGGATTAAAAAGCCCAATAATTGGTCCTCTAGAAGGATATCTTTGCTTTTATCCTATGTTTCTGAATGTATAAACTACTTTTACTGTAATGTAGTTCCTACTCTGCTGTTTTTGAAGCAGGTAGATATTAGCCATTACTGTAGCTTCATAACTAATATGTAGAAGTATCGTTAAATATAATGGTCTCACTTCTTCTCTGCCCTTAATATTAATTCTGGTACTCCACATGAACTTGTATTTTAAATAAATAAAATACAGACATATAGATACGCAGCAGAGACTAAAAACTCATCACCGGACTTATTTTAGATGTAAAGAAACTAATACCTAAATAATACCTTTTTCTTGAATAAGAGAGTTTCAAAAGAACGTGATCAAAAGAACAGAGACCTTGAAGAGTTCAGACTTCTTTTGCTCATAGTACTGTGGTGACTTTCAGAGAAGAAAGTTAATAAAGGTGCACAGACCAGGAGCACACACTTGAAAAATTGCATCCTTTTTAGAATGAAAATCTGTGGTTAGCTTATGAAGAAGACTTGGGCAAAATCATATCTTAAGAGGTCAGTGAGTGGGCGAGGAGGTAGATTGCGCAAAAATTAAAGTTTATTTTTCTCACCAAAAAAAAAAAAGAGTGTAATTTCAAAGCCAACCCACCCTGACATTTGGATTTTGAAAGCACAGGCACACTTACTTATAAAGTGCAGATCTGTTATGGGCAGGGATCATCTGGTCGATGAAGTATCCAGGATAAAGCACCGAAATCCCGATCAGCCTCTGGACGATGAGCTGAGGCTGGAACAGATACTGGCATTCCTCGGACAGACCCTGCATGGATAACACAGCAGGGGTTCAGATGGTACTTTAGTGGTTAACTCAGCAATATTTCTTAAAAGCCGGTAAGGAGGAGATTAGATATCATGCAGACTGGCTGAAAATCCCTAATGGGCTGTGTGCATAAAGCCTGTCGCCCTGCTGGATTAATATCACTCTGTCCTCACTCTGACTGCCACACAGCGTAACATGCACCCACTATTTCACTGGTGTTGTTCTGAACCATTAATGCTTGATGTGCATTACTCTGTGAGATGAGCCGAGGAGAAGGACCGACTGAGAGGCAGAAGGCCGTGAATTGTTCCTGCGCATGATCTGCTGTAGGATTTGTTTTAAAAGGAGCCGGGGCTTTTGCACCTGATTCAAAAGGACAGGTGTGAATGCCAAATGAGCCCCTTCATTTCTGTCAAACAGTCCCCAACCCATCCTGCTCCAGGCACAATTACTGTGACATGTGGCATTAGTCTGGGAGCTGCTGAGGTGACCCTTTGATTTATTACAGCCTGTCAGTTGGACCTGCACATGCGTCATGTAGAGCAAATTAGGTTTTAATTAACGTGCAGCCAGTATGGGATTTCGAAGGCCAATGTTTTCACATTATAACTGCAGACAGCTTTTGATGACGTTCAGTGGCTTTAAATTTAACAATCTTTATACCAGGAAAGATATAGGCATTAATTTACTTCCCCCAGAATTTCAGTCTTGGCAGGATGTTTAAGCCTCTGAAAATCTATTTAGGCTACAGAGCACTAAAACTCCCCATTGAAACCCTGACTAATTGCTTTATTTAGCTCTTTCAGACTGAATGACGCTCTGAGAAAATGTAATTTTCAGGAAATCTCTGGGGTGTACAATAAGTTTCTGTTTTATTAGTTATACCTGAACAATCTAATGCAATCCACTGCAACAGCACTGAAATGAGCGCAACCTGTGAAAGCTCCTGTTCAGTGTTATTGAACTCTTTAGTCATCTTTGAGTCTGTAATTAGGACTCCTACAATGAGTGTGTGTTGTATATTCAATACTTCCATTTACACTTTAATGAGACGAACCTGAATACCACTTTATTTTCTTTAAAGCTTCATTTTATGATATTTGCAGGATTATATAAAATGGAATTAGATTAATGTGTATTTTAAGTTACTCTGGGCTTTTTCACCTTTATTAGTTGGGACAGCTGAAGAGAGGCAGGAGAGACAGCTGAACTTCGACGAAAAGGTCGAGGCTAAAAGTCAAACCAGCAACCGCTGAAGCGAGGTTTGCAGCCTCAGTGAGTACACTGAGAGTTTGCTTTACCCACTGATCCAAACCTGCTCATGTGTATTTTCTGAGCCTATTTAGTGCGTTTGGTTTTATGTGACTAAGTTTATTTTAAAGAGGGAACATTTAAAATCATTCATTCTGTGTTAAAGGATTCATAATTGTTGTGTTTCTGATGAGAACTGATGCTAATTTACACATTACAGTTGACTTCCTGGGCACTACCAAGGTGCCTTTGAGCAAGTCATGAACCATCAACTTCTTCCATCTGTTTGCAGTCCACTCACTCTGACTTCTCTCCATTAATGCATGCTCATAGGGTCCTGTTTGTGCATGTGCATGCGTGTGTATTCGAGCCTATGGGTGTGTAGCGTTATTTAGTGTCAGAGTAGAGAAGTTGAGTTTCAACCCCTCAGGGTTTTATAAAGTACATTTATGAATAACGAAATTATTATATAAGAACAGGTCAAAACTACATTTCAGTGTTAGAAAAGTGATGCATAGTAACTTCGCCTGCTGCCAATGAAGTTGTAGACATATCTATAACCACTGTTGTTTCATACAACCTGACGATTCTTGCGTTTTAAGATTTTTTTACAGATAAACTGGCTAAGATTAAGACCCAAAATGTGATCCTTTCAACCTGCTTCTTCCACATTGTGACACATGCTCTAGTCTTGCCCTCATCTTTATGGTCTTTAGCGTTCATGGTTTAAGACTTTCTCAAAAATATGTGGTACTCCACTGATTTCATTGTCTGGTGCTGGTCCAGAGAACATTTCTCTCAGTTAGTGCCAAACAAACGTGAGGTCTTTCTGCTCTCTTCTGGTCAGAGAATTCATATTATGTCTGTGGAAGGACTCTGCCCCCCTCCCAACATACAACCAATGGATCAATGGTAATCAATCCAGTATGTGTTGTCGTCTAATGAAAAGTTTCAGAGAATTCCCACCCCATCCAAGGTTGCTTTTTGTCTCCTCAAAGCCTCTGTGGAGACTTTTTAGCTGGTAATGAAACAGACTGAAATCCACACCAGTGTCTTTATCTGAGCAACAAAAGAAAACAAGACGACCATCAGCGACAAAATAGATTATTTTTGTGGGCTTGTTTTCAAAGGCTGGAACTGTTACCACAGCGTAGGTGCCAGGCAAAGAAGCAACCTTTATAGTCATTTTTCATAGCAGATATTTGCAAAGACAAATACATTTGACACTTTTTTACACAAACCTAATCAGCAAAGAGATAAAGGGATGGTGCAGCTCGGTTCAACATAAACAGAAAGTTTCACAGAGGAGTTTTAATGACTTGACAAAAGTTTGTGAACGAGTCTGTAATAATAAAAATATATACCAGACAATCACATTGAGGTATATATATAAAGATTTTTTAAAAGTCCACAGGAAGTCATGCCTGATAGAAATATGGCCTATAAATGTTTATAAAGGGATATCTCTGTTTCTGTGACATGATTCAGTCTTTCTTAATTGCAATGAAGGAAATTTTAGCAAGTCACATAAGTATGCGGCTCAGTGCTTCTTTGCTTTTGGTGGCTCGATATCCTGCTTGCCTAGTTCGGCATTTGACTTAGGATTTCTGTAAATGCTGTCTGTACTCCCCCTTGTTTAGCTTGCGTTCCTCCTTTCCTGTGTCCCCTCTCTGAGATGAAAAACATCACGTCTTGGTTGCCAGAGAATTGCCTCAGAAAGCATAATTTGAAATAGGTATGTTACGCTGGAGGCAGGTCACATTTAAGCCACAGGAGCTTCTATCCCCAGTGCTGCCAAAGCAAACCTTTTTTTTTTTTTTAAACATGCAATTTTGACAGCAACTTCTGATGGTATTTCTGATTGTTGTGTATTCCAGCTACACCTTTTTTCCTGCCAGAGGAAATCACAAAGGAAGCGCAACAGAACGCCAGGCCAGCAACATACAAATTGCCTGAAATGGAAATCAGCAGGTGTTTATGTGGCCAAACAGGAAAACGTGATGAGATGAAGGCAAAAAGACTCTGACTCTGTTCTGCCTCTTTGAGCTCTGCAGCACAAGCTGGAATACTAATCCCAGCAGATACTTACATCATTTCGCAGTTAAGTAACCATGAAGAAAATGTGTTGGATGTAGATCTCATTTAAGATACATTACATAACTCTTTCACATTAATAAGATTCCGTTTTACCAGAATGATGTATAACAAAGCCGAGATCAAAGCTCCCATTTGCTGCTGTAACAGCTCAGGCTGGCTGAGATTCTCCCACATGCAGCGCCCGCTCTAGTCATGTTTATGCTGGAGAGCCTGTTCACGGTTTCTGGTTCAGACTAACACAGCTCAGGCACCATCAGCTGTACGGCCATAAAAAAACCAATCCTACAGACATTGGTGATCCCCTCTCTTTTTTACTGTGTACTACCAGACTACCAGCAGGTATAAATCAGTTCAAAGCCAGTATGGCTGATATTGGCACTACTAACTGATATCCACCTATACAGATAATGAGCACTGAGCCAATGACAGCAGCCAGTGTTTATCTGTTGTGTCTCACCAACGTCATGTTGGCAAGCAGGAACACCTACCTGCTGATTCAAAGAGGACAGAGTCGCTCAGGCAAAACATTAAAAGGCAACAGATGCCGTGTTCACACACGTGGTGTGTTGTCATGGTGGAACATAAAAAAAATATGTCTTACGGGTGTATTACCCCATCCCTGAGAATGATCAGGACTGTGCACCTCTTACGACTAGAGGCCTTAAAAGAGGAAGGACTACTGGCATTAAATCAAATACAGACAAGAGGGACTACAGAGAGAGGTTCATCAATATTGGAATCAACTATCAGATTCATTTTTGTTTGTTATTTCAAACATTGGTATTAGTATCAGTACTGATTCTTACAATCTGTGCATTCCTGATCTCTTTTAAGGATTTATATGATAGCACAGACTAGGGCTGGGCGACAAACCGAAAATTTACCAATACCAAAACTTAGGACAATAATCAACGTCATTTTGCCCATGTCAATATATTCGGTGTCAAAAAACAAATAAATAAGAGCGCTATGGTCTTATGTCCCTTTAAGACGCTGTCCTACGTTGGAGACATGACTCCACCCCATCCGGTCCATAACAAAGAGGGAAAAACATGTGAGGAGATGGAGGACGGTTCAAAAGTCGTAGCAGCGGCTGAAGTAGACGAAGTTGAGGTGGGAGGGGGTGAGCAGCTTGTGGAGTAGTTATCGTCCATTTATGGTTATCGAGGTTGACTGCTCAATATATCCTGATATTGATTTGAGGCCATATCGCCCAGCCCTAGCACAGACTGCACCTGCAAAATACGTGAACTATACTTTCGTACGTGCAAAAGTTAAACTGTCAATATTAAAAACTAAACTGAACATTATCTTTACTAATCCAAGTGTGCAAATTTTCACTTAATGTTCACATTTCTTTTTTCCATATCTAATCATTATGTTATATATTTTGTTTTGCATAAATTGTACAATTCATACACTTTGCATACTTATTTCCTGCATTTCCTTTATATCTTACAGCCTATAACGTGTATAAAGACAGCAGTAATGAGAACTGATTCTGATTCTGATTCTGAAAATGTTAGAGGAAAAATCTTCATGTGTTTTTGTGCTATATAACTAAGAATTATTGATAACTCTTTAAGTGAAATATCTTAATATCTCTTATATCTATTAGATTTATTAGAACAATGCATCCTCTACAGATGGTGACAGTAGATTGTCACCAAAATCTCATGTAGGGCGAAACAAGGCCAGAAATGCCAATTATATATTGTGTCTAAATTGTTGCACAGCCAGCCACCGTTAGCCAGGGATTTAGTTCCAGTTAATATCTACTGCTGTAATGCGACAATGTTCCACTAAACAAGCATAGATGAGAGATGGCATCTCCTACCTCAATGGTGTAGAAAATAGAGCCATGATCATATGCGTCTGGTTAAACTGGTTAAACCACTCCTACTGAGCAGTCCACGATCTTGCCAAAAGATATATGTAATTTCACAACCCAATGCAGAATCTGCCCTCTAACAGCTACATTGACATTAGTGAAAAGGCCACACCATCTGGTTAGTTTCCCTCTTGGGAGCGCTGTGTTGAAACAATAAAATCTCAGCTGTGAACAAACAGAATCACAACATGTACAGATTGAAATTTCAGCAGCGTGCCGTTCATTTCTGACTCACCTTGACTGAGATCTTGCCTTCATCCTTGGGTAAATGCGCAGCTAGGAACCAGTCTCCAGGGAGCGGGCTGGTTACGTTGAACGCTCCTGTTGTACGGTTTGGAAGAGTCCAGGTAAGAGTGACTGCAAAGGATCCTGGGACAACTGTATCCCGAGGGAAGCGGGTGTAGAGAGGATTTATTACCGGAGGAGCCCCAGACCTGAAGTACCTGTCGAAATACAATCCCAGTAAGACATAATATTTTCATAAACAACAGGAGCATCTGCTAGAATATGAAATTCACCCACAGGAACAGCTGACAGCCTGAGCACAGATGGCTTGTTCTATTTCAAATATGAAAAATTCAAATTCAAACATTAATAATCTAGCCAACACATTTTAAAGTGATTATCATGTCCCCATCAATCACAACATCACATAGACATAGAGGTGTCACATGAGAAAGCAGCTCTTTGCTCATCAATAAAAATAGATAGTTGAAATTGAAACGTAAATGCGACTAATAATTTAACAGCAGTTTCTCTCTATATATGTGGAGGATTCAGTTATGCTCACTGTTAATCAGCTGCTATAACCTCCTGCAAAAGGTAAACTGAAATGCTTATCATCATCTATTTTTACACCACAGAAGGAGCAGATTTCAGCTTTGTGCAACAACAAAGGCGCACTTTGCACGAGCAACTTCAGAAAAGGAGAACTCAGCATCTTACACGGTGACGTTGCGGTTAGGGCAGCTGTCTCCGAACGTGCCGCCTTGCTCCTTGAAGGTGATGAGGTTCCATACGGCCATCATGGTGTCATCAGGCACATTGAAGTGGAACAGTTCCACACTCGCAAAGGAGTTGAAAGCATTCAGCTTACGAGGCGTGCGGGTGAAGTATTCAGTCACGAAAAGGCAGTCTGTGGAAACAAGCAGGGAATATTCTTTATTTATGAGGATGAATATGAGAGAAAACAGAAAACATTATAACAATGCTTAGAGTGGGATTACATTTGGTCAACAAGCCTACAATGGCATTCAAACATTATAGAGTTTGGCAGGTATGTTGTTTATAATCATGTTAGTTTAATCCAAAAAAAAAACAGTTACAGTACAACGCTTACAGTATCTTAAACTCTGGTGTTTAAGCGTGCTAAAATGTTAAGAATACATTTGCTAATTTGCTGGAAGCACGTACAGTTCCTTTAAATATCTTAATTTACTGTTAGCACGCTTTTTTGGTTTAGGCTTGTCAGCATTACATTAAACATCAAAACATGCTTTTATAAAGATGGTTAAATAATGAATGGTGGCAACACAGAAATGAGCTCTTGGAGGATACCAATCATTTTGTGCTGTCTTCTAAGTTAGGTGTATAAGCCATAGCTAGCAAAATTTAAACTAGCCTTAACATGCCGTTATATAGCAGCTATCATCTACCAATCAAACTACAATTAAAGCAAAACTGATTCAAAAGCACAAACCGCAGACTTTAAAATCCTGGAGCACGCAGCTGTGCAGACATCTCAATCTGAATCAGAGCACTTGAACGACAGACTGATACTGACACCCTTACCTATGCTATTATTTGTCTTAAATATAGTTATCAAACCTTTTGCTTTTCAAGGCTGAATTCACAAGCGTTTCCAAAACTCTCACACTCTCAGTCTTAAAAACAGAATGAAGACATAAGCGATATCTCCATCTTAAGCCCGTGAAGACAAGCTCCCCCTCGAACCCTGCCAACTGTTTGTAAAGAGCTAGATCATCTAAGTATGTCTTCACAGACTTCAAGTCCCTTTAAAGCAGCTGAGGGAGATGCACGCATGTATGCAGGCTCACTCACGCCCTGAATAATTTCAAATCCATGGATTACATCCTCTACGTATAAAAGCTGCAGAACAAGTGACAGGTGTAATCTCTCATATTACCTACAGAACATGAGCCTAGCTGGCATCAAGCATACGCAGCGGGTGGGCAAAATCTTGGGAAATTGTGTGTGAGTCACATAATTGCTACACTGGAACATATTGAATTTGTAAGATAAGTGTTATCAAGACTGCAAACAAGTAGATAAGGAAGACGGCAGCAGTATTTCATGGGAACAATATGGAGACTTTGATGTTTCACTCGAGGAGAATGTTTTCCATTTGTCACACGCTCCTTTTTTCCTGTTTATAACCATTTCTACCATCTGTACTCAGAATACCTGCGGCATTGTCTTTCACAGTTTTCCTTCCTTTGTGAGGGATAATTAATCTCACCTACAGTTTGTGGAAAAAATAGTGCATTTCGCACAACACTTTTGAGGATGCGATGAACAGCCTGCGCCACTAAAACAGCAAGAGGCCAGTTCATCTAAGAGTTATAGCAAGGCAGGAAGCAAGCTCGCTCTGCTGGTGCTGTCATTTACATCTTTATTTTATTGCTGCTGCCTCTGCTTTTCACCTTGATGATGATGACACAGAGAGAAGAAAACCGTGTGACCCTCAGTGACTGGAGTGCTGTGCCTGTACAGTGGATGTGTAAAGCCATAGAGGTTTTTTTGAATGTGTAATCTTTCAATGTGCGTCAGGGAAGAAGAGAAAAATGGCTCTGTTCTGCTCCTCTCCCCCCACGCTATTACCAGCCCTCAAAGCTCACACTGCCTCTCACCTATGGAAGCAACCTTGAATACTAAAGGTGCAGAATAAGGAGAAAGAGAGTCAGAAGAATGAAGCAATCTTACTGTCAGGAGCTAAAGCCTGAACACACTCAGAGCTCCTGGTCCTGATTTTATTCACATTCTAGCCTTCATCTGGTCCTCTATCTGTGGTATATGTGTGCTCTTTTATGACATGGTTACCTATTACTCAAGAGAAACTGGTCACGTGGCATTGACAGGAGCGCTACGACTCAATTCATGAGTGTGGTACAAGTACAGCTGATATCTGCAGTACGCTTACGGTATGCTCTGTGTGACGGATTAGAGAGAAACAAACAAGCAAAACAATCACATTTAAGATCAGGAGACACAACTTGTGTTGGACGGTGATAACAGTGTTCAACAAAAACCTTCACACTGTGATGGAAAGTCTGATGATATAAACTCCAGGCTCAACCACCAGCTTCACTAAAAAGACAACGATGTCCTATATCACCTGACCACACTGATAATAAAGTCAACATTTACTGCACCAAAGCATCAATCAGTGATTTCCAAAGTTGGGATTAAGACCACAAATGAGGGGTTTGATAGATTAAGTCAACTAAACGGTCAAACGTCATCACCTGAACCAGAATCAGCATGCAGACTTTCCCCGGACTCAGAAAAATAATTCGACGTTGATTGAGTGGATAAACTGCAATCCCTTTTAAGCCATGTTAAAGATAAACTGAGGCAAACTTGATGTGTTTTCTTAATGACGACTAAATTAGTCACTTTGGAATATCCCAAAAAAAGATGTGTCAAAGTTTTTCTCTCCATTGTCTGCTCTTTGTTTTGTAGTTACACTTCCCCTAAATTCATAGATCCTTCAGATAGTCACGACAAGGGAAATCTCTCTCTTGCTTAGAGACACAAACCAGCCGGTAAAGCTTTGTGTGAAATGGCTTATTTGCTGTTTTCTTCGGTCAAAATATGCAACAAAGCTGTTTTAAGTGATTTTTCAGCATCATTTAACAGAAGGAAATAAAGATGGCACACTACATTAATACCCTAGAGAAAGTTTAATTTTTACACTCTGCTCCTCGGGCGCCCTGAGCAAAGATTCACAGATATCCTTTCATACTTTTGTCTGCACTGGGACTTGGATGCATCCCTCCAGTTCTTAAGCCCAGTCTGTGCAGACTGAGCCACTGCCTCCCCCAACACAGCCATTTCTTCCTTGTCTGCATGCATGCAAAAATGAATGTAACATCAATGCATGTTTGAATTAATACAACTGAAACGTACATTTAACAGAAATTACCTCAACTGGGATTTTAACTGATACAAGAGTTTTTAACTGGGCTTTTGTTAAACAATGGGTGGATGCATTCACGCTCAAGTGACAAGACAGGCAGCATTTCAATCATATCAGCGTCTTAAGTTCAGTTATTTAACAGAAAATAAGACTGAAATTCACATGCATTATAATTAATTGGAATAATAAACTTGCAGTTCTATTCTCATGTCTCCTCTGTGTGAAAAGAAAACGCAGAAGGTAAAACGCACCCCTTCCAAAAAACACACACGTCTGGGTGTGAATTCAGCTTTCACACTCTAACTACACTTATTGTGAAGGTGCAAAGCTGCCAAATGTTCTAAATATGTTATTGTGTTTGTTCGCTCAATAAAGACATTTTCATTTGGAGATAAAACACTGCCGAGTGCTCACAGGCTTTCCCACAGCGTGGCTCTAAACTCAGTAATCTCTTCAATGAGTGCCTCCCAACCACTGTTTTACTCTGTGAGAGGCTTAATACAGACATAATCCTGCTTTTTGTCATCTCAAGCACAGATTCATCCTTGAATTCTGAGCAGGATCATCTTTATACTTTATATTTTTTTAGGGAGGGGACAGTCGTCTGAGTATCCGCAGAAACAGATGTGAAAGAAGGAGCATGCGAAAACAAAGGTGAAAAGGTCAACATTCATTATATCTACCGCCCAGTGAATCATCTGCTCCATGTTGCTCACTGCCTCAAACAGAACAACAAAATCGAACACACAGCCATGAGGATTATAGACTTTCTTCTTTCAACCACAAAGACATCAACAATAGAGCTGTCATGTGAAATACTAACAGGTCGATACAAAACTGAGCATTATTCCCATCTAGAGTGGATAAACTGACTTCCAGCTGAACAAACACAAAATGACCATTCAAATCAACCGCTCTTCCTTTCAACATCACTCAATCCGTCTTTTTCTTCCAAATAATACCACTTCATTCCTCCTCTTTGTGTTGTTTACTGCACAAAAACATCACCGGTAAGTCTGTAATAAGAGCTCAGAGTGAGGAAATTGATCGCACTGACTTCATCCAAAGATTTGTCAGAAGTGACGAGACAAAACAGCAACAAGTCTGTCAAGGGACTGCGACGTCCTGAGACGGACCTTTGAGCCGTTACCTGACCACAGCCGGTACAGCATGTGCTGTAGGTATGGATTCATTGTTGTCCCATGATTGAGCGTTGAGGGTGTTTTTGTCTCACGCCTCTGTGTTGGAGCAGCAGAGGCATGTTTGAGGACAAGACCCAAGAAAAAAAACAGTCTTTGTGTCTACTCTCACACCAGTTTGCTCAGAAAGAAAGAGATTTCCTACTTTGAATTTACAAAAGGACATGGAGTTAAAGGGATTTTAAGGTTAAACTTTAGTGTCCACATTTTTGAATAACAAATTTATATTTAAAACTCATGATCTAAACATGAAACAATAGAGGTAAACTCAATCACTGTCTTACTCTCTGGTCCTAGTCTATCTTTCACAACAAAAAAAGAGCAAAACAACGACAAACAAACCCACAAACAAGCAAAGAAAACAACATCGAGACTATCCATCCTAACGGGTTTCCACATTCAGCCCCTCGGCATCCTATCGTACATCCTACAGGAGCATCTGTCAGTGTCTTGGCGTGCCATTATCAGCAGCAACCTTCCCCATGCATCACAGCAGTGGAGCCAGCCTGCGCTCATGAAAACGGTTCTGTTGGAGCAGCAGCAGCTGTGGATGTTACGGACACACTGGACTCGATGCCGCTTCTCTCTGGTGAGAGAATTTCAGCACCTCGACAAAAGGAACAGCTCCCCGTGAATCACACAGCCGCACACACTGAGTGGAAAGACTCACCTCCGAGCGCGCACACAGAGGTGTAAACAAGCAAGAGGAGCCTCGGAGGGCTACATCCTGAGCCCCGGCGCTCCAGCTGCCACATCGTTAAAAGCCGAAATCCTCAGTGAAGGGGCTCCAGCCCGGGTGCAGTTCTCCGTCGCTGTGCTGGTCTACATTTTTTCACAATTTTTTTTTTGCCAACGACCAGCTGTTTGTGCATGACGTAATTGAGACGACGTCCACGCAGCTCCTCCCCTTTGGCTATGATTTGACAACCTCAATATGTCGGCTGCGTTTCATTGGACCTCCGGCCCTGTCAGTCCGCGGACGCTGCTCACGTAGATTGCACCACAAGGCTCCGTCACTTAGGGTGTCCGGGCCACCACACGACACGCGCACAGGGGCTGCAGCTGCACCCCCCCTCAGGGTCTACAAGCAGGACCCGGGACAGAGAAGTTAGGGGGGGAACAAGAGTGTGTGACCTGATTAGATCTGAGATACACATGTGTGCACTGAGAGATGGGACTGCTGTCTGCATTGCAGTGAGATTCATGTGCAACTAAACTGATAATAACCCGCTTGTGTTTACACTGAGACTTTAAATCCGGTTTTCCTTTTATTTTTTAGTTCTCATAAAACCTGATGTGCTATCGGAAACGGTTTTGACACTTGACTCAATATTGTTTCATAACTGATAGTCTTTTCAGTGTGTAAGACTTGCTCACATGAATACTTATTAATCTTTTTCTTATACTACAAGTTTGACCTGGTGGTTAAAGTGTTTTCTGTGCTGTAGATAGGGGAGAGTGGGATAAGATGAGCCATTTTTCATATTTCAGATCACTACATCAAGGCAATCATAGTTTTGTCTCTAACTAGTGTATCTGCATATATTTCAAGATGTTGTGCATCCCTGCAAACCAACAGAATGAGTGAGTGTAATATAGCATGCCAAAAAAAGTGGTCTCCTATGGTCAACTTACCCCGTGTATGGGATAAGTTGAGCCGTATCCCTACTACATCCCTACCCTCAACCCCAGCCCTCCCTCACCTTCTCTAAACAACAGTCACTTCTTCACATTCATGTGTATTTTTATCTATTATACACTACTCAACTGGTACAATAATTATTTTTATTATTATTGAATATAACTGCTAAAAAGTTGTTTTGTAAAAAGTCATTTTAACATGAGGATGCCTTTAAGTGATTCAGAACATTCACAGCTGTATGTTTGAAAAGAGAAAGTAACACATTTCAACAATCTGAACTGAAACTCTGATCCTCTCATCAGACTCCTTTACTTTCTCACTTGAGCTACTGGCTCAACTTACCCCAGAACTACTATTATGACTTTATTTGTCCTCTAAGCTAAAATGGTGGACTTTTATGCTAGGTTTTGACCTCATGTTGTGGCTCATAGATACCACAATTGATGTATAAAACAAATTTAAGATGATCTTTTTTGGTCTGAACACAATTCTAATAAAACTTATGACAGACTTAATTCACTTTAAAAAGTGAAAAATGTTTTTTTGTAAACAAATGTCTAACCCCTTCACCCATGTGCTTCTAATTTTCACAGACTCCTTGAATTTAAGCCCATCTCCTAAATATTTGGTCACATGATCAATTTCTTTTACCATTTCCAAGAAACACGGGGTTGGCTCAACTTACCCCACTCTCCCCTACATTACATTTGCAACTCCAAAACTCCAACAAACTTTGGACGCTGATCAAGTTCAAATGTTCATGATCTACAAGTCATTTAAACTCTTCATGAAAATGAAAATAATGCAAAAACAACTCAGCAGCTATTGAAAATGAAACATGAAATCAACCTTTCAATGTAAAACTTGGGGATCAGAAAATTCATACAGTTTTGTTGTCTTACAAAAAACACCTTATATGCAAAAGTGGGAAAGGTACACCCCTCTGTGAGAGACTGCAAGAGTAAACAGTTCAACATACACAGCAGAGTCACATTAGAAGTTTCATTATCCACAAATGTTCAACTGATCTGCAAACCTTCAAATTCTTTTTCACAAAGTGTCCCAACTTTTTTGATACTGCAGTTGAAATCAGGATAGTTACAGCAAACCTCATCTTCAGCAAACACTTTCCTGTCTCTACTTTTTGTTACCTTTCTTCATTTAATCACTAAATATACAAAAAGTACTCCAGCTACTGCTGCAGAAACATGCTGATAAAATTGATTGCATGACTTCCTCTCCAAACGCCAGCAAAGCAAACCAATTTCCACCACAGGAAATTTTGAAAGCAACTTTTGATGATTTCTTTGATTGGTGTTTTTTTTTTTCCAGGTTGGCTGCCGCTGAAAGCACAAAAGAGGCACAGCCGAACAAAAACAAGGTACTTGGTGATGACAGGACAAGCAAAACTTGGTGTTTTTCTTGTTTCATTAAAACATGATACAGTTCAGTTTTCTTTGAACATTAAGAAATATTTTGCACATGGCTTTGAACAAAACATGAGCATTAAATTTTCAGTTTTTATGAGTAAATAAACTGCACTCATCTGAGCCCATAGGAACAAACTGATGAAACATGTTGTGATTGGTGTTTGAGAGGATGCTTGCAGATCACTTTTTGGATGATTTTTTTTACCTTTGTTGGATATTCCACTTGATTGTAAAACACAAAGAAGTTAATAATTTGATTTTTAAAAAGTAAAGAATGAAAGGAATATAGGTCTTAAAGAAATAGTAGATTTTTGTTAGAGAACTTGATTTAGAGCATTTGTATTTCATCGCGTTTCAAACTGTCAAACAAAGCGTTTAATCTCCCTGAATGAACATACAAACTGTTCTCGACAGCATTTTACATGTTCAGCAGGTTCAGTCGACTGATTTGGTGGAAAAAAAATGAATTTTGCACAAATCTCTGTATCACTAATCCTCTTCCCTTCAGGAACTGGACATTAAGACTGACCCAAATTCTCAGACGTGATTATTTTTAGGCTGTGGGTGACTTCAACATGAGTCATGAATGTCCAAGCAGATCAGTCAAACAGTGAATGAGCTCCTGAGTCAGGTTGGGCGGGATCTATTTCACATTAATGAATCATTGAATCATCAGTGTGTGTGTGTGTGTGTGTGTGTGTGTGTGTGTGTGTGTGTGTGTGTGTGTGTGTGTGTGTGTGTGTGTGGTTAACAATCATCAGCCAATCAAGAGGCTGGAGTTCACGCTGGGACAATTTTATGCTGACCTCAAATTAACCAAGTACAGTCACCTGATTCAACCGTGTTTTTGTAATGATGACATCAATTCATCTATTTTTCAGTTGAAACCCTCACTCAGAGGAAATATATTTTTTAATGTCTATGAAATGGTCTGAAATTCACACTGATGCATTTTCATGATATTTAGTAGCAAATGAGCCCTTTAAAACTTGTCAAAGTCAGCAGGATGAGATCTGTTGTCAAAAGACACTACTTAACTCATTCACTGCCAGGTTCATTAATGCAACTTCCACCCAGTGCCACCATTGACTGCAATACAAATGTCCTTATCTTTCAGAACCCACAGATTATCTTGTGCTTGGACTAGAATTAAGTGAAATATCTCACAACAAAGGGGTGATTCTCTTCTTTCACCAGAAAAAAAGTTAGTCTCTTACCTACTCCTGTGTTTAATTATTGCCTGCTCAATGCAGCGTGGTCATATCATCTTTACCGATCTGGAAAAAGAAACCTAGGAAAACACATTTTTATGAAGGATAGACTTTCAAGCAGAACTCTAATCGTCTATTTCATTTCACTTCAAACTACTTCATCGTTGGCATCAAGGTCCTCCTTCCTCAGACACCACTCCTTATCACTCTTGAGATCCGATTGTGATAGGTCACTCTGTAAACAACATGGACTGCTCGCGCCCTCCTCGCTGAGACTGTCACTGAATTCCATCAGTACAACAACACGCCGGAAAATTGTTTCTTTGATTCTGGATCCAGGGACGGTAGCACCGCGCCCAAAGGAGCCGATGCACCGAGACCGTTTGCTCTTGGCTAATGACTTCAGCATTTTCCTACTCTCCTCATAGAGAAAAAACACTTCACAATTAGGTTAATTGGCACACTTGATGACACACTTCTCACTGGCGTGTACTTGTTTCTTGTTATTGTAACATGGTTATGACGTATTTGTTGGCTTTTCTGCGGTCAGAATGACCCCAAACTTAGTCGCATGTTGAGGAGGAGCGTCCACTGTCAGAAAACAAAAAAACTGAAAAATCCGTCAAAATCCGTTAAATCCATCATTGGCACTGAATGAGTTAAGCTTTAAGAAAGCAAGATAAGCAAAGACTACAATGGCCAGAGGGGGCACCAAAGTCAACACAAACCAAAAGTTCCATACTGGAGCTTTAACCTTCCATAAATGGATGGTTGATCTTGGTGTTTTTGTTTCATTTTTGTAAGAGTATTTCAGGTTTATTTTTAATGCATTTACTTAGAGGATAGGACTGTGGATATAGTAGGATTCAGGGAAAACGGTGAGGGGGATTATATACTGTTTAAGTATACAGGTTGGATTTAATCTTGGACCACCTGCTTCGCACTATTTATCCACCAAGCTACACTGGCACCCCAGATCTACAGTATTTTTTAAACATATTTCCACAGGTTTGTGGCACAGAAATTTAACAGATTTTCAAAGTTCAGAGTGAAATCACTGGACCTGAATCATTAGACAAGTGAGAGAGTTTGATACAGTCCTGGGGTCCAATCCAGAATAGGTGTTATACTGGTAAAAGCTCATCATGTCTCTGTGCCAGATACAGCCAACCAGAACTGAGAGAAAGACTTGAGATGGAACAATAATCTGAGAAAACCACAGGAAGGATCCGTTGTTGATTCAAAGTAACTCGGGGAATAGCTTGCCTACTCTTGGCAGCAGTTGAAGTTTTATTAAAAGTTGTAAAGATTTTCAGATCCCCTGATCCCACGACCCACGCATAGCAACCCACTGTGTTTGCCTGGCTGCAGTAATCAGCTCAACTAGAATGCAGCTTCTCTCTGTCTGATTGAAAAGCCTAGTGAGTCCTTTTTAGTGACACTTAAAAGATGCACTGCAATCAGACAATGTGGGCAAGAAATAGATAACCAGAAAGGAAACGCTCTTTACAAGAGATGGACACGTTTAATTGAGGAATCAAAGATGTGAGGGGGTTTGTAAGCCTCGCTAAATGGCTTCTGCTTCCTCCGTAGGGTCAGAGATTTTCAGGTTAGGGCTGCCCAAAGCTGTTAATAAGAGTGTCTGTCTGTGTGTCTGGCAACAATGTCCAAATACCTTTTAATCCAGTGCTTGAAGGGGAGGCCTGTCATCCTCCAGGTCATAAAGTGTTGAACAACCTCAAAGCCAAGAGTCGACATCAGATGGAGAGGTTGCCAGATATTCTGTCCAGACAAAAGGACAAGCTCACCCTTCTGTAAAGGGAGACCTGGAAGCGGCCCAGAGAGTGATCATTACAGCAATTAAGAGCAATCATGGTCAGTGAGAAAGGCTGGAAAAGGTTTGACAAGAGCTAAAGCAGAAATCACCACAAATATCTGACAAATTGACACAAACTATCCCCCCTCCCGTGTCTTTTTTTTAACTTTGAAACATGCAAAACTTTCTGAATCATCAGATCTCAATATGTCTGGGAAGTTTTGCAAACTTCATTAAAATCTGGACTTTCGAGCAGCTTCATACTGTTTGGTAATGCCTCCCACAGTTACATTTGGAGGAAAAAGACGAGGGCAAGACCAGCAAACTGGTTTGAAAAATTGGTGGTGGGTGGATGTGTGTATGTGGGTGGCGCACACACATGCACATCACGGCCTGAGTTATTTCTGCTCTCCCTAAGGTGAGGCTCTCCACTAGCTGCACGGTCATACACAGAGAGCGGTGCATGAAGAGCTCCAGTTAAGCATTTTAACCAGCTGGCTTCATAGGAGGACATTCAAACATTTAAATCCACTGCTGCTCCTAATCCTCGTCTCTCCGAGAGTCCTACAGAGGGAAAAGTGTAACTTGTCGTCAGAAAGAACTCAGACGGTCCATACCACAGTGCGAGCGAGCGTAGCAACCTGTTTGGTTAAAAAGATAAACAGACAAAATAGAGGAGAGGGGGAGAGCTGTAGTGAAAGAGTGAAGAGTGGCCAGCTGGTGATGTTAAGCACTCTTCCTCTGCAGCTCAGCTTTGATACACAGCACACTCTGTCTGCAGCATGCTATGAATTAGTCTACATCCTATTCCCACCTGTTTTGACACAATACACTGTATATAATCTATACACTCCAAACATTTAAGGCAAGAACCAGCTGGTTCAGAGGACAAAATAAACCCTCTATTTTGCCAAGATTTACTTAAATGTGCAGAAAGACATAGTTGCATTCAGCTTTTATATCTTTAAAAATATATATTTTCACAAGGTTTTATTGAAAAATGCTCCTTTGTTATATCTGTGTGCATAAAGCTGTAGAAGTGCTGCTCCTACAATCGATCTGTAGTAGATATCTAAAGCTATACAGCGCCCCCTCATGAAGAGATTTCCTCTGTGATATTTCTGCCAGGTTTTTTTTTCTCAACAATAACACAGAGACTGATTATATTTTTCACATGTTTATAAACCACCATTTACAGTACGATTGACAAAGAAAGGAAACAGTTGTGTAGAGTTTGCATTTTCACTGAAGGAGTAACAGTTAAGGCACAGCGTATTAGTGGAAATGTCCCACACCTTCCCATCACGTGGATCCAGGGTGTGTGATTCTACTGTAGTGACTTGTCTTCTATTTTTAATCTGCTCAGTAAAACTACAAAAACACGTTATAGTACAGTACATGTAAAACCCTGACAGGCAGGTTTTCAGGCTCACACCTGCAAGAGTTCAGTCAGAGTTACATCCTGAATACTCCGAACCGTGTCTTCTTCGATGGTGCGTTCAGCGCTGCACTCAGGCTGAGACCCAAAACCAGTCGAGTATCAGCAGGATCGATAATCCCGTCATCCCACAGTCTGTGAAGAGTAAACAAAAGCAAATTTCACTTCAACATCTGATGCTACTGTGGCACCTGTGAAAGTGTGTGATCTGGATTTTGTGTTCCCGTCTCTGCGTACATCCCTCACTCATCTCCTGGTGTTAATACACTGACAGAAGTTTAAAACAGGAATCTTTACTTTTTGCAGTGCCGTTTATTCTGAGCTACGAAGCCAAAGTCTGTACACTCAGAGGAATCACCACTTCACTTCTTTATAAACTCTGCTTTCATACGAACTTCTAGATATTCTGTATCTTTCAGTGAGGATGAGTCCAAACATTTAGGACAATGTCCCCGAACAGAAAATGAGATTTTGCTCGATAATGAGAAAGCTGACATAACTGCAGAAATTTTAATCAAATTTTTTTCTGTTTTGTGATTTGTGATAGGGCGTCATGTTGTTTCTGTTATGAGAGACTAAAATTTGTAATTTTTTGCTTCATTTCTTTTAAGAATAAGAATAATTTTATTAATCCCCAAAGGGAAATTCAATTGTCTGTAGTCTCATTTGTCATGTCTCAAGAAGTCATCTAGTATTTATAAAAGAGTTATAAAGTCTGATGGCTGTTGGTACAAAAGATCTTCTGAACCTTCCTCAGTGTACGAGTGTTTGAGAATCTTGGTTTAATCCTCAAATTGCATCTAATTGATCTTATTCCTTGTAAATCTGTGTTAAATCTGCCTCATTTTCAGAATCAGGGCTGTAAAATTCATTTAAAATTCTTTACCATATGAAGCATGCTCTCTTTAAATAGTTACACTATGTGATTGGTCTTCTGCTCATCAAACACAAAATAAGAAAAACAACAGCCCACAGGACCAAATGGAAAGCAGAGATGGCTCATTTGAGCTGAACAACAAGACAACTAATGGAGGAGAAAACACACAAACTACATCACAGCTTCGCTCCTCAAACACGAGGAGTGTTTGTTTGTGGTTTCTCAGTTCTTGGAAGAGCTGAATCACATGATGTTTTCAAATGAATAAGAAACAAAGGCCGAGGGCATCAAATCATCTCTGCACAAAGAGCTTTGTCTCTCAGTTATATTTGAAACCTTCAGGAAGTGAATCATTTTATCCCGCACCTACCTGAGACACAAAGTGTGATATTTCACCAAAAAAACTCACCTGGCACTGGAGTAGTACGGACTGCCTTCCTCTTCAAACCGACGCACTATTGGCTCCTTCATGGCAGCCTCCTGCTCGGCTGTGAACTGTGCATTAATTTTGAAAAAACGAAAAGCTGTTTTAGGTTTGCCAAAGACCAAAAAATATCCTCAGTGAGGAACTTTGCCAAAAATCGTTTCAAAAGTCGTCCAAGCTGTGTTAAAATAAAAATGAGGAGCTCAACCTTCACAAAGTTTTGATTCCTGGCAGGGCGGCTGTATGAGTCTGTATGAGCTTTATCTGAGAAGATTTGAGCCAATCATGACAAAGATTTGATTTAAATCCTTCTTGTTACTAACCCCCCCTCTATTTTTACTCAGAAATGCATCACATTGTAGGAGATAGATACAGCCTTACTGCTGTTTCACTGTCAGTTCAATTCATGTATCAGCAGAAGAAATGACAGACAATGGGACTTGTCAAGAGTAATCCAATTTTGTGGTGTGTGTGTGTTTTTTATACTGCCTATGTCTGCAAAATGCAACATGATTATCAGGCATCAAGTACAGAAAAGAAACTCAAAAAGTGCAAGACAGAAATTTGAAATATTTACTTGTTTTTCCACCGTTCCAGTCCTTTTCACCATACTGTTTCATTTTATAACACCACTGCCTAATGCGAGGGCTCGTCTTGAAGCTATTAATGCATTCTGAATACACTGTATAACACCTTATACAGTTTCATTATACACATTTGATAGCTGCCATATAAAGGTTAAGCCTTACTGTAATATTTAATTTTCATCCCGTATAAAAACGCCACATAAAACTACCACAAAAGACTTTCACTCTATTTATGCCTTAGGTAAAAAATCCTACAAAAACAGTCCTCATTTGTGAAGCGGAGAGGAGATGATTAATATAAACCATTACCTCCTTTCCCTCGCGTGCTTTCTGATCCTTGGTGATGGTGGCCAGAACAGTGGCTGCCTGCTCACCGCCCATTACAGAGATACGAGAATTTGGCCACATGTACAGGAATCGAGGGCTGTGAGAGAAAAACAAAAGACGTGTCAGTGGGCTTCTGAATCTGGGCACAAGAACACCGAGATAAATTGCACACAAACAGCCACTAATGCGATAACTAAAGTGGTGCAATAATTAAGATCTAACACTGAAGTCACAGCCCAACAGTGTGAAGACTACTTCAGTACAACACAACATCATTTAGAAAATACTGAACTGCAAAAGTCTGGCCAAAGGTGAGGAGCAGCATAAATTTCCCAAAATGCTACCACCACTCTTTGTCGATTTGAATTTTACAACCAAATGCTTTTCCACTGTTTTTCAAAATTTATGTAAATTGATGGAAAACAAAAAGGGAGAAATAGCTGAATGTGAGAAAGATGAGAAAAGTCGAATTCGCTCAATCCTTCATTCTGACAACAGCTTATGTTGAGCTTGCTTGCGCGTCTAATTAAAATAGATGTTGTTATGAAATGTGTTTTACCACAGAAAAGGTTCACATTTGAATTTCTGATGTGCCAGAAAAGGTCACCTCCACCTAAATGAGTGTCTTTAGTATATCATTTACTACAGTGAACATCATGTACAATATTCCCTGTGTGCTTAAATCATGCAAACACAGCTAATTATCTTTATATTTGTGTCTACTTGAATTGTGGTCTTTGGAGTCAGCACACACTGCTCATTAGCTTCTTCATACCTGTAGGCTCTGCCGCACATGCCGTAGTTCCCAGCACCATAGGAGCCGCCGATGATAACTGTAATCTTGGGCACGTTGGCGCAAGCAACTGCAGTCACCATCTTGGCTCCGTCCTTAGCGATCCCTCCTGCCTCATACTCTCTGCCCACCATGAAGCCTGAGACGGACATGGAGAGGAGAGATAGGAAACAGGAGCTGGCTCTGCTGTGTTTTTATATAATAGCGCAAATTAAACTGGAGTGGGTTTCAAATGAAAGCTCGTTAAACAGCTGATGATGAATAATTTGTATATCATTTCACATGAGCTGATTATGAGGCTGATTATATGCAGATCATGATATAAACTGTAATATTATGGCTTTGCCTTCCATCACACATTAATTAGCATCAACAGTTAGAAGCTAGTGTTAAATGCAGTGATTTAAAAGGTGCCAACAAACTCCATGACACAATGTCCTATTTTAAGAACCTACAGAGACCAAGCACTGCTAAGGCACCAGACGGCTGCTTTCTTACATATTAACTTTCTTTCAGCATGCATAGCTTTATTCATCCCCTCAGCTCTGATGCAGTGCTCCACATGTTGCAGAAAATGCTTAGAGTAAAGCAGACTACAAAGTCATGGTGCCCTCTGCTCTGGATGAAGCATTTTATGACACCATTTGCCCGGAGAGTTGCTACCACCATTAGGGTCTTAAAAAAAGAGAGAGTTTGAAAATGGCCTGATGTAAAATGTAGACACATATTTGTGGGCGGCTCTTGTATATTCATGTACAATTCGCTGATTTCCTGTGGAGCTGTGTGGAAAGGATGGTAGCTAGATAGAGAAGCACTAAATGTTACAATCCAGAAATGTTTGATTTTAAGAACCCCACTGACCTGTTATGTTTTGGAGGAAAATAAGTGGTATGTTTCGTTGGCAGCACAGCTCGATGAAATGTGTCCCCTGAAAAAAAATATGTAAATATTCTGTGAATCTGGTATACTCCAGCAACTGGAGAAAATGCCCAAAGGATAAAAACACAGACATGTACAATCACTGCCATAAAGAAGAAAAGAAGACGATGACAGGACGGGAATTATTTATATATGTGGACAGGGTAATACACTATTCCTGTCAGGATATAAATATGTAACAGAGAAAATAATAAGAGCGCACAGCTGAAGCTGCTGGAGGTACCAGACAAGTGTCTGCACTGCTGCACACAAACAAAACTGTCTGGATCACATCTGCGGTTTGTGATCAGAGAGGGAGCTTCAAACTTCTGGAGGAGCAGCTTTTTGAAACCATTTTCTTTGAGCGGTTGGCCTCACCTTGTTCATCACCTTCATCAGCTCCAAGACCAGCAAGGATGGATAATTATCGGCTTGGAAGATTATCAAGCTTCACTTTGGCTTTTGCATTTGCTAGATCTGACTTTGAATATGAAGGAGCTGAATGGCCTCCAGCCTTTCAGCAAAAGAAAAAAAACAGGCAGCTGCCAGAAAACTGTTGCACAGAAAAACGAGTCTAAAAGCTGTGCCATGTGTAGAGACACCTCATTTCCATACACTTTGTATTGTTGAATTACTTAGGTGTTTTCTTTATTGTGGCAGTTAGGTCTGCTGGCTTTTTTCTTTCAGTCATGCTTCCTGCCTTGATTATAAAGTATAAACAGAAGTTGGAGACATTGTGTCGGATGGATGTCTGCTGAAAGACGTAGCAAGGTGAGAAATCATCTATCAGTTTGTCTCTGTGTAGAAGCACAACAGAAATCCAATCTTTTTTTTCCGTGCGCTCTCCTTTTGACTAATACAAATACCTGAGGAAAGCTTTTCCAGTTTAACAGTAGGCATAATAGAAGCCCAGGCATGTCTGCAAGTGGTGATGGTGTGTCTCAATAACACATCTCCGAATGCAGAGCTGTATTGATTTTTCACTGATATGTTTTCTGAGCATGTCTGTTCCACATCTTTGTCTGCAGCGCAGCATCAATCCTTTTCAGAGTGATTCCACTGATTAGATTTCCAATGCTCTACTGTTACATTCAGATCTTACAGAAAAATATCAAGAGGCCTTATCAGGTCAAGCTGTAATCTACTTCCAAATGTGTTTGAAAAATATATTAGTGCATAATCAAAAATTCATCTTTTCTAAGCTTGCGTAAAGTTCAGCCTTGTTCACAGCAGATTGCTTTGCAAATTAAGTGAATTACACTGAGTAAAAATCAAAACTGTCTCCTGCTCATGGTTTCTAAATGCTACCTTATTACAATGCCATTCATCAGACTAACTCATGGGATGGCCCTGACAAGTGCAATTTGAGAGCTGATTGTACGGGAGCACCTTGAATGTGGAAGGTCAGTAATAACATCTACAAAGACTAAAGCTTCCTCAAGAGAGAAATATTGGTTGCCAGAGTTGCGGGCAGCAAATCTCAGAGGAGAATAATTTGTGAACTGCTTCGGCGTAGCGCTTTAGTCCTTGACATTTAGAGAGACACATTGCCAGCACAATGCTTACTGCTTTGAAATTTAACATGACTGTGATGGTTGGCTTTTTACACTTCACACACACAGCTGTTGCCTGCCTGCTCATTATATGACAGGATTGAAGCTCTTCAGCGACTCTGAATGTTTTATAGAGCCAGAGGGTGTTTTTCAGTTAGCTTATAAAACCGCGAGTTAACTGTGAAGAGACTTTAGGAGGTTCATACTCATTTCAAAATGGCAGTTCACGGATACAGGTTTAAGTTTTTGCCAGTACCCATCATACTTTTATTATCAAAATAATACTTATATAGCACTTACTTTTCCATCAAATTGCAGGAATCATCAAATCTCTCATGTAGTAGAAGTAAAATGTTATTGCTATATGCTGTTTATTGTCCTATTTGTGATAGTACAGGCAGGCACAGACATAACTTGCTGGAAAATGTTAAGCATTACTAATCAACCTGGGAAAAAAACAGAGAACTACTTAAAGTGATGCATAAAATATGCATTATTCCTTTTTATGAGGCAGGATGAAAGTCACATACTGCCATCTACTGGAACACTGTGAAAGAGGAGTCATCGGATCATCTGACCAGTCAACAACGTGCATCATTAGACTCTCATTAAACCTATCAGCTTGTCATGAAGTGTTCGGGCTGATATTTATGTTTGGAGCATATCTTATTATATCGAATCAACATGCATTATCTCTCTGGTGATCTTTGTGTACATGCATGCTGCACAGATTTACCTTTTTAGCAGACTCTGAAAACAAGACTCCATTGTTGCCGATGATTCCAACAGGGTAGCCAAATATTCTGGAAAATCCTGGGCAGGTAAACATTGAAATTCAGAGAGTGAAGTCAGTGGACTGTTAAAATGTTTCAATGGACTTTCTCTTCAGCCTGTCTGAAAATACACTAGGACACTACAAAGCTGCAGCAGATCCAAAAGAGAAGCTTCAAGTGGCAATTTGGAGGTTTCATCTTGCTTTTGCTTAGAAAGCTTTCTCCATGACCTGTTCACTTGAAACTTATTCAAACTTTTTTTGAGAGATCTACAAACCCTGGTAAAGTCAGTAAATGACTTCTATTCACAGTAAGTGTTCTGCTGCTGTGTTACTGTGAAAATGTGTGTTTTATTGTGTTTCGCTGTGCTGAATTAACCTTTTTAATTCTTTTTTTTTCACTCTCTGTATTAATATTTCATCCCTGAAAAAAACCCTTCAAGGTATGGCTGTTGCAAATTAGCATCCACTATAAACACTAAGATACTCGGAGCAGATGGCTGGTGTATGTGTGTGCATGTTTATACATATGCATGTATATATATCTCTGCGTATACACTCAACAATATTAAATACTGTCCTTGTTATAAATATTAAATGTTACAAACCATACCTGTTACGAGTGTGTCTCCATAAAAAGCCTTAAACTCGTCAAATTTACTGCCGTCAACAATTCTGGCGATGACCTGCAATTAGAAATACAATTGTTTTTTAGTTTTCATTTATTGATACAGTACAGAATGTAATTGATGATTATCTTTTTTGTTTGCAGATAGTATATGAATAATATTCTCAAACAGCTGGGCACCGTTTAAGTTTAAAAAGTACAATTTAGTTTTGTTTAGCATGTAAATCAACAGGGTGGTAAAATTTCCATCACTAAGTCAGTGGTAATGAAAAAAAAACACATTACCCGGTTCACGCTGTGGCTCAGTGATGTGATTTTAAAGTCTTGAAGGTCTTTAACAAGGTATAAAATGTGAGAAACTTTTACTATGAAACTCTTACTATGTATAGAAAGCAATTCAGGGAATCAGTTCCAGATGGTTTTAGTCTTTTAGTTGTGAAAAAATCTGATGATCAAAACAACAATAAGTCAGAATTTGTAGCTGCCCTTGTCTCTTCATGTCATTTTGAAACCAAGAACAAATATGAACATACCAGGAGCCTGATAAACTCTTCTTCTGTACAGTCTAAATGTAGATAATGAAGCTCTGAGGTAGAAACACAAACACAGGATAACCTCTTACTGTAACAGGGTAACAGATAATTAATCTTGCATCCTGAATAGACTGTCAATACTGTTCCGCAGTACAAGCAGTTTGACATTTTGACCGTGAACAGTAATTCTTGTTCCCCGGTCCTCATTAGGACTCAAAGGCACAGATCTCAGATCAATGAATACACCTGACAAGGACTGCCAAAGAACGAAATCAGAGTGATCGATACCAGCTGTGTTTTTCTGAGCTCGGAGAGGAGAGACCTGACGGGTAAACATTATTTACAGTGGAGTCTGATCCTGTTAAAGCAGAGTTTGTTTGTTCTACTGATAAATCTACACTATAAAACAGAGGTGGGAGGTTTGTCTGCGTTTAAATCATCTTGTTTTTGGGTGATAATATTATGGAAAACAAACTTAATTTACAGCAGTCTTCTACTTAACAAACACTGACATCCAGAAGGTTATCAAACACTTACATTTAAGAGGAACTTTCAACTGGTCATAGAGTGGATTATCAAGTACAACATGAACCACGCACATGGTTTCATGAAAAGGGAAATACTAAGGTCTAGCTAATCAAAAACATTTTAAAAACCAGATGAACATTCATTCTTTAATCAAATAACTTCAGTTATTCTTTTACTACTTTAGAATAATGAACAGATGGACTAGTACCTCTCTGACGTCAAAGTTGCGTTTCAAATTTTCTCCAACGATGCCGTACAGTTCATCCGCAGGGTAGAGTGGGGCTTCAGTTGGTTCTGTGGTGACCTGAAGTGTAAAACAAACCATTTGTCAGCAGAAGACAAAGACAGATTACCTCCACTATGAGACTTAAAGGTGACTTCATATAATCCTTATCAAACTAACCTCCATATTTTTCCTGTAGTTCAGGTTCCTCACTGCTTTTCTTGCCAAGTGCAAAGCGTGGTTATCATCTAAAGCATAGTGGTCTGTCACACCAGATTTTCTGCAAGAAAACAAACAAAAAAAAACTCATTTCAAAAAAATGGAGAGCTTCAGATAAGACTCATAAAAATGATCAAGGCACATGTTACATCCATGTGAATGAAGCAGATTTAAGTGAAAAGAAGGAGAGTTTAGTTAAATAAATAAATGAATAAATGAGAGATGCCTGAACACCATCTCTGTTTAATAACTGAATTTTAATTGTTATGATTTGGCGGGTTTTTGTAGGTCAAACACATTTGGACTTGACAAAAAGAAACTTCAGATTTTATTTTATTCCAAAACCTTGACCTATGCTTGATATGCGAATAACCGTCCTCCTAGGGAAGAAAATTCAAACCAATGCTGCCTTCTTACAACATTCCAGAATCTAACAAGAAGTTGAACCTTTGCCCCAAAAATAATTTTACAAGATTCTATATCCCAGGCTGTTAATACCCTATATATGAGCTCAAGGTTTTGATTATACTTTTTAAAGTGGGGCTCTGTTACAAGTTCAGGCTTAAGTCTCATCAACAACCTGAGCATGCACCATGTACTTATTTCATACTTGCAGTGCAGATCAGCACCACCAAGGTCCTCTGCAGAAACTGTTTCTCCTGTGGCGGCTTTGACCTGTGAAGACAAATGTGCCCCCGAGTCATCACTCTTTTAAACTCAAAACAATACAGAAAATTCTGAACTCCACACATATTTTTGGCAGGCTTGAAACACAACTAGCATTAATGCAAGATGGGTGATTTTTTTTTTTGTGTGGCATGGTTAGCACAGTAACATGAATCCTCTGTTTAGTAACAGGAGGGGAGAAAAAAGAGATAAGGACAGAAAAGAGATGATGTATATCAGGGAAGAGGTTTTATGTTAAACCACTGAAAGTGCAAATACGAGAAAAATATGGCTCATACCTCAACAACAAAAGTCCAGATAACAAAGTTACAGCATTAAAAACAAATGTGATGATTTAACCAACTGATTAATAAGAACTGCTTCTGACAACAACCAGTTTTGCCATCCTTTTTTTTTTACATGGTTGTTGCACCCTTCACAAAATGCACCACAGTGAAGAGTCAGAGAGATATATTTCTGTTGTGATTACTCTCTGACTTTGCAAACAAGTCTAGCCATTTACTTCAAGCATTAGTTATTTGATGCCACACACATTCTTATAGTTCTGTAACAACAATTGAACCAACCAATGGCGGCCCTCCAAGAAAAATGGTCCCTTGTTTCCGCACAATGATGCTCTCATCTGCCATGGCGGGAACATACGCTCCTCCAGCTGTGCAAGAGCCCATCACGACAGCAATCTAAAAAAAAAAGAAAAAGTCCTTTATTAACTACGGATGAAAGTTCGAGACTGAAAAGATGAGGATGCTTCAAAATACAAGGCTGATTTCTAGGACAGTGTAAAACCAGACAAACCAAAAAAAGAGTATTATGAAACCTTTTTACCTTGGCTCAACTTTGCTTTGGAAAGTTTTCATTTTTGCATCCAATAGAAATTCAATTTCACTGTTGTCTTTTAAACCCTACCTTGGCTTTGTCTTTAAAAACCCTTATGAATAAAGATGTGAATTGCCAATGCAATTAGCAACAACATAATGGCCACTCACAACTTGGACTTTTATTTGAAATACAGCCACCTAGAGGTAAGTCTAGAGGCAAAATTAAATATGGTTGCAGGGAAAAAGAAGAGGTGGCAGAGAATGAAAAGCCTTGAATAATGAATCATTTAAATAATCAGGAGAGACAATATTAGCATATATTAATGGGCTTTCAGTTTGTTGGAGCTGGAAGAATACAGTATATTCAGCTGTGTTTATCACTCATGGATCTACTGGAGAGATGAGAGAGCAGGACCTGACTTCTCTTTACAACCCACAACATTCATCAGCTCTCACACGTACTGGCTTGTTTTCGAAACACGAGGAGGTCTCTTCTTCTATAGTCAATAGCAAGATGGAGTCTATTTTGCTGGCAGACAATGAAAAGATGAATAACCCACAGCAGTGCAGTTCATTTAAATTTACTACCTCTGCTCTTGCTGGTATCATTTCTCAGACAACCCTCTCAGCTTTTGAGAACTGATCCATAAATCAAGTCAGAGTCGTGGCAATACAACAAATAAACCCTCCAACAATAAAAAAAAACAACAACAAAAGGCTACTGTAAAACACAGACAAACACTGTGAAATATGATCACCGTGTGCAATGCAATGTTATCAACCCAACATGAGCATCACCTGAGCTATTCCCTCAGAGGAGAGCCTGGCCTGGTTGAAGAAAATGCGTCCAAAGTGATCTCTGTCAGGAAAGACGTCGGCCTGTCTGGGAAGGTTGGCTCCTCCAGAATCCACTAAAGGAAGAAAGAACACCAGAAGATTATCAGTGTTAGAAAATATATCATTTTTGACACCTGGATTGAGAAATAAATGTGAGGAAACTTTGCAAACAAGCCCAGTGGATTTGATAGAATTGATAAATGTGAACAACTTCTAGTCTTCACATTATACAATAACTGTTTTTCAACCTTTACTCCTTTTGTTCAGCATGTCTTTAAAATTTAAGAGTTTAATTCAGGGTTAAAATTCTCTTTGGTGTTGCTCATTTGTTAAAAACATAAAAACTCACCCAAATAAATGCATGGCAGGTGGTTCTGTTGAGCTATTTCTTGTGCACGAAGGTGTTTCTTGACTGTAACTGGGTAGTACGTTCCTCCTTTGACTGTAGCATCATTTGCAACAACCACACATTCCACTCTGTAAAGAAATAAACACTGAAATCTATGAGGATCTGCAGTACTCAAGTCAGTCGTGCGGGAAATCCAACAAAAAGCAAGTTAAAACTCAAAGAAAAGGTCAACACTCTGTGTAAATATACATTTTTGCTGCAGCTGGTAGTTCAGGATCTTTATTTTGCACAAAAGGAGGCTTACACAAAGAACTAAGATGAAAAACGTTTTGTTTTTCTGTCTATAAAATGTATGTGAAAGGGTATTAAAAAGGGTTCACGATACTATCTTTAGATGCCTCATTTTGTCTGACTAATACTTCTGAAAGCTGCTAGTTTAGTATGATACACAGCACAGAAACTCTAACTATGTAGAGCCAAAAGAGACATTTTTGCTGTTTATGCAATAAAGAAATGTGTCATAATAGATAACAACTGAAAAGGGTGGATCAAATTGATGCAAATCTCTTTTTATAGAAAGCAATTCTTTTTTTGTTTTTGTTTTAACAAACTCGTACTGTAAAAGTTAAACACAGCTAAATGATATGATGACCAAAGCAATTACCCCGAAACTCGACCAATTCCAGTAAGTATGCCACCTGCAGGAACTTCCTCTTTTCCGTATAGTTCATAAGCAGCAAACTGAGAGAACTCAAGGAAAGGGGTGCTGCAAGGAAAAACAAAACTATCATTAAGCTCACTCTCAAATGTAAGGGAAAATAAATGTCATGGCATCAAAAAAAAAAAAAAAACACAAAACACAAAACATTGGTACAGCAGCTTTGTGTTCAATTTTTTCAGCACTCAAATGTCAAGTTAAGAGTTTATGTCCTAGTTTTCCAAAGTGAACTCTGAGAACAATGCAAAACTTGCATTTTGTGTTCTAAGTGTAGACAGGATAGTCTACACCTTTAGGCATTTCAGCTACCAAAGTTAGGCTCTATGTAATAACATCAAGTCAGTGAATCTAATTCACTTGAACTAATTAGCCATGAATTTTCAATTCGTCTTCAAACAAAGATGAAGTAGGTGGAACTACCCTGGATCCAGCAGTCTGTCTATTCTCTCTCTAGGCAGGAGTTTCCCACGAGAAGTATGAAGCTTTCTTGCTTTCTCTCCTCCACCTGGATTGATAAGAATAATAATATGTTTGCAAATTATCCGGAAAATACCGAGTAGCAAATTCAAAATCCTTCAACAGACCAAAAATCTCAAGCCTTATTTCTAGTCATCAACTCTCATGGAACTTATTGTGATTTTACACTGTTATCTACTAAATGTCACTTGAGTCTCGTCACTTTAAATAAACAGTGTTACGGGCATTATTTGTACTCAGTAAAGAGTGATGAATTGGGGCACTTGCTTCATGCCTGAGTGGGTTAGCATGCCCACACTTTCTCACTATCCTATCAATAAAAGGCAAAAACCGCCCAAAAAATACTTAAAAAAAAAAAAAGAAAGTGATGAATTACTCATTCACATTTTAAAGCAAATGCTTAAAACTAAGGTGCACACAAGAGTGTTTAGTCAACATTTTTATCACCAAGATTGCTTCAGCATATGGCAGGAATTTGGACTATTTGAGTAAAACAAAAATATGATTTGACATAGTAGCAGTGCTCACACTTACCAAGTCTTATCTTCTCTGTGCGACTTTTCAGCTCATCAACCAGAGCTTTCATTCGTTCATAATTCTCCTAAAAAACAAGAAGAATACTTGGATATTTTAATGTTTGCCATCCTGTGTGGTATTCTGATGGTGACAATCTGCGGCAGATTTTGACCTCATCAAGAAAGTGGTGACAAAGTTAAGGTTGGTCTCTTTAACTCTAAACAAAGAAGCCAGCTGAATGTCTAAGTCAAACAAGCGACTATGTCTTTAAGGTTCTCTGCAAGGGTACGGAAAAATAATGATCTTCTTAATGAACATTTCCTCAACAGCATGTGGTAATAGTGGTGGTGCACCGATCGCAATTTTCTAGCCAAGAGAAGTGTTTCTGTAAGGTCTCTGAGGACTATGAGGAAAATATATGCCTGTGGTGCCATCCAGTGATATCTTTTGTTGTTGCATCTTGTCATAATCTGAAAGGGGAACACATTGTCCTCTACCTATTTACCTCTCAAATAACTTTACACAATCACAACCCTAAACAAAAGTTGATAAATGCACCCACAGCGTGTAGCAGCTGAAACCATCTGCAAGAGTCTGACAGATCCAGCTGAGCTGTCAGGCTAATGTGTTGATACTGAGAGCTTACCTAAAGCTATCCACAGCAAACGCTCAAGGTTTTGACCTCCTGCTGCCATACCTCTCATTAAAGTTATTAAGTAACTAAATAAACTGTTATTTTAAACTTGTAGACATTGTCTGACACAATCTTGTTTTACCCTTGCATGTCCGGAGACACACTTTATCTTACAGTTTAAACAGTTTACGTTGACATTACTAGCTTGTTTGGCCAGCTAGAAGTAGCAAAATGCTAACTTACCTGATAGTCAGGGGACTGTTTATCCGGCTGGGAGCCGAGTAGAGCGACTTTATCGGCATAGTAAGACCTTGTAGCAACCAAACGTATACTCCTGCAGTGGAAGAGCCACGGCCGAGCTGTCCGGAGAAGCATTTCGATGCTCACGTCTCGCTAAACAGACAGCTTGTTAGCTATTTAGCAGCACTCTTCTTTAGTGGTTAAGGATAGTGGAAGTCAAGCCTCACACCGCCACCTGCTGTTCAGCGAGGAGAGTTACACCTTTTTACCTGTACGAATCAACGGATACAACGAACAAAGCAGGTATCCTTTTTGTCAAATTATTTGTTAAAATTTTATGTTTTCATCTGCATATTAAGAAGAATATCTAATACATAGCAGTAGTTAATAATTGGATGTTTAAAAATGAAAAAAGACTAAGTCCTGTATTCGAAGCTATTACTGAGCTACAATTTGTAAATATTTGCATGTATAAAAAAATACAAATTTATTAGCACAGATACAGCTTAATGCACAAGCAGTGAGAAGAAGACATGTCAAATCTCTGGCATCATGTTTTCACATGAATAAAAGAATAAAAGTAGCGATTGAAAGACCTGTGGTTGAGATCATAACACTCTATTAAATGACTGTTCATAAATTTGATGTTTAACTTGTTTAACTTCCTCGTACTCTGCCCAAATAAATAATACATTATGATTAGAAATATATGCTAACTCATCCCAACATAAATCAGTGTTTTTTGTCCCCAGCATATGGACTTTAATATAAAGAGTAATTAGCCAGAGCTTATAAGCTAATTAAAGGACAATGTTTTCAATAATTACTTTTAGTCTTTGTTTGTGATTTCAAGCAAGAGAGAGGACCATTATTCAGGTCCATACTGCCATCCTGTGGACTTTACATGCAACGCCCCCCCCCCCAAACCCCTAAAATTACTGCAGGGGTTTTCTTATTTGTTTATTTACAGCTTATTTGATATAGAAACACCGTACACGGCCAAACTGGAAACAGCCATCCAATGTGAGTATGGTAGTCCAGTGTTTGTAATGAATGCTCATATGTAATACCAGTCCCTTGTGAACTTTTTGCAAAAATAAAAGGTGAGAAAACTTTACGTCACGAGGTGCAAAATAAATAAATAAATAAATAAATAAGATACACTTTAGAGTGTGTAGCTATCCATGTCTAAGATTAACTTCATATTTTTACGATTTGTTTTGGAAAAAGTTGAAAATAAGATTAGAAAGTGTCTGATCCTAAGTGACCTTATTTCACCGCAGAAAAGTTTCTTCTTGATCCATTATGGACAGAAGTTTGGAGAACTAGTATGTGGCTTGCACAAAATTTTAGTGTTGAATGTACCATACAGTAATTACACGTCCTTTCAATCACAAGTGTCTTGAAATAGGTGGAAGAAAATGTCTCTTTTTCCAGTGAAACAGAACCAGATGAAGAGTCTTTGTCTGGTGTAGAAATGGGAACTAAAGCAGGTTTTAAGTGTAAATCAGAGTTAGCCTAAAAGCTTTAGTAAACCTCCCTTCTGACCCGAGTGCTTTATTGGAGCTGGAGTACATTTAGCAGAGTATGTGCTGAAGAGCATTCAAACCAAGAGCTTTTAGTTCATTTAGTTTTAAGAGGCCTTTCTCCTCCAACGCTTCCACCTATTCTATCAGCATGCATAGAAACGTCCATGACCTGCACTCAAATGACTGCTCCTGTTTTCTTAGGAAATATACCATCCTCCACTCTCCGGCCGAACTTCCACCCCTCTCACTCATCCAGCTCTCTCTACTCTACTGTGACCCCTGACCCCTTCTCACTGCCGGAGCTGTGAAGTGATAGAATAGCTAGAGGTAGAGGTATCAAAAGCCTCTTAAAAGTAAATAAATAAATAAAGTATTTGATGACTGGGAGGCGAGTGCAGGAAAGTGGTTGAAAAGCACACATGAGAGGATGACAAAGACAGAGAGAACAGCAATCATCCTGAAATTTGTGGAAAATCACAGGGTCAGAGAAAGAATTTAATAAAACCTCCCAAAATATAAGAGTATCAAGGAGTCACTTTATAACAGGGCTTGCTTTTTAAACTACTTTTTAAGCGTCTGTCATGTTACTAGGGTGGTTTAGATCCAGCAAAGCAATTAGTACTTTTTTACACCATTACTAAGTTTTGAAGGCTTCTTGATTTGCAGTGAGAAATAAAAACATGAACATGAACATGAACTTAAACTGAGTCGTGTTTTTCATAGCTAAAATCCTCGATATTTTTTATGTGACATAAACTGAACTATTTCACTGGTATTATTTGATGTTTGATTACATTTATAGTCTAGTTAAAGTCCCTGTAAGGGGTTTTTGAATAGTTATAAAACAGAGTGAAATGCAACACAATGTCTCTCTACGACCTTCAAAAGCAAACCAGGTCAAAAATGACTGTATCCTAATCTTTAATGCCTGTAACCACTGTGAGGGGTAGCTTAAAGTAGTGAAAACTATTGAAACAGCTTCATTTTCCTTTTTTTCTCCACAGTAAATGTGAGTGATAGACTTCACTTTTAAAAGTCAGCATGACAAAATTTTTTTACTCCAAAAGGAAAATCACAATGAGTGATTCAGTGATCAGTGAGTCAGTGAGTTTGGCGTCCTGTCTGAAGTCAGTAGCCATCAGGCACATTAGCATGGGAAAGAAACCTTGAGAGCTGTTGGTTTTTATTTGGTTTTATTGGGTTTTATTTGGTTTTATTTGGTCTTATTTCATTCATTTTAATCTCTTACCCCCGAGCACTGTTGTCACTTTATATGTATGTACTGTGCTGTTTGTTTGTCTAGTGTCATACATGTGATTCACTGCAAGTAAAATTTAATTGTGGGTACAAATATAGTAATCTTTGACCTTTGACAATTTACAATATACACATGAGCTGAGCCAAATAAAAATTGTTCACACAGGCACAAACAAAAACTTTTTTTCAAGAGGATCATTCCTTTTTTAATCTAACATAGCACTTTTTGTATTTTTGAGGTGACATGGTCTAGGGTTTACAAATACTTTTTGATAGAGAAATAGTGTACATCAAAAATTGTAATCAATTTTGACATCTTGATCAGTGATACACAATTTTTCATTAAAACTGTACAGCTCTTTAGTTTTATATTTTAGAAATTGAGTAAAATTTTATGCTTGTGTGGAAAGTACAGTCCTCAAGACAGAGGCATCTAATTTCAGAAATCTAGACTGTATAAAACAATGGACAGAACAACAGCTGTAACAAGTGAAGCCAGAACTTTTTAAAGGCCCCACTGGTGACTGCTGCAGCATAGGTCTTTGAGACCGCCTCCTTCATTTTAACAGAAAAATATAAATAAAAATACATGCCAAACAAAATTGTCTTAAACATGCTATCTGTTATAGCAGTTTGCTCTCATCACACTGATCTATGTAAAGGAGTGCAAAACAGAATAAGAGAGGTTTCTTTCACCCAGTTTTAAGCAATGATGGGATTGTTTTTTCTGCAGCTTCCTAGGTCACTTCAACAAATCAGATCGTCCTGTTTAAACAGCATGAAATGGTGGTTTATTGAATGTTGCAAAGCTGCGCTCCGAACGCTTTGCCTCAGATATGTGTTGCAATGCAAGATAATTCTCAAGTGTCGCATACTAATACGCCACACACACATACATACGCATAAGCTGACCGATTCCTCCCTGTCTCTTGACAAGCTGAGCAGAAATCTCTCCTCCTTCCTTTTTTTTAAAGACATAATGATGCTCGTTTCTCGGCTCAAAGAAGTCATTAATGTGTGACACAGCCTTGAATGTGGGATATCAAAGAGCTGCAGAGTGCCCCCCTTCTCCCCCTCTCCCATCCTACCTCCAACCCGTTCCTCACCCACAACCTCGTTAAGATGCCTGAGACATGAATTAATCATCAGTCCGGCCTGTAATAGAGGGGAAAAATTGTTCGCAGCATCAGTTGTTGTTGGAAACGTCCCCTTTGAATCACTCCTGAGGATAAAGCTCCTTACAAATCTTTCATCTTATTACAGGATCAGCATCAGATTTACCTCTGCAGATATGCTGATGGACGTGCTCTCTCTCTTTCAAAGACATGATAGGACTGGCAGGGTGAAATTAGTAAGTCAGATGTGACAAGGACAGATTTGTGTGAGTATAAATGCAATCCGAGGATGTAAAAGCGATTTCTATTAGCCTTTTAGCTGTGATATTATCCTCACTACAAACCCTGTCTCTGAAATACCAAAGGAACAAACCTCTATTCCCATTTGTTTTCCTTTGTAGTTTTTCCACTCCCTATGCATGAAGACAAATTTTTGCTGTGCAGGGAGCGTCATTTTGGTCTTTTATATTTTTGGCTGGGGGCATGGACTGACGGAAATTAACTTTAATCCTATAGTTTTCTAATAATGTGTTTCTGGGTCGGAAGAAACTCCTGCACAGAGAAAAACTTTGCTGCACAATGCCATGCTGAGTTAGTGTCTTGCTTCAGAGCTGTTTATTTGTTTGTTCTCTATGTGAAAAATCCTTTTGGTGCGTATTAGCTGTGGGTATCTCTGATTATTTTAGAGTCTCTCTGATCCCAGGTTATAAGATAACATCTAGTACTTGGCAGAGTTATTAAATTGCCTGCAGCGTTGTAGCTCAAAGGTAATACTTATGAGTATTAAAGGAGTATAACGCTGCCCATTATTGCTGGTCAAATGTTCTAGCAATTCATCTATGTTCATTATCAAAGGGGGAGAAAAATACAAGCATTTCCAGAGGTAATTGTCCCCTTTGTGCAAGATGTGTCTTCAGAAGCAATAAAAGGCTAAAGACACACGGCAGTGAGTCCGCTGCTGTCTCCTGGGCTTTTGTGTTTCCCATCAAAAGAATGACCACTGGTTTTAAGTTCAGCTGTGGTTTTATGATCAAAGCACAGTAGCCGGCTAAAAAAAAGCGATGTAGCTCACTAACCTTGCCTCTATTAGGTGTCGAAGCGAAGTTAAAAAAAAAAAAACTCCTGGCAGCCATGCCTGGTCCTGTGCCAGAGGAAAGAGCAATTATAGAGCAGTACAGTCTGTCCATAAAAGATGAGAAAGCTCGACTGATGAAGTTATTGGGTGTAAAATACTTTTCATTAAACAGTAATTGATAATGATAGAGTATTTAAAGACCCTTTAAGGAATCTTTATTTTTTACTGGCAATGGAAAAGATTTTAATGGAGTGACGCCTCTTAATGATGTATGAAGGCAAGACCATCCGTGATAGGACTGACATGGTAAATACTCCAGTTTTTATGTCTGTTGTGAAAAGTTAAACAAGTATACAGAGTTTTATACATGCTATCGTTTTTTTCATCAGTTGCTCACCAGCTGTGTAAAAATATATATTTTGTTATATGTTTGACATTTTTCTGACTTTTTTTTTTTTAAACTTTGCTAGCTCCGACTCTCAGGCAGTTTCTGGCTGGCAGTTAGTTATCCACCATATTGGTACATTTGAAGAACTATTAGGAAAATCCAACAACCAACAACTTGCAACACCCGAGCATGTTGACAGATGAGCAACAAGACCCAGCAGATGAAGTGGACATCAAGGGGGCACCTCTTTTAATCAGTTTCATGTAGAGTAAAGTCATGTCACAGTTCTAGCTTGATTACAGTTCTTGTTCCAGTTATTGACCAAAACATGTCCACCTCCGCTACAATAAGGAAGAGGAAATTATCAAGTTATGTTAGTCCAACGATGAGAAGATGGATGTAGTGCAATCTCAGAAGGATTAATGAGTTTACATGTATTTGAAAACTCTAGTCTCAGTCGAACTGATGGGATAAATCATTTATTGAACAACATGTAAACATTCTGAGTGCTTCATTGAGTTAGACGCTTGACAGTTAGCTCCTTAACCAAACCCCCCCTTCAGGCCAGCTCTCACTTTACACTTTTAAATAACATAAAGAGGAAAAGACAAAAGTAGCCTGACTTCTGTTGTGTGCTCTGAGCTTCATGTTAATGCTAACTTGATCGAGCAGGCAGCTGTGAGGTAGCAGAAGTTGTGTGTTGCTGTCCCATTGTACACTAGTTCCACTTTGCAGAACTATATTGCTAATTACTTAGGGTGACCATCTGTCCTTTTACCGGGACATGTCCTCTTTTTGAGGGCTGTCGGGCCTGTCCGAGGGGGGTTTATAAAATCCTTCAAATGTCCAGTGTTTTGTAGGGAAGTTTTGAGTTTGTGTAGCGTGGATTAACTGAGTTAGGAGCCCGTAAAGAACACTTGGCCCAACCCGAAAAACCCTAAAAAATTTCCCCCCGACTCCGCCCTGCATAGTCATGTCCTCTTTTTGGGTATTCAGAATATGGTCACCCAAAATTACTTTTAAACCGTTTGATTTCATGATGATAACGCACCATAGATGTTGACTTGCCCTTAATTTGGCCTTATGTGTACCAAACATAAATGTCTGATTCTTGGATACTTCCTTTGTAAAAGTAAATAAATAAATAAAAAAAGCTAGAAATCTGGCGATTCAAGTATAAGTAAAATACCCCTTTGGAAATGTTTGCATGCTACAAACAAAGCTAAGAAAAAGGTTTAATCACTCAAAATCAACAGTGCTAGGTTGTTGTTCATGGCCATCCAGATTTTGAAATGATGCAACAGTACATTAGCGTGGTAGCTTTGTCATGCTGACATGTTGACATTATCATTTAACTCAATAGTGTATCACAGTTTAGCCTCACAGAGCTGCCAGTGTGGCTGTATACTCTCCTCAAACACTTTAGTTGTGACCTCTAATCTAAAGAAGAGCATCTTCACGTTCTTAGTTTTAAACCGCGGTGGTACATACTCTCTCTGTTGTATCAGTAATCCTCTTCAGGAGGCTCCAAAGCTTACATGTCAGTGCTTCAAAAGTGAATTAATGAAGAGCGGTTGTGACAGTGCTCTGAAGTTAGCAGAGTATTGTAATGGTTTTGTAAAGTGGCACTTTGCAAACATTATGCCAACAGACTGTGAGGTTACTCACACGGTCAACAAATGTGGCAGCGGTGGTCACAAACAAACTTTTAACATCCCTGTGTTCAGTCTCATAATAAACTAAATTAATTCTACCTTTGCAGCTTTATGAGTCAGCTCCACCAGATATTTGATAAAAGCATGCATGCTAAAGCCATCACTCCATTGTGTGGTCTGTTTGTTTAATCCATCTTCTATGTCTGTCAGGAAAGTGGGCAATTTGCAAGCCACAAGTGCTCTTAATATAAAATGTTGAAGTAGGGTGGCTCATTCCTACATTGCATCCCCACCTTTCCTCCTTCTCTCCTACTTTGGGCTGTTTGAAGTACAGGTTGGAGAGCTGTAACAGGAGTATCATTCACTGTAATGGTGGAGCGTCCTCCTCCACAGCCCTCACTTACATCACTTAATCCACTTGAGCAGCGCAGCACTGCGCTCTGCATGAACAAAGCACGTTCACGATGGGAGTTTAGACGGAGACTAGCAGTGACCTGTCAGCTTGCACTAAAATGCCAGGCTAAGACACTCAAAGCCTTTGTTTCCCGGCTCACTAAATATGGATGTGGACTTGGCCTGCTGCATACTCAGAGTCAAATTGAAGCTCTATCGGCTGAAATGTTATTTAACATCAAACTTAAATGTCTGTTTGAAAGATTACTAAAATACAGCCCTGGTGGCCACATATTTATCTCATGTTACATCCTCTTTTCACCCGTTTAATTTAAATCAGATTGGTTGATAAGAAAACACTCAGAAAGCAGTTAAAACTGGGTCTAAACTATTTGATGCAGCTAAACACAGGATTACAGACCCTGCTTTTAAAGGGGACCTGCCATCAAAATGTAATTTTGTGTGTTTTTTGTGTCAGATAAGGTCCATATTATGTTCGTCTTATGTTGTAAATGTGAAAACAAACCATTGCGTCGTTTGCATTCTGTAAAGGTTTAAAATAAAGGAACGGGTAAACCAGGCCGATTGAAAAAGCAGGTCCCTCTGACGTCGCACTGACCTTGTTCATTATTATTCACGAGCGCGTCCTCGGTGTGCCGCGCCCACTCTCGCGTTCTCGTTCAGAGCGAGACCCAGCTACCACTGTATCCGCTATGGGTCTCTTCCAAACGATCGGTGTTTCCTTGGGTTCACTGCCGGGAAAATGAACTTATAGCTGGGCAGAATGAATGAGAAAATACCGCTGGAGATCTCCGGCTTCTTCTTCAACTTCCACCTCCTCTTCGGACTCGGGATCTAAAATATATGGTTTAATACCTGCCATTGTTAGCCTTTAGCATGAGGTGACCAGACGTCCCCGATTTGTCAAACTGGTTAGCCAAGTGTGACTAATGGTAGCAGAGCTAGCACCAGCAGCCCTCTTAACTTAACAGCACTTGGTTATGCTGGTCACTCCCCGATGAATTTGTATGTACAGCGTAATATTGGCACTTGATAATGACATTTACCAGGTCAGGACAGTGTATCTAGAAACCATAAAATGTGAATACAAAAACCATTTTTGTGCTCAGTAAAGCATTCTGCAGCTCCAGCTTGTTTCTCACCGTGAATAAATAACACTGAGAGAGGGCGCCCTAGAGCCGTGAGTACAAATAAATACATGAGTCACACTAGAGCGGGTGGGATAACTTGCATTATGAACTCTGTTACACTGTGAGATAGCATCTGCTATCTGTGCTTGTTTACATCTGGGTAGAACATTATAGCATTTCTGCAGAAGTTGTCAACAAGCCGCAGCCTCGGCCAGTGGTGCGTGTTTCCACTTCAGCTCAGATATGACTGACATTCTGGGTCAACAGGAATCAAACTCACAGTTTTGTGCAAAATTACTTATATGTACTTTTACTTATAATTCTGATTAACTGAACACAAACTGGCAGAGTATCTGGTTTAAAACTACTTGTCATCATTAGTTTGACTGACTGTCATCATTCGTTTTAACCCTGTTACCTGAGCAGGATCTGTAAGTATTAGTGAGGCTCAAGAAGCAGGTTGAAAAGTTGAGTGGTAGGTTAAGATGGCTGTGTAAGGGATTGCGTGATTTCAGAGCTGTTAAGTAAACAAAGGAAAGTAAAAACTGAAAGGTGCACAGAGCAGAAATATAAAGCTGATGCCTTCTGTGGCTACCTGTGGACTTGTGCTGGTCTACTGTTGGATTGCTGTAAAAAACCATCAGAATATTAATGACCAGATCAGGCACAGAAAAGAAAAAAAGCGGATGATAAATCCATTAACAGGTTGCATACATGAATGTGTGAACTGCAGATTGAAATAGGTGGAGAATGATGGGCAAATTTAATGCATTTTTATGGCGAGGAAGGAATCAGTTTTAATTTTCTGCAAGTTTACCTGCATCACACAACTCTTTTGTTTTAATGTCTGAGTAAATGTTAGAAATAATCATGAAAAATGCATAATAAAAATTCTCCACTACATTCTTCTACAGTGATTGAAACACAAGTTTATTTCCTTCATCTGAGCAGGATAGGAAACAACAGATACTTATAAATCAAAGCTGAGGTTTGCCATTGTTATGCAGATATACAACTCTTCAACATCTGAGCACAAATCCAATGCAAATCAATTTTTTTGGAACCTGACACAAGGAATTTGGAAAAGAGACATTTGATGCATTACATCTTTACTTTACTGAAGGCTCCCGTGCTGGTTATTCAGCTGTTTGGACTCTGTAAAATATCAATAAAAAACAGATTTTGATGGTTTACATTTAATTCCTAACAGCACAAACACATATCAGATGATGAAAGTGAAGAGTTTAATGTTTTCTGACAAGAATTTGATCATTTTAAATTTGATGTTAGTGGTACCTTGAGAATAGTAGGGACAGGAACAAATAAAACCCAAAAGACATAGTATAATGAAAAGAAAAACACATGGAGAAACATCTTATTCATTCATTAATTAAATAAACTGATTCAGTTAATTTGTAATAGGTTAGTAAAAATGACTGGGTACAAAAGAAGCAAAGTCACATACAGGTAAAGAGGGGAGAGGTTCACCATTCTCACCACAGTGAGAGACAGTATGAGCCAATAATTTAATGATTTCAGTTTGATGTTTCAAAAGTGCATAATAACAATAAAAGATGTGGGGAATTGGGAGCTATATAAGTACTAATGACACATGGGCCCTAAGACAGCATGTCATTAAAAATAAATGTGACTCTGTAGTGGTAGTCTCTGCATAGGCCCAAAATTACAGAAAAAAAAGACAAAATTTTAATGGGCAATTCCTTTGTTTTATCAGCAAAAGCAGAAAAAGTATCACTTTGTCAACAGGGGGCACTCAAATCAAAGACATTAAGAGTCCCTCACAGGAGCTTTAATTTTAGTTTATTCTAATTACATGTATACCAAATCATTGACCTTCAGCAACGATCTTTTGGGTTGTAAGCTGAGACAGACAAGGAACACTCCACACAATGTTTTTATCAAATCAGTCACAGAAAAGAAAAAAAGAGAGCAGAGGTGTTTTATAATGAAAGAAACTCGACTTTCAGTTAGATCATAACAGGTTTAATTCATAACACCTTCATGACGTCAGTCAAGCTAAATGCTCTACACATCATTATTATACAAAACATCATTCCTGTATCAGGTCATGTTAGTCAGCCAAGTAGCAGAGGTATGACTTTTGGAAATTACAGCAGGTAAAACCAAAGTGTGTTTGATATTTTTCCATAATGGAGGTGCTGAAGGTTGCAAATACACCATCTACTACAGAGGGTACAGTGTTCCTTACTCATTCAAATGCAGTAAAAAGTAGATGAGCAGTCAGTGTCAACAGGGTGAATGAACCGTAATTTGAATTTTAGAGCATGACCGTCTCAAACACAGAAATATAAAATAAGGCAACCACTGTAAAAAACAAACCACAACCATGACCAGTACATCAGAATGTACAGCGCCACCGTGTGACTAGAATAGAAATCAAAACCAGTCAGAGCAGCGTCATGTCTTTCTGTCATGTCTACGTAATCCCCTTATATTCACACAAGCTGTTTTTATCAACTCATACAGAGAACAGTCTGAGACACAGCTGCAAAAACACAACAGAGCTGTCATGAAGCTTTTATTTAGAAATGTCCATCTTAAAGTATGTTTCTAATTGATATTTTATTATCTTTGGCAATGCAATATTATATTATGTTTTAATTTTGTCCCGTTGTATTCAGAAACGCTAAAAAGGTTTATAATTGTGTGAGAGTGACCCAGGTTGACACAAGTACTTTTAAGTTTTGAGACCGAACAGTAAGATAAGACAGATAGGTCGCTCTAAGGCCGATATTTGCTGAACGTTTCTCCTCTTTTGATCAGTTTGGAATCTAAACTCTCAAGGAAAACTGGTTAACACTTCTAAGTGAATTTTTTTCCATTCAAATGCCATCAGACAGAGGGTACACAAGTGAAACAGATGAGAGAGGAAGCAAAAGATGGACCACATCATAATGATGATAATATTAAAGCTCCTGTGAGTTTTTTCATGTAAATGAAATAGACTGAAATTCACATTATAGATTTTTTACGCAATCCAAAAGCAAACAAGACCGTCAGCAACAAGATGTTCGATATCCATTTTGTAATTTTTAATGACTGAAACCGACGGGTAAGTGTCAGCTAAGCAGCTGTCGCCATGGCCCTTTATGGACAATTTTCACATAAAATACTCCCAATATATGATACATTTCACTGTAAAGACTGCTTTGACCACAGCAAGCAGCAAAACTGATCAACCAAAAGTTCCTCACGGGAGCTTTAAGATGATATGTTTTGGTGTCAGGGAAATGAGCAAGTGTTTGCACTATCAAACTTATGTATCTGGATGCTGAGCACATTTTAGCTCTGAAACTATAGGTCAGTGCAGTGACATCTGAGATTAAAATGACAATACAAACGGATGTTTCCTACACCAGTCAGTCTCTTTTTATAATTATGTTTGCATGTTTTTAAGTCACCCACCTGGTTCCCAAATTACCCCTTGATAATCATCCCTTGGCACAATTATCATAACAAAAGAGTCATGGGCTGGAGCTAAACTGAGGGTTTGGATTTGAGCAAACAATTTATAATGGTTATGTTCTGCTGTAGTTCTCTGAATATAAAGTTTATGTAAATTTGGTAAATGTAATTCTTTAGTTTCAAATAGCTGGGCTGTTTGAAAACTGGTGTTTATCTTGCTGTGTCATTTAGGTATGGGGTTACACATCTACAACAGAAATACAATGGAGACATACAGCCAGGAGCGACAGCAGCTGTGGATGGTGTTCTTCCAATGCTCGTGTTAAAATAAAGAAGAGTTTTGTCCAAATTACTTAGAAGTTTACAACTAATAACCTGATTTACTCACATTAAAATCAGCTGATATAAAATGAGAATGAGATTCCTGCTTCAATCTGTCTGTAAATGTCTAATTTTTTTTTTAATGCCCAAATTTGGCAGAGTCCATTAGTTTTTATCTCTGTGTGGTAAATCAAATTTAGTCAGAAGAAGCATAAAGGCACTGTGTTATTTCTACAAGCCAACAGAGGAAAATCAAAGGGAAATCATGAGCATATCATTAAATGTTTTTTCTGGTTTTGTTGTGTTTTTCCACAAAGGATGTCCAAAAGTCCAGACAGAAAAGTCCACAGAGAGAATGGAGGGCTGTTTGACCTCCAAATAACAACCAAACAGTTTTACAGCAACTTGTCAGACAGAATCCAGAGAGCGTCCGCAGGAGTCTGAACAGAGAGCAGAACCGCGAGCACAGGTCAGACTGTAGTGAGGGTGCTGAGGGCGGGCTTGTTAGTTTGTTCACCGCCCACAGAATCGAAACACACACTGACACACACACACACAAAGATAGAGTTCAGACCTTACTCATGAGTTGTGATAGAAAAAAAAGAGACATTTTGGGAAATATAAGTACTTTTTTTGCTTAGAGAAAGACGAGAAAATCGATACAGATGTCATATTTGAACAGTTCATATGAAGATCCAGCCCACAGCTTATAAAAAACAGCTAAGCATAAAGAAGGTTAGACTTTATTTCAATGTTAAAATCAATCTTCACTCTAACACTCAATTTTTCTTGTGTAAAGAATAATCGTTTTCTTCTTAACTGAGACAGCCCACTTAAGCAACTTCCTTGTGCTCTAACTGGTTGAGATGCAACGCAATAAGCCATTAGCACAAAAATTATATTGCTGACAAAGTGAGGTGGTTTCATCCTGATCACAGTTTAAGCTAAATTAAAAATCTTCTCATCATCGTATCATGTTGAGCGTTTAGACGTGTTTATTCTTCTCTGACTCAGAAATATGGCTGACAAGCTGTTCCTGACGATATTAAGGATAATGCCGTTGTTTTTAAAGCATGGTTTCCGCTTGTAAGTCCTCTTTAAAGGTTAATGTAACCTGTCCACTTGAATTTTTAAACTAAAAAGCACTGAAATGCTCAACAATCTGTTCTAAGCAGAGTAGAAGTGAGGTACAAAAAGTGATATTTTACGGTTTAAAGAAGCATAAAGAAAAAACACCATGACATTTAAAAAGAAGAAGATCTGGTATGAGGTATGGATATGAGACATGAATATATAACAATGAGAAGGCTGGACAAAGACCGAACATTATTCAGAGCTGTTCAGCTCAAATAAAAGATCAATTTTACAAATTTGCACAGGATATTGAATTATAGTCAGTCTCAGTTAAACCTATTTTTGACTATCTGATAACTTTTCCACACAGAGCTCCATCTACAGTCCAACAGACCATGTGTTTGCATCAAAAGGGAAGTTAAGCTCACTCTTCTGGGTGTGTCTGTAAAGAAAAAAATCACCATGTTTTTATTTGTTACAACTTCTGCAACAACATCTGTGAGTCCCAGTTTCACTGTAAATAGTAAGTTACACTGAAGCAACACTCTTCTTCAAACACAAAAATGAGTCTGAATTACTGGCAGTTAACGGACCTCAAGTTTGTCTACATAATAGTATCATGATACAAAGCTTCTGAAAGCTGTAATTAAATAGATAAACGGTGCAAGTTGATGTCAGTAAGTAGAAAAAGACAAAGGAGGAGACGGCAGAATTCAAACACGACTGAAAACAGCAAAGACCCAAAGGCTTGGGGGGAAATTTCTACACTGCCAACACCGTAACTTTTTTATCAATGATATTTACATGAACCTGGTTGTAACGTTGCAAACCCTTGTCTTTCTAGATGAGTATGTTTATGTTGTGTAAAAAAAAAAACAGCAAAAAGAAGGCCTAAATGTCACTGGCTATGCAGTCACGAGATTTGGTGCACACAGACATTCACTTATCCTCAAAACATCAAAAAGCCACTCAGTAAAAAAAAAAATCTGTGCTTGGTTTTGCTTGTTCGTTTTGTTCCAAGTCAAAATGTCCAAGAAAGTCTGTTTGGTTAGTTCCATTCAAATCCATTTGATACACTTTAAAAACTGTACATGGGTAAGAGAGTCATCAGCATTTACAAAGCCATGTTCCTAGTAGTTGACCTCGTAGACAGTCGCTTTCTTATCTCCTGAGCCCGTCACAATGTACTTGTCGTCTATAGAGATGTCACAGCTCAACACTGAAGATGACTCCTTTGACTGTGGGAAGAATAAAAGTCGTGTCAAAATGTTTGAAATGTGCACTTTGAAAGGAACAGAAAATGCATGAAGGCCATGTGTGCACTGGGCAGGTGTTGAAAAGAGTCAATATGATTTATTTCTTTGTCCAGTCCTGATATCTTTTAAAAGTAAAGTGCAGTCCCTCGCTCGGCTCCCTCTGTAACTTGGGTCTCTTATTTTTTAAGACTCCAGTGAAGGCCTCTTGTTCAAATGCTCATGTCCTTGATACAGAGTGATGTCCCAGGAAAAGATGAACACGCGGAATGTTTTAACATCAACATTTCACATTTGGCTGTATTCACTCGCCTCTCCTTGTATCTGTAAACCTTTCACTGCCTCTTCTGTCTGCAATTTAACTCTTTTTGGTGACCTTCCTCCCACAGGAGCTCACAGTCAGAGAGCAAAAAGGTTTTTTGATGTCGTACAGAGATATTTTAACAAAACTAGTGAGACTGTTCTGTGCTTTCAGCTGCCTGTTTGCTGTTTGTGATTTCGGCGAATGTGCTTACCTGGAATATGCTGGCTCCATATGGGGTTCTCCATGCATTTAGTAGATTGTCTTTTCCTGTGCTCACAAACCACTTCCCTACAGAGGAATAAGAACTTAAATGAAGAATATTACGTATAAACACAAGTTCAAACCATATCAAGCAGCACTAAAGCTCTACCTTGATATTAAAAATTGAAACAAATGCTATTAACACAGGCTCTAGTTCCTGCAGCTGAAACAAACACAGGTCCTTCAAAGGTTCCTAGTTCCTGGGGAAAGTTCCTGCTGTTGAAAACACCTTCTGTGTACTGGGGGTTAGTGCATCATGCTTTCAGGAAACCATCAAAAACTAGAAAAGCACTCGGAGAGCGCAGACCTCCGCCAAGCAGTTCATGTCCCCCCTTATATTGTGATTCACACCAAAACTTTTACTGTTACGTGTCTTTTATTAACTTTTATTTGTGTTTAAACTGGTATGTTCACTGTTCATAATGTTCCTAAAACAAGAAATGCCCTGACCCGGATTCGAACCCAGGACCTTCTTGCTGTGAGGTGACAGTGCTAACCACTACACCTCTGTGCCGCCCATTGGTTATCTTTCAGCATTGAAAATTCCAACGACACCCTTATTTTTGTGTGTTCTGGATCACAGTATCCAGAATTTTGTCTGGATCAGGATCAACCGTTGACACCTCATAAAACTCATTGAGATCCTTTTGTGTCATTTTTTACTAAAGACTCTGGACATTTTTATAGAGTTAAATGCAAAAATTACAACATTTGCCCTATCTCACAATGATAAAGAATCCTTCAAAAAATTCCTGGATCCTGGAAGACGATCCAGATCACCACCAAAATGTAATGGGATCCTCCTGGGGCTGAGACGCACCTCTGGTGAAAATTTCAGGTCAATCCGTCTGTAACTTTCTCCGTAAAGTTGTTCACAGACAAACAAACAAACAAACCAACAAACAGACCAACACTACCGAAAACATAACCTCCTTGGCAGAGGTAATGACTGTTTCCATTTGGTGCTAAATGGTTAATTCTTTGACGATAATATTCCCGAGCCTTGTTTACATTGTAAATTTTCTAATCTCATTTGTTTCAGCCGTCTCCTACACACATGCAGCATTTAGCAGCATCACCATATCCACTCCTAACCATGTGGCACCACAATCCTGCCTTTTTTTCTATTATTATTAATGTAGTTAATGATCTTCGACAAGCAAGCTTCCTTAAGACTTACAAATGCAGTGAAAAATAGAGGCCAAAACAAGCTGACAGGGAGCATCGCCTCTTACCACAGTGAGCAAATCTGAGTGAGAGCACGCAGCTTTCATGCAGGTGGAGCTGGTATTTGTCAGGTTTGGTGACATGCAGGACCTCCACGTTGTTGTTCTCCATCCCCACTGCCAGCCACTCGCCTGTCGGACAGTAACCCAGGGAGAAGATCTGCAACCAAATCAAACAGTGAATGTATTTCAATCTGTTTCAGTTCATAAATTCATGGCATATATAACTACCTCTGACAGTGTATTGGTCTATTTTCCATATCAGTACATGAAGATAGCGTTCACCATGCGAATAGTTGTTGCCTTTAATGTATTAACGGCTGCTGCCGAAAGTCCACCGTATACTCTCTACACCAGCATGAACGTTTCAGTCTCTGACATACTAATCAGGCCAAACAGATTACAATATTAAGTATGCAACACTCTGGCGAGAGGGACTGTTGAAAAAAGCAATCACTTCATGAAATGAGGTTGGGAATGATTGAGTTGTGTATGCTTTTTTTAAAGAAACAAATAATAAGGATATTTTCCAGATGCTAAAGACTAGTAAAAATGCAGGATATGAAGCTGACTGTTTAATGAACCAGACAAAAACCCACAACAGTGTTTTTTTTTGTCTTTGTGAATCACAGGTGTTAAATTTGCCATGGTGGTGTATAAAGATGTTAGAGACAGAAACGGTTGGATGGTATAAGTACTCTGTTGGTCATGTCCCTCCCTGCCTGCCCTGCCCTCGCTGATCCCTCTCTTTAATGCACACTCACCTCCTCCTGTGCTTGTAGAGATTGTAAAATGGGTCTTTTCAGGAAAAATTGCACTAATGGCCTTCAATTGCCGCCCTCCTCCTCCTCACCTGAAAACCTGAATTCTGACTGCCTGTATTATTATTGTTCACAGTATTTGAACATCAGGAAGGACACAAGAGCTCAGTCTGGCCTTTATTGTGGGTTAAATGATCTGAACTGGGCTTGTAAATTACTGCAATACAGCAAAGCTCAGGAGTGTAATCACACAAATTGAAGACTTTTCCTGGGATGCACATTTTTCAAAATTCTGTGCCTTTTACTTCATCTCTAAAATGATAATAAAATAGCAAACCTTTTTACAGTTTACTCTTGCTTCAGCTACTGAAAGGACTTAACAAAGCACCACCATCAGCAGTTTATAAGGAAGCTGTTTGAAGTGTTCGAGCTAAAGAACTGCGCTGTATGTGTTGCTGCAGCATTCATATAAAAGGAGTGTTTGCTGTAAGGAGTCTGTAATGCACCTGGGAGGTGAAGTCGTGCTGCTGCAGCTGCCGTCCCTCCCTCAGGTCCCAGGACCGCACTGTGTTGTCCAGACCTCCAGTCCACAGCTTGGTCCCATCATTAGAGATGTCTATACAGCTGGCTCCATCAGTGTGACCCTGGAACTGCCTGCAGAAAAACACAGTCAGACAAAGTCAATAGTCTGGTGTCTATGAAATCAGAGGAAAACATATGGCATGGGATTGTGAATCTTGTTTACTGTGAGATCATTTTAACATGACAAAAGAGAAGTGGTAAAATTCAAACCTGCACACTGACAGCACTGTAATATTTTCATTAAAGCTCCTGTGAGGAACTTGGAAACAGCCTTTGCTTGTTTTGTCCTCTACATGCTTCAGTAATTTCTAAAATCATCCCACTGACTTGTGACAGTCAAAGGTATGAATAATGACGAATATTTTGTGAAAATGGAAAAAAAAATCACGGGGAGGGGGGGTAGGTGCCCTGCTAACGCCTCCCTCCTCACATCAGTTCAAGGTATTGAAAATTACAATGTAAAAACTTCCAATCTTGCTGGTAATGGTCTTCCTTGCTTTGTATATCATGAAAAGGTATCAATGTGATTTTCAATCTATTTCACAAATGTCATAAAATCCCTGATAGGAGCTTTAAAATGGATGAGAGACACTGATCTGAGCAGAGACATATGTATGGTTCAAGAACTCTAACACTGGCTGTTGTCAATGCTAGATGGTTACGGAGTTCTGTCTTATATTGTGGCTAGGGGCGTCCCGATATGATATTGATATCGGATATCTGTCCGATATCAGCTAAAAAAACGAATATCGAGTTATATCGGCCTGCATCTAAAATCTCCGATATCATAACTCTGATAAAAGAAGTCCATTCCAGACTCCACTCTGTCATCTCTATCTAGCAGCGCCCAGATCCAGCATGCAGAGCCCACATGATCACAACAACAGTGTGTACTAAGGTACGAATAAAGTAGCAAAGAATAGGAGTGATGTTGGCTTTGTGGCAGTATTTTCCGAAAAAAGAGATTGCGGCTGAGTGAAAACCTTGTCATGCACAATTTTGTGTCAATATCAGATCAATATCGGCATTGGCCAATACTGAAAGCTACAATATCGGCATTGTACTGGAAGTAAAATAAGTTGTATCGGGACACCCCTAATTGTGGCTGCTGAAAAGCTTTGATCAAAAGTGTGTGAAAAGGAGAGGATATGGTGACAGACTTCGGGCAGAACCCCCAATCCCCTACTGGCTCCTACCTGACCAAAGTCTGGTTGTGAAGATCCCAGACTGCAATGTTTCCGTCAGAGCAGCAGGAGAAGCAGACTTTGGAGTCAGGGCTGATAGCCAGAGCATAACATGCTGGTGCTGAGGACGTGAGCTCAGCCTTGATTCGTGGGGTGGGTGTGGCCAAATCCCAGATTGACAAAGTACTCGCCTCACCCCCGACAATGAGAGTCCGCCCATCCGGTAAAAGCCGACAGGATCTGATGTAGTTATCTCTGTTCTGATGATACAGAAATGTACTTTTATTAATAAATAACAGGTCAAGTAACAAAAAGTTTCCTGTGTCTCACTGAGGGTTACCGCACTCACAAGGCAGTCGAGCTGGGATACAGGGGTCTTGTTTCCTGGATGACTGATGTCCCACACCTTTACGCAGCCCTTGCCGCCGGTGTAGACGTGACGTGTGGGGTTACTGATGGTGACAGCACACACCACCTCACCGTGGCTCAGAGTATTGATCTGCCGTGCGTGGCGAGGAATGCCAGGGCCGATCAGCGAGTCTGGAGGAAAAGGCACCGGCTGCATTTGTCCATCAGCGCTCACATGAAAGGAGTACGCACTAGGAGAAAAAGAAAATGTGGCGGTACAAAAGGTGGTGAAAGAGGAGAGGTGGAAGGGTCAGCGAAGGTGGTTATTAATATTGATTGATGAAATGTTGCTGTAACTGCACCCTTTAAGAACCAGGAGAGGGAACATACGGTTTTCCACCAGGAATGCCTGACAGGTTAGGAGGAAGTCCAGGGACACGTATGTGGTGGTGAGGATCAAATCCAACCTGCAGAACAGTTCAGAAAGAAGACATGGGTAACTGACTTATGACAAGTCAGCTGGTTAAAGGCAGCGTGTTTTACTGCAAAAAAAAAGGAACTTTGGTAGCTCGGATTTTGTAAGATATTCCTTAAAAGAACAAGTCAGATAAATTAGTTTCAACAGCGCTTAAATGACAAAATGTGGCTTCAATTTTGAAACTCTGGCCTGCACACCGCTAAATCAATTATGACTAAGTATTGATCGAAAGACAGAAGCTGGAAACTGTCTGGTAAACAATACTCTGTTCTTCACAACAGCTTTTCCAAATGTTTGTCCTTTTAAAAACATGTTTCACACCATTGTAAACACAAGTCACACTAGGGCTGAAATCAACCAAAGAAATTCTTAGTCGACTAAAACCCTGAAATCTTTTACCAAAAATCGACCAATCGAGGGAAATTAACCATAGACTGTACATCGATGCTGAAAAAAATTGAATTGACCAATCAGAATTTTGGTCGACTTAGCACGTATTAACCAATTGGTCGACAATGACTTTACCGCCTTATTCACGACACTAACATTTGGAATAATCTAATTTAAATAGTTTTGTAATCTGAGTGCCTTATCATCAAAAACTGTGTATCTGCAGTTTTTCCTGTTTAAGATGTGACCGCTGCTGCTGCTACTAATATTATGTTGTGTGTCATTGGCTCCTAGATCTTAAAGGGTAAAAATATAAACATGCATGTACTTGTGTGTTTGCATACCACTTGTGTGCGTCCATAAGCGGCCACAGCAGCAGCAGCCACTGCGCTCATCTGTGGAGAGATGTTATGCAGACCCGTGTATGCCGCCCCTGCTCCACTCAGCTCTCCGTTCATACCCGGGTGAGGAACCATTCCAAAAGGACTCGGGTACGAGCACGGCACTGCCAGAGGTGTACGCAGACCTGGAGCTACAACACAAATCTCTGTCATGATCCCAGACTATACAAACTCTCCATTAGATATCCATCTTAGAATTCAACATTCAAATAATCGCATTTCCAACATCCTGATGTTTTAGAGAGAGTTCAACAAAGAAAGCTGTGCGCTAACCAAAACTTAGAATGATAACTTAATGTCTTCTGATGCTAGATTATGAGGTTATGAAACAAGCTTGTTTGCAAACTCACCCAGGGCTTCAACCCCTGGTGGTTTCCCAGGTGCAGTCCTCAGGCCTGGGGTGGAGGTGCTGCTAGGAGTGGGGGCATCAGAGCGAGATGTGGGGGTGCTTGACTTGGACACAGGTGTGGTGGACTTCTCATTCTGAAACACAAAAGTTAAAATAATCATGAAAGGTGTAGAAGCTTGTGTGAGCAGGTATCACTCTGCAGCAAAAACCCTTTGACAGAAGATTTGACCCAAAAAAGAAACATCCAGCCGAAATGAATCAAATGCTTTTCCACAAAAGGTTTCAACCTTGATTTCAAATAAGCCTCATTATGCCCTGTATCTAAACCTTAATATAGAGAAGCCCCATTGAAAAGCAGAAACATCATCAAAGGGCTTCAGTTACCCAAATGACTCACCAGATTAATCTCTTTGGATTTGGATGAAGGTGTGCTGCTGGAGGAGGCGACAGAGGAAGGACTCAGCGGAGCATCCTTCTTCAACAGACGACGCTTGTCCAATCCGTTCTCACGAGGCGAGTGGGCGGGACTTCCTCTGGGAGATGCTGGATCCTGTGGTGGTTGAACAAAAGATGAACAAAGATCAGTGAAAAAGATTGATTTACATCTGATCAGGTCTGAAGTAGAAGAGATTCTGCTGAAGTGTACCTCATTGGAGACATCTACGACCAGGTTGTCATCGCTCTTCTCTCCATCGCTCTCCTTAGATAAACACGACAGCAGACAAGCTTTAGTCTTAGACTTTAATAAAAAGGTTTGTCACCTTTTTTGGTCCTAAGCCTAAAAAAAATGTATCTCAATATTTTAATTTCACAAATTAACGGACTACAGGGACAAGAATAAAAAACTCAGTTGCCAGATTATCAGTGCTGTGAAATTTAATATCCCATTTATCTGATAGATAATAAAACAGAAATTAAATTAAGGCATAAAAGAGGTAATCATAAAATCAATGATTTAATTAAGACCATAAAGACTGTTTTAATAATTCCTCTGGCGTTTTTCCTTTTATATTTTACATGTTTTAATTATCAGATAAAGAGGTCAAAATGGTTCGACTACGGAAAATCCAGATGGCTCATCTGGCTGAAGTACAAGCCATAAAGGTGAACATAATAAGTTCAGATCTGATCCTCTACGATATCAGGTCTACCTCCAACCTTGGTACGGTTGTAGTTTTAACTTTGATTTGTAATTTCATATTGGAAACTTTGCACTTTTGATGAAAGTATGGTGAAAAAGCCAAACATTCACAAAATAACCACAGAAACTCCTTCTTTATTATCTTCCATTTAGAAACAATAAGCTCTCATAAGAAAGAAACTTCAAAAGCCAGGAAAGTCAGAAAGGTCAGATTTGTGTTTGCTCACATATCGTGTAGAGGCACACTCCTTATCATCTGTCTTCTGTTTCTTGCTCTCAGAGGAGTAATCGCTTGAACTTCGGTGCTTCTCTCCAGCACGAAAACTGGCCGAAGGGGACACAGATGAGCTCTGGAAGAAAGAAGAAGAGATGATGACATTTTATCTACTTCTCTTCAAATTAATCCACCACAAACATCCCAGAACATAAGAGTTTTGTTTTTTTTTACTACCCACATTATCTCTTTACCATCATGTGTAAGGGCTCATTCTTTGCTACAGAACCTCTCACTGAAAACAAGCTCACAGCAAGTTCTGTAAATAATGAAGACTGACCGGGACATTATTTGGCTGTTGAACCTCGCGAAATCAAACAAGCAGCAGAATCCATTAACAAAAAACCACTCACCTCTGCTATATTATTACACAGAAAGGTGAATCAACTCTTCAATACAAAAAGAAGAGAGTTGCATTCATTGCTGTTAACAAAATGAAATCCTGTGTAGGAGCTATTGGCAAAGCTGTAACTTGTTTCAACAGCTCTTTATTGGGTCTTGCCTGAAGCTGAAATTTGTTACAACACTTAATAAAGTTTGCTTCAAAAATACGCTAAAGAAGTACTCAACCATTACAGTATAGGCTGCCTCAGGTACGTGCTGCAGGCTTGCTAAATAGATCCATATGGTTGTAGATTATTGCGACCTTAATTGAGAAGAACAAGGATGACAAAGCAAAGAAGAGAGCTTGTGTTTCCTTTCTCTTTCTTCTAACCCTGATTTGATGAGGAGGATTACTGACATCTTATTCCCAGAACAATGCTGAAAACCATCAGTGAGCTACAACCTAAATGCTGCAGATCTTTTAAATATGTCAAGACTCCCTCTGTGATCTAAATAAGGAGAACTCTGAGCAGCCAGACAGAGAAAAGACTGTGATCCACTCCTCCTCCTCTGCTGGATGTAAACCTCACTTTAAAAACTCCTCTGCCTGTCAAAACCATTTTACTTCTCTTGTATCGCACACTACTAAAGCAGCGCTGCATCCCAGACAGTATGACTACACCACCGTGGCTTAAACTCAGTAGCATTATTCTGAAAATGGGCAATGAAGAGTTGCTGCATTGATGTCTCTCTTTGCCTAATCAAATATGGCATCCTTTAAATACCAATACTGAAGCATTAATCCTCTTTGAGGAGCAAAGATCAAAATAAGGTCAGCTAAACATTTCCCCTCTTGTTCCACATGTCCCTGCTGATCTCCCCCCATCCTCCCCAGCCTCCCCTCTCTCTCATTGGGAGGCATTCCTTACCCCGCAGACGATGGACAGAGAGAAGAAAAAATAAAGCAGGACCTTTAACTCGACCTTTCCTCTAACTCACGCGTGCAACCTTTCCACTGCCCTTTGCCGTGCTGCAAGTGTTGATGACAGAGATTCTGTGGGGGAGGAGAGGAGGTCTGTTTTGTGTGTGTGTGTGTGTGTGTGTGTGTGTGTGTGTGTGTGTGTGTGTGTGTGTGTGTGTGTGTGTGGTCCAGCAGCACTTGTACCTGTTTACATTCAAGTACTGCGTATGTGCAAACAATGTTGAGATGTCAGTGTGTTCAGGTGTTTGTCTCCTCTTGAGTGAGATGCAGCAGACTGATCCCCCACCCCATCCCCCAGTCTCTCTCTCTCTCTCTCTCTCTCTCTCTCTCTCTCTCTCTCTCTCTCTCAGACTGATTAGGTTAATTAGCCTGCAAATTAGCTCTTTCAAAAAACATCAAGGCAAATTAATTTGGCTGCAGAGACAAATGGAGGCTCCGCCGGCAGTACACGCATTATACGTGTGAAAAAGCATGCGGTGTCGCCGGGTGAAAGCATTCATTTAGCAGCACATCTTAATTATATTTGCCTTGCGTTTTAAATTGATTCTGCAACTCCTGATAATGACACCTGTAACCTCCGCTGTTAAGTAAACAAAATGACTCTTTGTTGTCTCTGCAGTTAAGAGGGGCCCAGGCTGACCCCAGCTTCTCCCGTTTGCGTTAATGTTGTTAAGCAGCGTGAAGCCAAGGGCAGCAATCCTCAAGGTGGATGTTTATGCCGCATTACAGATTAAAAACAAATTAGAGACGCAATAACTCATATAAATACCAGTGACTGACTTAAGACCTGCTGCTAAAAACCACATGATAATTTTCCTCTCATCTGCTGTGTAGCTGTATTCCAAGAACAAATTAAGTTCCTTAACGTTGTTCCTTGAAATACGTCTGCAAATGTAGACTCATCTTGTATTTGGGGTTTGGTGAGTGGCACCACTGTATAGCGAGTGTGTCCAGCATGATTGACACCAGCCATTGCTCACAACCACAGCACCAGGGGGATGAAAGATGAAGAGACACAGCGATCAGTGGGTCAGGTTAACTAACAACTGTGGCTGGATTATGACGCCAACTTCTGGGTCATTAAACATGCCAAGCAGCCAAGAAAAACATCCATCCACTTGAGTTTTCATGGTTAAATACTGATACAAAAGTGCTTTGTTTTCATACATGATCAAACTCTTAATCATTTAAATGTGAGGCCCTAGATTGTTTTATTTTGTGGGTTTGTTTCAATATTATTTTCAGCTAGAATTGTTCCATTAAAACAAGATTAATAATAATAATAATAACTTTATTTATATAGCACCATTAAAAACAGAGGTTAACAAAGTGCTTTGACAACAGTTGCAAGCACAGATCATCAGCACATGAAAATAAAAACAAATAAAAACAAAAGCTCAGTTAAAAACAACGCCTCTGAATTGAAGGCCAATTTCATTTTTCATAAGAAACCCAGACAATACAAGAACCCTACAACATAAAATGGGACCATGAGGACCAAAATAAAAACATAAAATGAAATAGAAAAGGAGGGCAGAAAGCAGGAAACAGGCTAGTAAGTATATAAAAGGATATTAGTAATAATAATAAAATCATAATAAAATGATAATGATGGTAATATAAATGATAAAATGGAATAATAAAAAACATTAAAATCAATGAAGGACCTAAGAGATAAAATAGGAAAATATTATAAGTAAACAAAGGCTCAAAGGATAGCAAGACAAAATAAGATAGAGGTAAAAGAGATTAAAAAAAAAAAAATTTTTTTAAAGGGTAAAAATAAATAAATAAATAAATAAAATAAAATAAAATAAAATAATATTAAAAAAAAGATAAGATTTCTGTCCAAACTTGACCTTTTTGACTTTCACGATTTTAAATGTTGTGGTCCTCTTTCACGCTCTTATTACAGTTTACTTCTGGAAGCTTCTTAATCTGACTGGTAAATCCATGCTCATCTCAGTCTAATCTAGTTAAATCACTGCATCGTTACTTTTACTTTTAATCCAACCAGCAACTCTCGGCTTCCAGCCTTTCCACTCCAACTTCCTCAGCACCTAACTTTTCAAATATGACAACCCTCAAAAAACAATGCAAAAGAAACACTGTGATTTTGTTTTTGTTTTTTTATTCCATCACATTTATAACTTAACCAAAGGCTCTATCCAGTTTCCTCCCCTGCTGTTTCGAGGGTCAGTAAAGGTTGAGTCTGAAGCTCTTAGATTTCATGCCAGTATGGTCAAGAGGAGCCAACAGTTCTCTGGTTTAAAAAAAAAAAGGTTGAAATGTGAACATCTACAATACCATGTCAACAGGGCAAGACAAAATATGACTGAAAAACTGCATGGCAGCTTCTGATTAGACCGTAGGGTTTGCTTCTTTTTCAAAAACAGTCATTTGAATATGTACCAGTACATGCAGCCATCCTTAAATCAAAGAGATGGACACCAGCTTTTCCCCTGAATGTAAAATTTTTAATCTGCTTTTCTTTCACTGACACATCACTAGTTGTAAAAATATGCCAATGCTGTGTGAAAACCCTGGTTTCTCCTTTTGTTTCACAGCGTCTCACACTTTTTTTCAAAACAAAAAAAAAACAGTGTCTCTGTTCACACACATAAAAAACACTTTTTTAACTTTTTTACAGTCAGGCCAAGTCAGTTTATCGGCTCCATCACCTCTGATCTCTCTGATCGGCTCAATTTGCTTCCTATTCTGCAGCAGACACAGCATGGAAGGCCATATTTCACACCGTCTACACTGACTTTAGGAAAAACATCCCAGCAATAACTCACAAACATGCTGCAGCTGTAATCAGGTCAAACCCGAGACAAAAAAACGTTGTCAAACTGATAACAAGTTATGGTATGTTCACTTTCAACAGGTGATTAAAAATCACTCCAGAGCGGCTTGATTAGGAACCCACTTCTTCCAATATACTTAGAGCACAAAATCAAGGATGGTGTTAAGTGTGATTGTTGCTGAAGGGCCAGCGCACTTTGAAGGAAACTATCTTGAGGAAATCTTTTTAGTTACAACCAAACTTTGAGCTGAAAAAAGGAACATTAATAATACACACAAACACACAAAAAAAATCAAATTCACTTAATCTACTGACACACAAGCAACCCTTAAACACACCACCACCCCATAATTGACTCCATGTATTGGCAGCAATGAAGATGTAGACACACACACGCCTGCCTACACCCACATACCTTCACCAGTGTGTGAGGTGCTAACGCCAAGGACGTTGAGGCACAGATGTTCAAGCAAATCACATACACTCAAATGCACACACACACACACACCGAACGCACACACACACACACACACACACACTGTAACCTGTGGACTGTTGCCAAGGCAACTGTAGACCACTGACAAGGGGCTTATTGGTTTCATGAAGTGACTGTTGGCCCTGTGCGTTCTCACAGGGCGCTAATGAAAGGCATTCATCATTCTGCTCCCTATATCTTTACGGCTGATATGTGACGACCTCACACACAGATATGCGCACACACACACACACATACACTGCTAATCGCTCCCATCATGGTGCCAACAGCTCTGTGTGTCTGTGTGTGTCTGTGTGTGTGTGTGGAGGAGGATATCCAACATGGGAGGCAGGAGATAACATATTAAACATTCAGCCTGTCTCCACCTACTCCATAACACCAGAGAACACACACACACACACACACACACACACACACAGAGCTTAAGTCATGCATGTCTGTGTGTGGCTAAGTGAGTGGTTTAGTGTCTGTGTGTGTGTGCGAGTGTTCTGCTGGAATAAAGAAATGCTAATCTGCTCATTGAGTATTCAACAAACCAAATGTTTGCCTTGGGAAAAAAGCTCAGCTTAAGGGACTAATTACTACAAGTGCTGGATGTAATGTTGCTCTGCTGCGCTGCCTCTTTTTTGCTCTCTCCCTCCTTCAGCAGGCAGACAAACGCCTTCTTTCTTTGCTCATTTTGAGGTTCCTTTTTACACCCACTTCTTTCTTCCCTCTTTGTCTCCATTTCATAAATGTCAAACAGCTCTGGAGGAAAAACAATCTTCCAATCCTGATCTTAAATAATACGAAGGCAATGAGCTCCATTTCTTTGCTCATAGCCTTTTCGAGATATCCGGCATTAAATAATGAAGCAGTTTACATAAATGAAGCTCCAAATGTAAGTATGTTTGTACTATTGAACATCTGGGGCTATCTGCAGAAACATTCAATTACAGAGAGCTACACTGAGACTTTCTAACACAAAAAAGTAGATATAAAATTTGTTGAATTAAGGGAGCATAGTATGCCAGAACATATACATATATATCCACAGAAGCCAATTTATTAAGACTCAAACAGATTTTCTGCAAATGATTTCCTTCAAGCTTGTTTGCAGCCAGAGTCTCACTTTGTTTTTCTTTATTATTTTGTTTTGTCTTTGCACATTATATCAAATAAAAGCCCCCAGCTACTATCACCTGAACTATGAATGCAAATGAATGAGAAAGTCTGATGTGGGAATTTGATGGCACTAAATTTCTGCCTGCAAATGGTTGAAATTCCTGTTTTATCCAGATTTAAGGTTGTGTACCTAATGTGTAAAGCTAGACTGAGTGGTTAACAGCAAACACACAAGTCTACAGGACAAAAGGCAGTCTTACCTTGACTGAGTCTCTGTCTGAGGAGGCCGTGAGGGGGAGAAGAAGAAAAGACTGATTATACGATGAATGTCTGTACAACAACCATAATCATGCAGAAAGATCAAGAAAACACACACATACACTGAAAACAGATGAGAGGGAGACGTACAGCTGAGGGTACAGCTGATGATGAATTGTCTTTGGATTGATTCTCCTGCTTGATGACATTATTCAAGGTAATTTCAGCTGCCTCTTCTTTTTTTCCATTTAATCTTATTAGACAGCCTTCAGTACGTTAAGTGAAAGGTTGTAATGGAAAGCAAACTGAAACAGGGTGAAGAATATGCTAATTAAATAGTGAATTAGTTTGCAGGAAAGCTTAGATGTGAAGTTAACTGTAGCAGCTGCTCGGGGTTCATCGAGCAGTCAAGGTTTACAGTTGGTTGTAAATTGACTCTGCTCTGTAGAATTTAGCAAGAGAGGATGTACTGGGATGAGTTATGATATTTAGGTATTGAATATTTGTTTAAAAAAACAAACTAAATAGTTTCTGTGACTGTAATCTGTAAAAAAAAAATCTATTTTCAAATTGTTTTTGCGGGCGCCTGCAATGTAGCACAACAACCAGATGGTGGCTGTAGCACATCTAGCAGCTGTTTGCTGAATGTCATGAAATAACAAAAGAAAAAGAAAGCATAAAAACGCAGACTCCTGCAGTTTTTACAGAGTTATTTGGGGGGGAAAAAGGGAATAAGATAAAGTGCAAACGGAGCGAGGTATAACTAGCATATCTACATCATAGCCATACATACAGTACATCATATTTACAAGTCTCTCTTTCCACTCGAGTCCAAAATTGCTTTCAATAAATTCCCTACTAATCATGTTATAACTTCGAAAAGACAGAAAAGATTGCTTGAACCAAGGTCATGAAACTTAACTGAAATATTTAGGAATTAACTAAAGAGCAGAAACACAGAATATACAATTAAACTTCAAAATGTGTGTTAATTTAGACACATAAATCTCATAAAACTGACAAACAATGACCAACTCCTAGTGGAGTTGGAACATAGAACAGAGAAATATAAAGGTAAGTGTATCGGCTGTAAATGTTAACACTCCGACATGTTTTCGTCTTTGTAAATTAATGAGCTCAAGTGGTTAAAAAGGACACTACTATGAAATTAAAAAGTCACCTCTTTAGCATAATTATATGCATGAGAAGACAGAAATTCATATTTAAGCTAAATGAGAAACCTCTCATCCGTCAAATTCACGTCTGCTCACAGAAACTCCGCTGGAGATGAAATTGATTGCTATTGATAGAGCTCCTAATGGGTGTAAGGATTACCTGAGTTAGCCGCTGTTAGCTTCACTCCAGCTACAGGGCAAGGTTAACTGCTGTAGCACTTTCTGCACACTCACAGTCATGCTGTAAAGGGGTAATTAAGAGCTGGCACACTCTGCTTCTGTCACACAAACATAAACACCAACACAGCTTGTGTGCACGGCGATTAAATGCTTGAACTTGAAGTCAGCTTGGAATAAACAGGGGTGCGCTGAGTGTGGAGAAGAAAAAAGACAGCATGGTGGTCGGGTTTCGCTCCTTATTAGGCCAATTAAACTGGCATAATGACAAATTAGTTTATAATTGCATTGACTGCTGTTCATTCAAAGCGTCTACCATAATTTTGACTGAATTTTCCAGACATGTTAAATTAGCTGAGGGTCATTAACTCAACTATAGCGCCAGTATTTATTTCTAATAAACAAACAGCTTCTCTTTGTGGAAGAGAGGTCAAGCTTATGCAGTGTGTATTTCTCAAGTTATTTGTATGCTATGATAGGTTAAGTTTATGTATTGTGCATACATTTTTATATCTTATATAACCTATTTTTGGATTTGATTGGGAAATGATTGGATTATTTCACTGTAATTAGTTATTATTTTATTGTATGTCACCATTTAGACTCAATGAATTATTTTAAAATCTCAGGTGGTTTCTAGTTGAAAGAGGCAAAATAATCTAAAACCAATTAAAAAAAAATGCTTTAAATAAAACTTCACAAGACAGTTCACACCAAAAAAAAAAACCCAGTTGGACTTTCAGCGGTCATGAAGCCAACACCTACTGTACACACACAAACAGCGGGCTCACCTCTTTGATGTTCGCTGTTGTTGTTGTCGTGGTGTTTCCTCTCGTCTTTGAGCGGCAGCTGGTGGCTCAGGGCCGAGGACAGAGCCAGCAGGCTGGCAGTCCCAGCCCCGGGGGGCAAGGGAGGCTGAAGGCCCGCTGGGTGAGGTGTGAGCGGGACGGGGATGGCGTGGCCGTGGGAGAGGTGCTGAGCCTGGAGCTGCTGCTGCTGAACAACATATAGAAATGATAAGAATTGTGATGCCGCTGTTTGTAAACGGTATTTGGGAAGAAAAAGAAGAACTGGAGAAGGTGAAATGACTAACATAACCTCATACCTTAAAGACACACAGTGGAGCAACAACAATCAGAGAGATATTTTTACTTTATAAATGTCCTCCAAAAATTCTTTAAATGGCGCCTGATAAGCCCAGTAGTTCAGGCATGCAACCCAAACACAGATGGCACTCTTTTCTCTTTTGGCAGGACATTTATCTGTTCAAAAATCTGGCAATAGTCTCTGAGGGAAAAACATCAAACCCTTGTCATAATTACCTCAAAAATACAACATCTTTGACATTTCTGTATTGTAATTTCCTTCTCCTTGTCAGCCTGACCTATATGGTGATAGTCATAATTTGTGATAAAGTAAACCCAGCCGATGATATCTGCCCCACTGATATCAATCCACAGCTCTAAATCCACTAGTGAGAGCAATCAACAGGTGCTTTGCTGAAATAACAAAAAAAATCTCAGCTGGTATAAACAAGAAACAGAGAGGCTTATTTTTCACAATGTTTGGATACTTTGTCAGCTTTGAACAAATGTGATTTACTCAGGATCATTAAACCTAAGACGGATCGGATTAGACTCTGTGGTAACTGGTCTGCTCTGCTCTCGTTTGGAATTAGCAGTCAGTGCTCAGCTCCACCATCACCTTGAAAAATGACTTTTAGCATTTCTTTTTCTCTCACTTTGTCAGTGTTTCTCTTTGATAGGTCTATCTTACAGCATCTTGTGTTTGTTATTGTGTGAGCGTGTGCGAGTGTGCAATCCACCCACCCCTATGATGGCGTTGAGCTCAGCCATGGTGACCTGCTTCGCCCTCTCCACTGCTTGCACCACCTGCTGCTGATGCTGAGACACAGGCAGAGACAAGGTGAGAAATCTCGACGGAAACTGAGAAGAATTAAAAGGCAGCTGGATTTTTGAAGAGGTGACAACCTCTTGAGACCAACACAAGAGATCACAACAGCAGAGAAAATATATTCCTCCCACATCCTTCTCCTCAGTACATTGATTAAGATGCCCTGCACAGCTGTTCCTCTGCGCACATCTGCTTGATTGTTTTTTACTCTAAATCATCAAATTAAAGCAATGCTTTTTATATTTATGGCCATCAGTCTCTTTTTTTTGCTTATTTCCAATTAGGCAGACTAACTGCTACATGGCAGCTGTCAATTAGTCCCACACATGGACAGAATAAAAAATGGGAGTCACTGTGAAATCACCCCCTGTTTTTTTGAAGCCAAACAATGGTGCTCGCCATGTTGGAAAAACTCTCCGTCGACCTACACACAGGCAAACAGGTGGAACTGAGGCGAGCCTGAAGTCTCCTAAAAATGAAAGTTTGTGTAGAACTCCTACCCGCTTTATTTTCTTAATGGATGAGTTATAAAAATTACTTTCTGTACAGAGAGTACAAATAAATAACTGAGCTTTATGCCCAAAACTGTTCATTGACCCAGGCTGCAAACATCTTTATTTCTGCTGTTAACTTGGGAATCATAACATGGGACCTTTTGAGCTTGAGCTTTTACAGCAAGCAACAAGAGGTCAATCAAGGATTTACAGCTTTTTGCTCGCCCACATCGGCTTCATTACAGTTTGCTGCTTAAAGTAACGATGTTCACATAATATTTTTCTTTTCCTGTATCAACAGGGCTTCAACTGGCTGATATCAGAAACGTATGTTACAGGCACGAATGTTTTATTTAACGGTAACCTACTGTGTTTTATGGCTGAAGTAAAGTGTTATTCCCAAAGACCTGTGCATTGTAGAGTATGTTAAAGGATTAAAACTCAGTTTCAGTTGTTAATTTAAAAGTAATGATTTCCTTTTACTGTCACAGCAAAAAAGCTTATACTGTATTTCTTAAGGCAAAGTTTTGGCAACCACAGCTGTTAGTTGTTTACTGTAAAAAAAAAAAAATTCAGCAGTGGAAAAAATGCACTTAATAAATGAAATGGCTTACTTTTACACACTCTATATTAATGGGCTCTGACAGCACCTGTTCCTGATAAACTCAGTATTTAGACCCTGAAAACAAGTTAAACATCCAGAAACAGCCTAAGGGGAAGATAAATCGCCAAAACACTTAGAGCTAGAGAGTTAAGGTTAAAAAGTCCTCCCTATAACAGATACAATACCATAGAGCACAAAAATTTATCGATCCCCAAAGTAAAATTCAGATAAGATATGTCATGAGAAAATATAAAAAGTCCAACAAACATCAAATTAATTTGTTTCTGCCATGAGAGTAAGTTCTTTCTTTTTCTAAGTAATATTTTGGGTCATTTTTGCTTCTGTTGGATTGGACAGCTGAAGAGAGACAGCAACTGTGGGGAGTAGAGAGAGTGAGGGAAGACATGCTGCAAATAGTCATGGCTGGGAATCAGAGCAGTAACTGCTGCAACAAGGACTATAGCCTCTGTACATGGAGCACTTAGACCGCTGAGCAATCGAAACCACTACAGACTGAGTTCTAACTGTATGTTGGTTCTTTTTTATATGTGCAAATGTTCAATATTTAAAGGAAGTTTACTTTCAATAAGTTATCTGATGCTCAAAAGAGATTATGTGAGACAATGATTGACAGCTCTTCTGACCAATCCCAACACCAACAGAAAGTTAAAAGTGTATTTGTAAAAGTGTAAACCCTCAGCCAGTGCATGTCTTGGCAGCAAAATACATCATCAGAACAATATGTCAGCATCTGTTTCAGTGGAGTATTTTGGCTTTATTTTTTACAGTTTTACAACAGCATGCTTTAACGACTTAAAGACCAGTGACAAAGAAAAACTTTTCTTTGAAACTGTAAGCTGTTACTTGTCAATCACCCTAACTTAAAAAAAATTGCCTTCAAATGCGTGGTGGTTGGTACATTGCTTACTAACATACAAGCTTTGACTTAACATTACATCATGTTTTTAATGTTTTTTGTATAGTGACAGTTGGCTGTAAATCAGTTTTTCTTGGTCACATTAGGAGGAAAGGTGCTGGTTGCAGCCAAACTGACCTTGAATTTTACTGTTTCAAGAATATGATTATAAACTTTGGTGCTCTTATCAAAATTACTAAAAGGATCAACTACTTTACATCTCATTAACCGCCAATAAACTTGAAGTGACAGTATAAGCTACAGCATATACTCAATTCTGTACTAAGCATTTCTTGAGGAATTGCCTTCACCTTGTTACACAGTTCAAAACCATTAAACAAGAGCCCAAGACACCTCTGACTTGTCGCTGTCTACATTATTTACATATTACTTTGCCATCTGACACCTGGTAGAAAACTCAATGGATAGAGAAAGTTACTAAATATGCCATTTAAACAAACAACAGCAATTGAACTAAGGACACTTTTTATTCTCCAGTTTTTCCATCAACATGTTCACGGCACAGCAGAGACATCACAATCATGAATTCTATGCAACTCTGTCATCCTATTTCCCCCCACACATCTCGAACTGGTGTAGCTATAACTGACAAATTCATGGAGGGAAAAAGACAGGTACCCAAAGAGACAGACAGCTAGCGGAGCAAAGTCATCCAAAGGGTACAGAGTGAGAGAGAGACGGATCCAGACGGTGAGCGAGATTCATCCAGGAGCGCAAAACATCAAAGTGGGGCAGAGATGAAAGAGCTTATCCGGTGTGGAAATGAACCTGACCGTCGAGTTCAGCTACACCTCAACAAACCGAGTCCAACCTGCATGAACGTGACTCACACATGAAAAGATCCATACGTCTGATGAATAAGGCTTAATAGCTTTCATTTTATTAACACAGACTACTCTAACATTTGAGAAACATAGAGATTTAATAACCAACAATTTTCTTTGGTATTCCAGTTTAACTAGATTCTGATCATTTAATCAAACTGCCTATACACTCTGCCTGAGAGGGTGACTTTTTCTTTCTTTAAATTGTTGGTTAAAAAGCAAGCTAGAATTATGAGTTTTGTACACATCTGTGCCCTACTGGTTCCCCTTTTGATCTCCAAAACTTTAAGACTTTCCTTTTGTTTTTGTTCAGAATCAAACAGACTGAAATCTTATTACTGATCTGGCTGCATTATACTCAATTTCATATTGGCTTTGTTGACATAAAATCCCAAATTACGGTGCAAAATCAGAGTAGAAACTTGCAGCAGAAAACAGTTTTATTCTAGTAATATCTGATCAAAGAACAAGTGTAACAGGAAAACCCAGGATTCATTGTCAACTTTAGTAAAGTGACATTTTGACTCTCTAAATTGAGGCCACAACTCTGCTTAAAGTCCTTCACTCACCCCCACACAGACAGTTTTATGTTTGAGCCATAATTCTCGTATTTGTCCTCCTAAAAAGTCTGAGTAATTATTACTGGGAACATAAAGTTGACTGATTCATCACCATATTAGTGACAACAATGCTGCTGTCAGAGACATTTCCGAGCAGCAGGAAGGGACAATATCCGAAAATGACAGAAATAAATAAAAACAAAGCCCTCCACAAACACACATTCACACACAGACACACACACACACACTCACACAGAGGGGATGCGATTTGCTGCACAATGATATATGATTTGTAACATTTCATATGCACAAGCACTAAAGAGGCTGTGCATCAAAACAAAGCAGTGAAAGCTGTCTCCTCTCTCTGCCTCCCCTCTCTGCGGGCCTCAGGGCTGTGTAGCAGCACCGTAGTCTAATGCCATTATTCCTAATCCACCCTAAACCCTCCTAATCCATGGCTAATCTGGAGGAGAGCGCTGGAGTCCACACTCACTCCTTCCTGATGTTCCCACCCCTCAACACACACACCAAAACACACACTTTTAACTCCTCCAGAGGTAGGATTTATCAGCTTAACACACACACACACTTTAAGATGCCATAACAAACATTTCATTTAAAACACACTTTTCACACCTACTGCTAAATGTGCACACATATAAGGTGTGTTTAATGTGTTCATTTCATGTGCATGCAGGTGGACACACACATACACACACAGCCGCTGGCTCCTGCATATGTTAGTGGGAGACATTTAATAAGTTCAGAGCATATCTGCCTATCCCGAGCAGAGGGGATTAGCGCAGGATAATCTGTGTGTATGTGTGTGTGCTCAGCCTTACAATCCACCACACACGTCTCCTTCCTCTATGGCTTCTATCTGTCTACTTTCCTCCCTCTCTCCTTCTTTTTTTCTCTCTTCTCCTCCTTCTCTGTCTCTCTCTCCATGCCTCTTTCTCACCCACCTCTGTCTTAACTCTCAGTGACAGGCCTTTTTTCAGTCTTACCTCTTGAGAGAGGAAGGGGATGACTTGGGCGCAGATTGCATTCAGCCGTTTGACGATCTCCGCCTGTAAGACAGAGAAGTGGGCGCAGGAAACACAATCATTTTCACATTCACTTACAGAAAAGACACATTTTTTTCTGTGTAAGCAGCTAGAAAAGGCTTGCATCAGTTCTATTTTAATGTCTATTTATTTATTCAAAATAACAGCCTCCATTATTTCAATAAAATGACCGTCCATATTAGGGAGTTGAAATTCGATATATGGTGAAAGCTTTACATTTGCTCCTGGAAACCCAATATCGGGAGATTTTTCTCTTCTCGAAAGAAGTTACCTATAGTGTAAGGCACTTAGAAGATCCCCTAGGAGTTTTGGATGTCATGCGGCTCTGTGGAGTAGTATTTTATATGATTATCTGCTGTGAAGACATACACAGTCCTGTCAATGACATCATGCTTGGCATCAGGGATTGACAGGTAACGATAACACACCAAAATATGTGGCAGAGCACCCAAAAAGAAAGCAAAGATACTAAATGACCCTTACAGTTTAGTGTTTGGGTAAACAGAAATAAGGACTAAGTGGATTCATGATCCAGATATTTAAACTCCCTCAGCGGAAAAATGCAAGTAAAGAAGAAAGTTAAAGACCACAATCTTTGTACGGAGAGTAAACAACAGAGGAATGAGGTACAATAACAGCAAAACAGTAAGAAACTAATTAGTCTGACTAACAGAAAAGCAGATTTTCTGTTGTAATCGAGCCCTAAATACTCCTGAACTAATTACACTTGAGCCAAGAGAAGGAGCTTAAATCTCAGCTCGAGTGACTGAGCCACACATTACGAGCTGAGGTGATTTTCTAGGTAGAGATACTGCTGAAACAATTTAGAGCAGCTTCTTTGACCATTGACAAAAAGGCCAAATATCTGAGGATTGCATCTCAAATCTGGAGTAATGCTGCAGTTTAGCTTCTCTAACAAAACAACTTTCATTCGATAACAGCCATGATTGTGCTGTTGATACCAGGGTTGCAGGTCATTGGGCAAAAGGTGGAGTACATCCTTACTGTACAATAATATACTCTAATGGCAAAGAAGTGCGTTTCTTTACAAGTGGATAGAAACCTAATAGAAACTACAGGAAGCCAGAGGAGAGGCTATTTTTTGCTTTATAATTGTAAAACTGTTTTTCTGTCTTTCATATCAAACTGATAAAGACATTCTTGACAATCACCATGAATGACTGAATTGATTGAATTGTATTTTGTAATTCCATTCTGTACACAAAGCTAAGTGGACTAGCCTGAACTAAGCTCTTCCACTTATCCTCTTGCTTCTTCTACTCCTATTCTCCATGAGCACAAGTCAGTATCAATAGCGAATGTCAATAACAAACCAGCTTTCATCAACCTTGGAGTCATCTTGATCATGTGAAGTATACAGGAGCGGAATTTTTACTGCAGGAACTGTTAAAACAAGTCTAGTTTGAGATTTTTGCCAACTCAATTAGTGAAAGAAAGCCAAAGGAAAAAACAACCAACAAGGTAGAAGTCACATCTCTAACCTAACCTTGGCGAGGGCTTGTTTGTAAATAACCTTCACAGAGGTGAACATCGCTCCGGTATCAGTGCTAACAGACGACCCCAGAGGCTACAGGAGCAGAGCTACAGATACAGACCCTTCAGACAGGAGCAGGAGCAACACTGGATGCAGAATGCCTCACATAAACACTGCTGTGTGTGCACACAGAAACAAGCACATACACACTTCCACAGCCTTCTCTGTATTCATCAGATGTATTTACTGAACCCTAGGGTTGGCTTTAAAGATTATACCGCACTCTCTCACTCTCCACATCAGGTAGGATTTTTTTTTTTAAACAGGAAATTGCCTGATCCACTGTCCCAAAGGGAGTGCTAGTAGTTTAACTCAAATCCAAAGACAAACAGAGACAAAAGACACAGACTCATACAAACACACTTAATCACACACAGGGATGTGGTTCACCTTTTTCATTTCTAAGACTACAACAAACATACATACCTTTATAAAACAGTCTTTTCTCCAGAGAGATTCATTTGGGCCCAACAGAGGAAAACTCTCAGCTGTATTATTGAATTTCAAGAATCACTTCACCTCCGATATTCATAATCGTGTCTTTTCAAAACAGAAACCTGCTTCTTAGTATTGCCATGAATCCCCTCCTGAATTTGGCGTGTCAACATCAGTTCTAATCTCACTTCTTGAGTTGCTAGGACTTCAGACAGGGGCAGCACATGGAAAAGGAATTTCGCAGGTCCTCTTCCACAGTGGGTTTGGAGGATATTAAGGGTGGGAATCACCAGCGGCCCCACAATACCATATTATCACAATACTTGGGCCATGATACGTTATTATTGCGATTTTTAACATTTTGCAATACAGTGAGTATTGCAATACAATATATTGCGATTTATATAATTTTTTTAACTGTTTAGCTAATTTAGCATTAGGCTTTTCCTTATGTTTGCCTTATTTACGCTATATTTTATTTTCATGTAGCACATCTTGCAAACCTTATACTGTATATATTTGTTGTACTAACTCTCTCCTGCTCTATGATGTCACCTCTGACAACCTCACTGGATAAACAGTTATATTTTATTTTTCCATGATCATAAATTTGACTTCATATTAACAATTAATTTGAAAAATCGATACTTGGTAAATGAGAAGATACGATATATCATCGAACAAAATATCGCGATTCTATCCTGTATCGATTGTTTCTACCACCCCTAGAGGATATGGTTTGATAATGGCCCTCTCAGACTCAAATAGTAGTAAAGAGCGACAATCACTCTTTCCCAACACCAGAGTTAGAGATCATGAGTATGTTGTGAGTATGAGTATGTTTTCAGGATGTCTAAGCGTCAAGAATAGTGACAGGACTATTTAGTGTAAAGGAGATGTAGAAGTCAGGGAAGCGCTAAATTTCGACCTACCTCTGATTAACACAGAGCTGCAGAGCTCAAACTCCCACAGACAACCTAAAACACTGACATTTTCATTTTATATTTAACGTTTATCCTGGGCAGACTTGCTGTGCACACATGCCCTTTTTCAGCTCGGTTCTGCTTCACATTCATGCTCACCGGGGAGCTGCCCAGTACATATTAGCCTCTGAGAAAACTCCACTGTGTTGGCTGGCTGAGGTTTAAGTGCCTTGCTCAAGGGCACCTAAGTATTACTGTTGGGGAAGGAAGTTTGGTCTGGTATTATACAGCTGGGAAATGAGCTGGTGACCCTCCACTAACACCAGACCTAGTTTCAGCTCAAGAAGCGTATGAATAAAAGAGCTGCTGCTTCTGGTCTGGCATAAGGAAATAAATGTTCAAGGAGAGAGTGAATGGGTGGCAGACAGCTATGATCAGGCAGGGAGAGACGTTGCCACATCCACTTGGGCTAGAGAGGGCTGCAAGGCAGGGCTGAAGTTGCAACACCAACATCTATCAAAAATGTTCCATGGACCATACCAGTCCTTCCTTTTTTTGCCAAATGTGAGCTCTTCAAGTGTTTATTTTGATTTTAAAGTACATTGATGCATTTGTACTAGAGAGCAGATGGAAGGTAGCTGACAGGATAGAAGGAGAGAGATGTTTGGGTGAATGCATGCAACAAAACCTTTTGGTATGGCTAACTGATCATTCTTGCAGGCACTGCTGTTGCCTAAAGCCACTTTGCTGTTAGGGTGCCTATTCTCCAGCTTTGCACTTTATGCAATTGATTTTTAAATATGTTTTTATTTCTTTCGTTTTAACTTCCAGCAGCACTTTCTACGTTCTTCCATTTACAGCTCATTATTACTTTTATTTAGCTGCAAATCTGTGCTGACTTTTTAAATCAGTTTGGGCTAAAATGACCGAACAATGCAGCAAATCTATTCCAACTTCATATGATAAAAATTATGGAAATTATTGGGGGGTCTAAGTGCAGGTTGATGGATTTGTTTAATGTTGATTAGGTTTATAGACTTGACGCAATCAGTTAATCCGTCCATTAGTCATTTGTAAGAAATGCGGTCTCGTTTTTAAGTGAAATGCAGGCAGCAACTTTGAGCAATGAAAAATGGAGCCAGTACAGAAGTACAAAAAACTGCTGTTCCACAAGTGTCCACTTGGGGCTTGCTCTGAAGACTACAGAGGTCCCATTAACACCAATGTTAAAAGGCCCATTATTACAGCATTTTGTTTCATTTAAAGAAAGAAATTCAGTAAATTGAGGATATTACTTGTTACGACAATCATCATTAATAAATACACTTAGACGGATAAAACCACTTATACGTTACTGTAGAATTTTAAAGGCTTTATTTTTGACGCAGTTTTGTCACTCTTAAAATTTGACGACTGCCAGATCAGACACCAATCAATTTTTGAGGAGTGGAACCTGAGATGTTGGCACTGAAATGGAAACAAAAGCACTGGAGCAGAAAAGGAAATGGAGATGCTTTTCCATGAGGCAACACAACCAATTTCAGGTGACATTTTACATCATTGACAGACAACCATGTCTGTCTGCCGGGGTGCTGGGGTGTCAGCCTGTTTGGACAACGCATTTGTTCATGCAGCAGAAACCAAAGCAGAAAAAAAACAACTCTCCTTTTCTTTCTTAAGACGTGTCCCGCCGCTAGTGCAAACCTGAAAAATTTGTTTCTGCAGCAAGCGGACCTCTGCTTTGACCTGGACCTGTCACCGTCTTGACAGTGAATAAAACATAAGAAAAGACTGGTGGGAGAGTCCTCTAAGGTTAGGACTCTAACCTGGTCGATCCATGGAGCTTATTGGTAGATTAGAGAAGTCTGTGGTCACACAAAGCTGAGTAACCTCGGGTCAGATCATGTGTGCTGAATTTATCTTTGACTCTCAATCTGAGTCACTGAAAAATGTTCCTACAGTGAAAAAAAAAAAGAGAGAAAAAACAGTGGGTGGTATCTGAACAACATGAGGCTTCTTTTATTTTATTTCTGACTTTTAGCCTTTACATCAGGTCAACAGCGCAGTGTAAATGGAGTGATCCGTCTGAGTCATCTGTTACCCTCACATGCACTATCTAAAAAGCATCTATAGAGGGATTTTCCAGGGATTTTACTCTCATTATTTACCTGAGAAAGCCTCCTTGGATTTCAGTACTGTCTTTGCTATAATAAGACGGTAAGCTAGTGCCCCCAGAAATTACCTCCTATCACAAAAGATGTTGCCCATAAGAGAAAAATAACAGCTGAAATACTCCCACTTTAGCTCCTAACAACAAAGAAATTAGATCAGGCAGGAGCCCTGGAGTCAGATTGGGTCAGATAGAAGATCAAATGTCCATCTCCCCTGTGGAGCTTTGTAAGCACCACATCAGCACCACTTTTCACCACCGGCTAATACACCTAATGGACCCCGCCATATAAAAGCTGTTTTCCCCTGTGACTGTGTGTGTGAGTAGGTGTGTGAAAGACATGGCTAGATAGGTAAAAAGAGATGGGAGGAACAAAAACAAAGGGTGATATTCAGACTGGCAACAAATTGTTCTGCTCTCGACACTAAACTGATGCTTTGAGTTAAGACTGTCCTCTTTTCAGTACTTTGGCACTTCTATTAAGTCTAAAAAAATAACAAATCAGTTTCTTTTAACAGGATTACAATTATAGCCTTAATAGAAAGATATATGACATGATGACGCTCCCCAGAAGTGAAGCCAAAATGTTTAAAGCTCACCTGGCGACTGGCTGCAGTTAAGGTCATTGAGTCCATCTCCTCCATGTTAACAAACAGGACAGGAGTCAAGGGATAAGATCTAAACACATGTCAAATAAATCGAAGATGTGGTTCCCTTTATTGTAGTCAGTTCTTATCCTAATTTAGGCTAAAGTGTTCATTTTTCATTTTTCAGCTTTTAAGACATGAATGCAACTCTTCCAAGTGTATGTAACTCTTATATTCTCTATTTTCTATTTCCTTGATTCTGAAACTGTTTAACAGCACACTATGTTCTATGAATGAACAGTATTGGAATATCTGCATATATCTAAAATTGAGATATTTTCAAACTCATTTTCACTATTTCCATCCTGACTTTGCATTTCCCACCATGTTAACATGCTGGTTATCAAGAGCAACAAAGTTAGTGATTGTCTTGTAAAGCCCCTTTGCCAGTGGATGGTCAATGCTTTATTCCTCAGCTTATCTGAATGAGAGGCTGCAGACAGGTTTTTGCAGGTACTCTATTTCTTTCCGAATTTTTAGAAACATTTGGTATGCAAGATGAAAATTCTTGAGATGCACTATTACACCACTCATGTTTAAGGAGTGGTGTTTTGCTCCTTCTCCCATCACCTGTGCTTTAAAGGTTTTAGAAATAGCTATTTTGCTGTCTGATGCTTGGATATATCTGATACCAGGTACAGTAGCTTCAGTTCTTGAAGTAGGAGGCCTGAGACCCAATCTCGAACCCTACTCTTAACTGGTTCCTGCTTTCTCCCACAGTCCTATCATCAGCATGGAAACTAAAAAATCCCCCTTGACTTCAACCTCTAACTATTCCTCGACTCATTTTGGGACCACTCAGAGTCAATCTGTGACCACGTTTTGAGGTTGTGAACCACATGTTGGAAACTTTTGAAAAATCTTTGAAAACATTTTTCAATCTTTTTAACAGCTTCAAAAGTGGAATTTAAAGCAAAACCTAAATCCAAAGATTTTTCAAAACTTTTGCACGAAAATAGGGAAAATATCCATAAATGAACTGCCACTTAAAATCTAATTTATTGTCATTTTTGGTGCCAGTGTGCTCTTCATTTTACTCTAAGTGCATTTTCTGGAGGTCAATCCAAATCTAAAAATGCGGGATAAAAAATTACGTGAACAGAATCCATCATCGAAAACAAATGGCTCCCTCTGGGCTGGAATAAAATGACTTGTCAGAGCTTGTTGAAAACACTGCCAGTCTTCAGTATCAAAACGTCTCATTACTTCCGCCTTTCACCACCTTCCCTTCCCTCCTCCTTCCCCTTTCACTCCCCATCCTCCGCTTGCTTTATTTCTCTTTCAGCCTCACTAATTTGCAATTGATTAGCTGTCCTCGTGCTCCTCGGTCCTATGCTCTACACCCCTCGTACTCTTCTCCCTCCTCCCCTTCTCTACCTCCCCGCTACTCCTCTCTTCCATCTACGAGTCAATTTCTCTTTAACGAGGGCACCAGAGCCCTTCTGTGTAAATAAAACAGAGAGCAGAGCCAAAAATCAATGGGCTTATTACCCTCAGAAAATGCTAAACAAGCAATATCAGCAATACACTTGGTAGCTGAGGCCGCCGGCCTTAATGGGGCTGGAGCTCGACACCCCTGAAAACATCCCCTCCACCATCACGGACTCTGCTAGCACCACCCCCCACCTTCAATCTCAGCATCCAAAGAGCCCCACACGTCGTGTCATCATATTGAATGCTGTAGACTAAAGACACACATTAACGCTCATGCACGCTGGCACACTGGAGCACACAAACACAGCCTGCAAATGAAAATCATTTGCCCAATATCCCTCTCTCACACACACAAACACAAAAACACAAACACACACACACACACACACACACACACGCAAACACACAAACTGCTGGCAGAAATTAGAGATTCAGGCTCCAAAACTGTTTCCTGACAGAAATCATTGGGCACCACACAGAGCCACGGGCCACATTTCACTTCTTTTTATTTTTTCTGCTATTGCAAACTCACACACACACACACACACACACACACACACACACACACACACACACACACACACACACACACACACACATCCAGAGCAGCAGTTAAAGAAGAGGACAGCAGGATTTATATCTTATCATACAAGCCTGATTAGTTTGCCAAAAGAACACTGCATGTGTGTTCAACACACACACACACACACACACACACACACACACTTCAACAGAAGTACAGCACACACACACGCACACCCCAAAGTAAACATATATACTATATGAGCACCTACACACAAATACTACACACAAAACTAAATAAACAACCACAGTGTGCATACAGACAAACACACACAGCATGCTAAGTAAACATGTAGAGTATACATACAGACTGTCATACACACACTGACATAAACACACACTATACATACACACAACCAGAAAATACTACACACAGCAACACACAAGCCAACCATTTATCACTTCCTGTTCCACGTACACACATGCTGGCACACACACGCTGCACACACCATTTGTCTGGAAATGAGTGTGGAGCGGCTTTAGCTGTGGCCCATTTAGCCTGGCAGCTCATGTGTGGTTAACACAGACATTTATGCTAATGACCCTGCGTGTTTAAAAAAGGCAGCAGTAATGTAAAGGCTCGTTAAAGGCCAAAGCCTCGTTCAGTCCGCTCGTTTTTCAGCCGTTTTCTCCTTCAATTAAAGCGATGACATCATTAGTCAAACTGGGCCTCACCAAGACGACCAGACTGCTGCTTTTACATCCTGTAAAAAATATCACAACTCCACCACAAAATCTATCACCTCTTACATGCATTCTGGACTCATTTCCATAACATTCGAGTCTCAGCTGCATCGAAGACTCTCCTTATCATCTGAATAAAAATGTTTTCTGTGTTGCACTTTTGACCTTGTTTTCAAGTCCCATCTGACCTCCCCTGTCTCTCAGAAATCACGTTTGTGTATCCCTTTAATGCTTTCCTAAATCGATGGCCCATATATATATATTCTTTTTTGCAATTTGGTTTATGATTTGTTGTAAGCTTATAACCCTGTTAGTGTTGTTTTTACTGGAGGGTTACCTCTGGAATTTAATTTGTCATGTTAGACTTTCAAGCTGGAGTTTGCATACAACAAAACCACCTTGATGAAGATAAGAGAAAAATGGCGCTTCTGTTGAATGTAAACAATGTCAGATCACTGCTAACTTTTTATATCAAACTTAACAATAAAAGTATTTTAACACGCTAAAGTCACTATGTCTGACTCCCAAGGTCTTAAGGTGGAAGTCTTTGACCCTTTACCATCAAAGTGAGAGGGCAGTAAAGAGGCGTTCAGCAGCTGTGGTTCTCCTCTCTCAAACAGACTGCATGCAGACCTGACGACCATCACTTCTATTTCTGCTTTTTAAAACTGAACTGAAAACCTCTGTTTCCAAAAGCGCACGGGCAGTTTCTCTGTGAGTGTGTTAATATGAGGACTTATATGTGGTTGTTAGCAAGTATGATAGAGCTTTTCTGGGTTTCACTTTTTCTCATGCTTTTGATGTTTGATAGGTCTGCGGTGAATCTGATGGTTCTAGGCTGTGTGTTTGAATGATTTGGTTTGTATGCTATCCACAACTGTACGTTTTTAATGTATTTATCCTCAGCATAAAGCACATTGAGCTTAGCCTATTGCATTGTGCTTAAAAGTCACACTTCTGTTAGTAGACCCTGTATTACAAGGTCATCAGAAAATATTGCAGCAAATTCCACAAGCTACCATCAAAGTAAAATGTTCAATATTTACATTTTGTGGCTTCCTGGTTCTCTTCAGCATCAATTGGTAGAAAATTAAAAATTTTGCATTAATGTGAATTTTGCTGCCTTCCAACATATTAGCTGTAAATAAATGTATATACTAAGAGGCTGTGCTGCACTGACAAAGGTAGTATGAACTATCTTTCCTCATAAAAACAAGCCAACATTACTGCATTAAGGTGTCTGACATATAAATTATTGGTAAGAAGAAACTCCACAGCGCTGAAAAAAGTTTCTCATGTTTGATATGATTTAAAAAACTATTCAGGCAGAGGAGTTTGCAGCATTTTCATTGATGCTGATTAGTGTGGTTCAAACATACCGGGGCACTTTTGACGAATAAGTGTTAAAATTTAACACACTCTTGACAGTAGATAACTGATTCCATGTCCTCCTGCCTGTAAGAATTTTCTAGTGTTCTCATAGTAAGTGCCATTTCTTTCTGTTTGTTTAAAAACCATTAAAACTCACTGGAGTGTGATCAACTATCAGAAAACCTCTGACGCATCCATGTACTCAACTGTGGTCTAACTTAGTTTTACTTCTTTCTGACATTCAAGAAATAAAATGTGTCCCACCTGCTTGTGCATCTCGATGTTCAGCCCATATGACATTTCGTAGTACTGAAAAAAGACAGAGATCAAAGCAAGGTCAGACAGACGTGCAATCTCTGTTCCTCTTTTTGCACAAACCAAAACTGCAAACGCATTCATGCAAACACATACACACGCATATACACACTCACTCTCTGTCGTGGTTAATGAAACTCACCATTACATAGTGCCTCTGCATTTCAGTTTTCTCACTGGCCAGTTTCTCACACTCCAGTTTTAAACTGTGAACAGAAAATGTGATGTTAGTGCAAGACATGATCGAGTCCTTGCAGAAGCATCCTGCATATGTACACACACAACACACACACATAACAACTGGCATCATCTATGATTTCAATAAAAATGAAACCGAGACACCACTTGCTGAACACCATGACTGCAAATGACTACATCCTGTTATGTTAGATGTGCATATTTAAACTTGAGTGGAAGGAAGAAATAAAGACAGAACATAGAAAGTTTCTGGGGTCACAGCAGCTTCCCCTACAGACACTTACTCAGCAGGTACCGAGCTGTAATTAATGGATCAATAAGACCACACAAACCTCATCATATATTCTTACAGTGTGAGTGGATGCTCAAACTGCACCATCAACAAAAAAGAGACCATATCATGGGGATCCATTTTACAGCTGTGGTTACACTAAAACTTAACTCTTTAAAATACTGTGTGTTACTGGAAAGCTTCGACAGAACTCTTGGGCATTTGTACATTATCTGAGCAACTCTGCAAGTACACAACTTTGCAAATGGAGACGCTGTAAATACAAACCGAGGGGGAGATTTTGCATGGTACAGAAATGTCACTTTTAGAATTTGCAGTTGCGGCACTAAAAGATTAAAACACTAGAAATCCATCTGCAGGCCTATGTTATGCCACATAATGCTGCATTTTTACAACTTCAGGTTGTTTCAATCAACTAATAAAACTGGATATCCTCAAAAGTCAAATCACACTGTCCTCCAAAAGAAGCAAAGAGGTGAAATAGACAACAATGGAGAGGTGAGATTTGTCAGACACAGAGCTTTTTGTAATTGTTAGAATTTAAGCAAACATGACTGTAGAGTTGATCATTTTACATATTTAAATCCAATGCCTCCTGATTAATGTTAAAATAATAATATTTATGTTACACATGCAGTTTGTACATCCAGAGGTTATTAGCAAATCAGAGTCTTCTTGCAGCCAGGATTTCACAGGCGTGCAGCAATTTGATCACAGTATTGCACATGCATCAGACGCTATCCTCCATACAGCTCATTCAGATCCAGGTTTGGGCAGCAGACTGAGCTGCTGGTTCATCTCACCAGGTGATTGGGGAATAATTACAGGGCGGCCAGGGGTGGGCCCATTATTATGCATTGGTATCATGCTTATGGTTCTGCCCCCGAGCGATGTATTTCACACTTCATCATGTCGGCTAAAAAAGTATTTCACACCACTTGAGCTCGCAGAGAGAGACGTGCATACCAAAGTTGATGGGGTTTACCTGCAGTTAGGCACCAGAGATAGCGGGAGCTCAGACAAATACCTGCAGCTCTGTGAACGCTTTAAAGCAGATCATTTCACAGCATCTCCTGGTTGATATTTGGACACTTTTGAACCAACAATGTTTAAATTTCTCCATTAATTCTTAAACATACATCACCTTTTCCCTGGATTTCATCTCATTGCATCATGTATTTCCCAAAAGGTGCTGGTCATGGTGTGATTCAAACAAGGCAGGTGAACATCACAGAAGTAACCCTTTTGTGTGTATATATTTATATATTTAATATGAACTCCAGCTGCAACTGGGATATATTACTCCTAATATTTCCTTGCCTTATCACTGGTGTCATAAAACTGTGAAAAATTTCCATTACAAATGATAAATCAGTTCACGGTTTGCAGCTCTAATGTGAACCCTGAATATCTAAGAGTGGAATCTAAAAATCTCCCCACCCAAATGCAGAAGTTTCACCCTATTTTTGTCACTCTTCGCTGCTGAGCAGATGTTTCCATCCATTTTTAATGTCCTGCTCCATCCAAACTCTTACCTGTGATACTGCGCCTGCAGGAAGTGGAACTCCTCCTTTATCCGGTCGCAGGACTCGGAGACAGTGAACTTTAACGGCTGACCCGGCTGGTGGGGGACCTCAACCCAAACCAGAGAGCGTGTGTGAGGGGAGGAAGAGAGGAAGAACTGAGCCACCAAAGTTCACTGTCACGATACACACATTCTTTTTTTTTTTCATCACACACACAGGCGAGACTGTAAATGACAAAGGGCCTCTGTGATACGGACGGCCTTTTGGATGCACTCAGACTCCTTACACGTTAACCCACGCACACTCACAGACACACACACATGCAGCTGTAGCTGTGTGACAATGAGCGCAATTGTCCGAGAGAGCGCGCGGTGGCACGGAAACTTGATCTAAACTGATTACGCATCAGGCGCGCGGCTGTTAATCTGCGCTGTTTTGACACATTGGCTTTCTGCCGTCTACTTACCGGATGCCGGGCCGGCGGGTACATCTTACTCAGATCTCGGATCATTTGAAATGCGTTATAAAGTTCATCCAAATCAACACAAAACAACCTCAAAATGCGGGCAAAAGGAGTTCTCCTCGTGCGTAAAAGGTGAGTCAGTGGTCGGTTTGGAGGCTACGTGCAGGTGCCGTGAAGAGTGGAAACATCCCCGAACCTTTTGTTGGCCGTCATTCTTTCAGGCAGTATTTTTAAAGTCCATTCAGAGTGACAATAAAAGCGAGAGTTGTCTCAGTCTTCTCCAAATATCCGGCGCGTTAATTCAAGCGCTCACAGCCAAACATCCTCCCTTCAAACTAACAGCGTATCCTCTAATTAGTCTGCTTTTCCCCAAAAAACATCGACTTGTGGCGCATCATGACCCCTCTGCTCCGCGGCTGTGCTCCTCCACGTCGTCCTGTCGTCACGCATTTATCGCTTAATTTCCTACAGCTTCTGTTAATGTTCACATCTCCGCACAGCGCCGGCGGAGCGACCACCTCACTGACTGTATCATCCTGCCCATCCGAAGCCAAATTTAGAAGCAACCAGTCGCACGAGCGCAATTACATATTCACAACAATTACAGGAGCCCGTACCGTGACGTCGGGACGTGTAGTTTAATTCATATTAGTCGATAATAAGCACTACAGAAGTGCGTCCGCTGTAAAGAACTACAACTTCCCAGCTCCTCCGCGAAGACCCCCAAAGCCAATCCTGTGTGGTCTGAAGGAGGAGCGGCCATTAAAGACAGCCAATAGCGACAAACGAGTGTGCGTACTGCCCCCACGCTCCTGTCAATCATCAGTATGTTGACCAATCACCTCAAACAGGATGCAATCTATGCAGACTCCCCACGTGGGGGGCTCGGTCTGCTACCAGGAGAAGTCACAGAGATTAATCTGAAAACTATCTGCTGATTTATGTCTTTTTTTTTTCTGGGGACATCCCGGAAGAAAGAAGCGAACATATGGCCTTTAGGTGTCTCGTGTTTTTCCTGTTTTTTTTTTTAATTGAATTGCCAATTAAAACAATCTGCTGCTGTGTCCACAGATTGCACTCACAACCTCGTAATTAAATTCTCATTTTGAGCTCTCTTGCGTGATTGTGTAGGATGCATGTCATATAGGGGTAAGGAAAACATCGATGCAAACTTTAAATGAATTTCAGTTTAAATTACAGCAGCAAAGGTTTGTTTTATTAGGCCCCCTGCCAAGTAGACAAACCCACTTTATCCTATTTAGAGGATACGTGGGAACATGCAGCAGGTTTCTTTTTATTTCGTCCCCTTTACATCAATAACTTGTCTTTGTTTTGACTTATGCATCCACATTTTTGCATTAGTGAAAAAGTAGTTTAAAAAAATCAAAGTTTTACTCAAGTAAAAATAAGAAGTAAAAAAGGTAAAAGAAAAAAACTAACATTAAAAGGAAACAGAAACCGAATATATTTTGCCCAGGCTGGCCTATGCAGGAAAACATATGTATGCTATTTTACTAGGTTGTTTATCATAACTGCATTATTATTGATTATAATTGTAGCATGAAATAATTTGAAGCTGCTGCTGGTATGTCATGGCATATAAGTGCTGGGTAACTTGTAAATTAACACTGGGGATCAGGAGAGTCTCTGTTTATTTTAACCTAAAACAATACACTGTACTGATTATTTGGTGATTACATTCTGAGTCAATAATCACTGTAGGCATCGAATATAAGGGAGACCCAAAATCGCAACACTCCTCACTGAATTGTTGCTGAATCATGAAGAAAGTTATGCACAGGTACAGCAAAACTGCACTTTAGTGGAGTTTTAAATCAGAATACATTTGACGGTTATATAATGTAAAAGAGCCTTCAGATTTAAGTGGAACATTTATGTAGCTATATCACAATTTGTAACCTCGAAAAAATTGAAAGTCAACTTCATGATTAAACATCCTCACCCTTGCCAGTAAGCACCAGAATTACTCCCTCATCAACCAAGTTATCTATTTTTTTTTATTGTTGTAGGCCTGAAATGCAGATCATATGTCATGTAGAAGCACAAACACCCGCCGATGGTTGGCTCTGTGAATCTGGCAATGCGATAATGCTCTACTATCTGTATACAAACAAGCACAGCTGACAAACAACAACTTGGTAGTATTTTGGTTTATAAAAAGGAGAATGCTTGATTATTGTACTTGGAAATACTGCAATCATAAGTACTAATTACTGCAATTTAAAGCCAACCTAGTTTAAAGAAGCATGACTCAAAATAACTTAACATGATCTTTTATATTGTTGTCCACCCTGAATACACTTTACACTTCTGTATTTCTGCTTAAACTAAAATACGGCTGATGTTTATTAATGGCATCATCAGGCACACAGAGAGGTAAGGCAGAGCATGTCCACAACAAGGCAGCACATAAGTCCTGTCTGTACTGCTCAGTCCGTCTGTCTCTGTCTGTCCTGTTGTTTCTGCCTCTCCCTCATACATACACAGCACTGTGCACACATACACACGGCCTCAGCCATTCAAATACACATCTCTATCTACCACACATACAAACTAATATCTCAGGTAAGCACAGGGCCTAAAGTGACCTGCTGTCGTGGTGCGTGAATCCACTAAGGCTCAGAAAAGGTAATATCATGCCCTCCCTCTTTCCCCTCCAAGGGTTGAGCCGTGATGTGGGCGAGCATGGAGGGGGTGCAGAAATGAGGGAGGGGGGCAGGTGAAGAGGAATAAACAGATTTATTTGCCTGCGCCCCACTCTGATTATTTTGCCCCTGCCTTTTGTTCCAGACCTTATGAAACCCAAATGTCAAGTGAGGCGAGGGCCTCATATCGAGCCCTGTCAATCACATCCCTCCACGCACCTGAAGCCCTGACGCCGGATTATTGGCTTCAACACAAGGGCTGCCTTTGCCGCCAGCCACGACGCCTCAGACCAGTCGACAGCCAAGTTTTTTTTTTTTCTAAAGAGGAACTTCATTTGGCAGCTGATGCGCGGGAGATTGCATAGGAGCCGATTTTGAGGGAGGCAAGCTGGATTCGTGTGCTTGTGTATGGGGGGCCAAGTGGTTTATCGAGGAAGGGGGATTAAGATGGTGTGAGGAAGGCTTGACTGAGGTGGAGGTGGAGAGTGGGGAGCAGTTGAAAAACCCAGCCTTAACATCTTGCTCTGTGCACTGATCCCGACCGGCTATCAGCACCTGTACATATGTCTCTTCATCTCACTGCAGCTCTCTCTGTTCAGTCCTCCATCCTTTCTGCTCTCACTCCCCTTTCACACACACACAGACACACACAGACACACACAACTTCCTACATTATCCACTGATCTTTAATGTTATACGCCCCCACAATAACTAACTTTAACATCCATGCACTTACACACACGCAATGCATAACGTGAACGTTTGAGTCAGATTTTAGAACAATTCACTGCAGATTTAACGCTGAACTCTTGGAACTGTACTGCACTCAAAATGTCCAGTTTCTGTTTGAAAGAGGATGAACACATAAATGCTTTTAAATCGTAGCAACAATTTGAGTAATATGATAATAATCTCTCTTTTTTGTTAAAAATTGGCAACTATTGTACCCATAATGCAACAAAATGATTCAAGTGTTGTGTTCTGCAAGCAACAGCCAATGCAACCTTAACTCTGATGACACGAATACTCATCCTGCAAAAGTCCAAACTTTGAGTTATGGTAACTACATTACCAATGATGCAAAGAGTATGAGTATATCATGTAACCGAAAGCTGCTAGTCCAGGTGTGGAGATACTACCACTGATGAATGATCCACTCCAGGATCAAGAGGAGTGGGCGAGTTATAATGTTAACTGGTTTATTATTATGAGGACATCATGGTCTTCATGTTGCTCTTGGCTTCTTCTGTTTCCCATAGGTTAGCAAAGCTACAGCGGTATATTTACTATAAGACAAGCACAGTGCTATTGTCCTTTCACTGCCACACCATCCTCTGGCTTTATAGGATAATAATATAACACCTGTCTGTCATTGTGTGTGTGTGCATGTGTTGTGCGTGCGAGTGGTCGTGCACTTTGGGGTACACTGTCCAACTAATCATACTTCAGTGAGCACTAACCACTGGTCCGTGTTCCTAAATCTCCTGTCCTTACAGCAAGCAGCATCTAAATCCCCCATGCTCGCCCCTTTAACACATCATTAATCCCTGGCGGCCTCCCCTTTGAACAGGGAGCTTGTGTGAAGGGATAACCAGGCCTCCTCAGACACAGAGACAGAGAGGCAGAGGCAGTGCTGGATTTACCCCGCTACCAGCAGGTTAATCCTGCCTCCACACTGAGTGAGCGAGAGGAGGTGGTGTGTGTATCTTTGTGTGCGTGTGTGAGAGAGAGAGAAAGAGGGTGTCTTTATTGGAGACAGTTAAGGATCGGCTCCATCACGGTAACGACTCTGGGGGAACATCAGCATCTGGTGCTCAAAGTCATCCAGTCCCCCAAAAGGAACACACAGATTGCTGCCATTTCTTTATTAGATTACAAATGGATGGATGCAAGTGTTTGTACGGAGAGATACCGAAATAGCACAGAGCGACCAGATGACAAACAGGCTGAGACGTTGAAAGCAGAAAAAAGGAGGAGACAGTCCCAGATGAGGAACAATTAATTATTAGGGGAGTGATGACACCAAGAAGGGCTACAAAAAAAAGAAAAAAGAAATCCTGAGGGATGCAGCGAGCTGATCAGAGCTACAACATCCCAGAACCTACAACTATGATGCCACAGGAGATGGTGTCATTGGTCACAGTAAACTGTTAGTCTCTGGTGTGTATAAACTAAATATTATGGGTGGGAATCAAAATGAGAGAATATTCAATCCATGGCCACATTAATGATGATAAGGCAACCATATAATGAATGATACATCGTGTCACAAGTGCCACTAGGAGACAGGGGGTACCGACAGGAAATTTGATTTTTACTGTGAGTTTGAATATTATTTGGTGCCAACAAGATACACTTTTGCATCAATCAGGACAACACTGTAGGTCCTGACCCTGTGTTTATATTTTTCTTTGATGTTATCAGGCAATTAAACAGCTCCTCATCAGCTGCCATGACCTTTAAAATGTCCCAGACAGGCTCAACACCAGTAAAGGCCAGAGGGTGCATAAGCCTGTGTGATAATGAACATTTCAGAACCAAAAACAAACTGTAAAATGCTGAAAAGAAATCACCTGAAGGGGCATCACCAAACTAATAACCCATTACATTCATTTGCAACAGATTAACTATGTGACGGGGTACAAAAAGAGCACTCCAGGAAGGCTGAGTCTTAAATTTGACATTCTTTTTGGAAATCATGGAAACTCTGATCTTTAAAGGTTTTGGAGCAACATATGCTGCCATTCAGACAGAAGCTTTTACAGGGAGACTTTGCATATTTTGGCAAGACAATTACAACATGTGTTGTATAGATCTGTAGTAGAAGAGTCTGGGTGCTGAACTGGCCTGTTTGTAGTGCCAACTGGTCACCTATTAAAAGCATTTGGCAAGAGGATCTGCAATTGTTGAGAATCAAATTTCAGGCAAGAATGGAACAACGTTTCGCTTTAAAGCACCAAAAACTGGTTAGGTCCACAAAAACCATATAGTATCATTTAAAACATGTCAATACATCTCAACAAAAAGAAAGTAAATTCCTCTTTGTGTGTCAAACTGTAACTTTGAAGTTGGCCTCATGTTGGTCAGAAACCACAATCTTCCTAATGAAAGTTCTGGGTTTTTATGACATATTGTATCATATTTGTATGACAATCTTTGCCATCACTGTTTTATTATCAATATTATGATTATTATTATGATGCATTATTACACATTATGTGCCAAAGTGAAATGTCAGTTCTTACACAGATAGAATTGTTGATAAATAGACAGATAAATACATTATTAAAAAGCTTCTTGAACTTGTAAATTCAAGCTTAGTGTAGCTCATAAGGTACATGTTATCTGACACAAACGAATAAAGCCTGCCTCCATGTTTGCAAGATAACCTGTGCAAGATTACATTAACGCCCATTGCAGACATTATTGATGGATGCAGTGGGTTTATGCCTGTAATAGCACAAATACATCGACAAAGGCTTATACTCCACCTAAACTCCCCAGAGTTTGCCCTGTAATCTTCACAATAATTCACAAAATAGCGTGTGCGTAGCCCCACTGTAAGTCAATATTGTTCAGTTGAGTGTATTGCATTCATGAGACAACAATAGGGCTGCTAACTTCCCTTTTCAGGATAAAATGGCCTTTGTCTTGTGTGCAGAGCTGTCTGGGATAGGCGGTTGGACTTTTAACATTCTGTCTCCTCCTCAGTCTAAAAGACTAATCAGCCACTCGGCGGGGCTCTGGCTGCTAACCAGGACTAATTCTGCCTCCTGCTGGCTGGCGACACACACTGGGACAGCCATGATTGGCTGTTTAGCGCCGGGGGGTACACCTCTGATTGTCTGCTTAGCATATTTTCTCCCCTCAAACTGATGGCACACACTCACTCTTATCTTCATTGCAACGGCACAATGCAGGGGGAAGTTATAGATGTGCATCCGTGTGTGTGTGTGTGTGTGTGTGTGTGTGTGTGTGTGTGTGTGTGTGTGTGTTGCATCCAATGCCACAAAAGTGTGTGTTTGGACAAACACAAAAATTGATATTCATCACTGGGTTGAGACCTCCCCTCCTCCTCTCTCCTGTCTCCTTTATTGTTCCCCGGTCCTCTTTTTTTTGGTCTTCTTTTCCACTGCGGCACAGATCAGATAGAATGTCACCTCTACAAACTGCCGCGAGCTAATTAGCTGTTAGCCATGTTTGTGTTCTTGACTGATGACAGGATCATTTACTCTGGTCTCCAGCTGGCTCTGTTTGTCGGAGCCATCTCATTAGCATGGCAAATTAGTCCCACTCAGTCAGGGTTCTGCCTCGCCCAATGAGAAGTGATTGGAATGCAAATCAATCAAGAGGGCGGGACATGGAAATCATAAAAACTGGTGAAGAGACCAGGATAAGAATATTGTGAAAACCTTTGCGGTGAAAGTAATTAGAAAGTCACATCGGCTTGTTAGCAGGAAAAGTAAGAAAGGTTAAGATGGGGCGAGTTGGAGGGAGTTGGTTTGGAGCAGTTAGCTTTTATCAGCTGCCTTCACATGAGAGGAAAAGATTCAAGAGTGGTGCCTTGTGCCGTTGAGACAGATTTTGTTTTCCAAGAAAATCAACTTTTACAGTATTAACATAGTTCTAATTGTATTTATCATCCCTCTAAAGGTCAGCCTTATTAGGAACTCTTAAAGCCCAGATTTAATCAACAGCAGTGATTCGCTAAGCAGAGACCAGAACAAGCGGGGCTGGAGTATTTTTAAATAAAAATAAAGATTCAATCCAAGGAAGGATGTGTCAATAAATCCATGAACAAACAAGATTTAGTATGTTAACAAGCAGCTTTGTCTGGCTGAGGAACCTTGTTTGTCGGCTTTGCTTTTTACTTCTGCTAAGTAAGCTTTTCAAACATTCCTTGTGTGAAACAATCTCATCGTTTTATAATTCTGTCATCAGATTTGTCTCCCAATCAGCAGGAAGTTAGGGATCAAAACTCAGGGGCCGCTTTCACAACGAGACGCAGCATTTTCTCTGCAATCAGTAGGTGCATTATCCTTCCCCTGCTGGACCGCTGGGGTTTGCCGTTTAAGTTAAGTGGAGGAAAGTTTGCAAAAAGCACATGTAGGCACCGGCTTGGTATAGATTTATGTTTTTTAGTCCAGCAAAGAACAACAGATGACAAAGCCACTTGGGTTTTGAAGGTACATTTATGTTGTTAGAGGAGCAGGAGGTCTCTGTCTCCCTCTCTGTCTGCTCTGTGTGTTTTACTCCTTCGAGTCAATCTCTGTGAAGCTGCCGCTATCTCCAGTTTCATTTGTCGACAGGTCTGGCAGCAGGAAAGGAGAGGAGGGGAAGGGGGGTGAGTTGGACAGAGGAGGGGAAGAGGAGGAGGAGGAGGAGGGGAACAGTAATGTAGGAAAATTGGAGGATTAGACGGCGAGCCCTCTTCCTGTCTGCTGCAACCCCTCCCCTCCTCATCGTCCTCCTTCTCATGCCTCCATCCAGCCCTCAGACTATAATAACACAGCCTGACATACTGACGACCCTCCTCCTCATCCCTAACAGATCTGTCATCCCTCCTCTTTCTTCCTGGTTTCGTTTCGTTTCCTTCTCTCTTCAAAACCTGGGCTTTCACCCACTTACTTTGTCTTTTTCAGTTAAAAGCAGGATTACACTCTTATTTGCGTCTGCGTTATCTTCCTTGCTGTCTCCCTCATCTAGCCAGATCACCTGCTGTCACAATCAGCGCCTCTAATCTGTATCGAGACCTGTGTGTGCTATAAGTGATGTGTAGGATCTCTACATCCAAGTTAAAAGCAGGTTTTCGATGTCAGGGTGTTCTTGCATGCAAGTAACAGAGCGTATTGATGTGGAACTGGCACGACATGAGGCTGAAAGGTTGTAGGAGTGGTGTAGAGGAGGGGGAGTGAGCTATGAGCCAGAGTTTCATAGCGTACATCGAGGGGTCTGAAAGGGCCTAAATGGATCCACAATTGGACTCTCCAAGGTCGTCATCAGCCCAGATTTGAGGCCATTAGGGCTTATTTAAAAGAATTACTTCCAGGATGCAATCAAAAACCTTGATAGGTAATCAATGACAACTAGATCAGAGCACAAAGGCAGTCCATGTGTCTCAATCAGCCACCATTCAGCAGGACAAGGAGATCAGTACTGGCCAGAACCTGCAGTCACTACTTGCATACTGTAGTGCATGCATTCACACAAATACCTGTGACACATGCATGCACACAAATACACACTAGCTGAAAAAGTTTCAAATCACCGTGGCGATTCAGTGCATTGAAATGAAGTCAAAACACTAATGCATAGATGTGACAAATCTGTAGAGGGCCACGTTCCCCCTGACCTGCTCCAAGACAGTGATTTATCAGGAGGCAGGAGTGTTAAAAGACGGATTGCACAACACTAAGGAGAGAGGTGGAGGTCGGGATGGAGGGAGAACAAGAGAAAGAGGAGGTGTAAGGATAAGAAGGGGGAGTGAGAGCGGAACAGGTAAGAGGTTGTGAACAGACAGGTTGATTTATAAGACCTTTCAGTTAACTGAGCCCTCTACTGTACAGCACACACATGCATACACACACACACACACACACACCTGCAGCATCCACTGAGAGTGATGAGCGGGGAGAGCTTGGTAATGCTGCTCAATGATGCGTGTGGCGTTTAGTTCAGTCTGAGTGAACCCGCTTCTACAGTGGTGCAGGCTCACAATATGCCCCAGCAGGTGGACAAAGAGAGAGAGAGGCAGAGGGAGAGCGAGAGGAGAGAAAAAAGAAAAAAGAAGGGGGTGGGGGGTGAGATCCAAGGCCACAAATTGGGTCAATATGCTCGGTTCATAAACAGAGAGGAACCCTCAAAGCAGCCCGGCACACTGAGGGGGCAAAAATTAGCACCCACATCCGAGCTGGAGGGACTTCAGGGTGCACGCAAACATGCACACGTACATATGCAAACAGAAACAGACGCTCAAGAATGTGCAATAACTCGATTTATTGGGTTGTATACACCAGCGCATATAAATGCAGAAACACATACACCAATAGGAACAATAATAGCCCTGACATGATAAAACACCATCAAGAAGGGGATATGAAACACAGCGCGCTCCCTGCAATAAGATTACCGGCTATCAGCCCTCAGTAGATTTGCCAGCGGGAGTCCCCAGTATAATAAAATCAGATTAAAGGACAATCATATTTATTTCTAGTATATACAATATATCAAGGTTGCTCAGCAGCTCTTATTGTGATAGGCTGTGAAAAGGCGAGGCCTCTGTGTACTCTCCTTCTTCTAAGTTGACGTTAGGCTGTGTTTAATGAGCTCCAGGTGTCAAGGAGTCGGGGATGTAACAGGATATGTTGGCGAGGCTTATTGATTTATTGTTTTTCAAAGAAGTTTTTGTACTTTTGTTATTGCCTGGCTGTCACCCGTAATGTCATTTCAGAATCATTTCGGGTGAATAAAAGTTGAGGGACGGTGTGTAAATGTGAGCGTGTGATTGCTCTGCAGTGGGGTAAAATATTAGAAAATAAGATGACTTGGAGAGGTTAATATGACTTGTGACATATAAACACATCTCCTGCTCTGGGGGTAGGACAATATATGTCAGTGAATGTGCAGTGATTTCAATTTAGATGTCTTCAGAGTAGAGTTAATGAAGTAAAGAAGAGGAAGAAATGTAAATAGCTTGTCTTAATTGCTTATCACTCCCTTTGAAAGTACAACCATCGCAACAAGAAACACCCATTCGGTCCATGAGCACATTGACATATCACACTATAAAACACTACAATAAGGAATGAAAAGGTCACGTCTATCAAACAATGCTGATTTAGTAACCTCGATTATTTTCCTGTGGTATTATTTAGTATACTTCAAGTATTAAGTGTACTAGTAAAAATGTTTTAGGCTCAGGGGCTCTTCACTAGGTTGTCAAATAGACTGTGTAGTTGACCTTCCTCTACTATAATGAAAACTTGGAGGGGTACCCAACAAAAGTTTGCCGGGGGGATCCAACATTCAAACCCAAGAGCTTATTTTGATTTAAACAAGCTCTTACTGAGAAACCACACAATACAACATGATACAAAACAATTCAAGGAGCTAATTTAGCTGAAAATTGTTTTGATTGAAAACACACCAAGTTTAGTAACAGCCATCTTGTAAATGTTTTTTTAAATAAATGCATGACAAATATTCAATTTTTTGAAGATCCTTGAATAAGAATGGGCACAATGACTATCTTTTGCAGTTTCCATCATCAGTTCCTATAATCACTTCACTCATTTTTCCTGTGTCTTTACTCAATATCAGCAAATGTGAGGTTTTTGCCTCACAGTGACTGCTGTTAAGATTTTCTTTTTTAACAGAATGATATAAATAACACAGGGGAAAAAATCCACAAAGCTGAACAACAAGTCAGTAACACGCCATTGAACAAAGTGGAGCAAACTGCAACTCCAGTGTCAGATAAACCTATCATAGACTGATGGACATTAAAAAGAAAAAATGATTTCACACGTGAAATGCTGTTCTGCAACTGCTTGATGTGTAAATTGTTGCAATCAAGGTTGTCACATGAGCTCAAAAGGAGATGGTTTGCCACTATGAGTACACCTTGTTTCTTTTTAAAGTAAAAAAAGAAAAAGACATCAATTATCTTGAGGTGCATTATTGGTATTATCTATTGGTATTATTTTGTCCAAATATCATTTCCACACTTACAAATCAGAGACATATCTCAATACAAGTATTACTGGAAGGGTCTATGAATAAAAGATGCAAGGACACGTACTTTCTTCAGGTAATATGTTTGGATCTAATAGGTGGGAGTTTGCAGTATCTTGTGCATCTCTGTCTGTTTACCTTAAGTGTTGTGTTTGAGTTATTAAGTCTTCTTTTAGCTCCTATTCCAGTTTGAAAAAGTGCATTTTCAGATCTGAAGATATTTCGCATTAAGATACTATTGATGTTTATTCCTTTATTCATGGTTTAATATTTATCCTTTCAATTTTTATATCTTCAATAAAAATGTCTTCTCAAAAAGAAAAATAGGTAGCAGGCTTTATAGGCGGCATTCACTACTTTCATTTTGCACCGCGGGCTCTGCACTGAAGCTTCGTCATCAGTTGTTAGCTGTTTAAAGCTCTTTTCCCTTCATACTTCTGCCTCCACTGGATAGATGCTCTGTGCTCGCTGTCCCCAGCCAGCTTGTGCTTATGCAACCAGATGTTTGCCTGCACTGCTTGTCCTGTCCAGAGGAAGCAACTGTCTAAACAGTACCTGCACCACTGGATCATAGAGGCTGTTATCCGAGCCTGATAATACAAAGAAGGTGAGAAGCCCAAATAGATTTGATTGATTCCACCAGAGGGAGAGCTGCTACTACTTGTGCTGTGTTTAAGCTTGTTAAAAGAAGTTATCTATGCAGTATCCTGCAACATGTCAAACTGTACTGTCTGGATAGAGAATAGTGTGCCAGTACATGCACAGTCTCCAGGGCTGTTGATCACTTTGTTTTTAAGCTGGGAATACACAACTGAACTAATAAATAATTCAACGAAATGCAAGATCGAGAGATAGAGTCCTGCACATTCAGAATACAAGTTAGATCCTCAGACAATTTTTTTAATGGCAGCATACATCAAACTTAAATCTCTCTTGTATATTCCAAGCAGAAATATCAAAATTAGTTCATTTCTCTTTTTGTTCCCTTGAGAAAAACACAAACAACTGTGTGAACCAAAACAAAATCACACACTGTATGAGCACCAGATCAAGCTGGTCACAACTCAATCATCCAAAAAAGATCAGGACCCTGCTGACTTTTGTGGAGAGATTGTGGAGAGGGAGGAATTATACCAAAAACCTGCTTCATTATCTTATAATGTGCACTGGATAACACTACTAGAAACTCCTGCCATTACACACAGCCCATCATTTGATCTAAAACATTGATCCCTGCCGCTTTAAACTGTGGTTGTAGGTTGATGTAAAAAAAGGTGCATCTTAAATATTCAGGTTATTTACGAGTATGAAGATATTTCATATGTTCTTGCTAAGCGAAGTGCCTGAATTCCATTTACAAACATTTTATTCAACACCAATATGCAAGCTCGGTCCAACCCTACATTTATATTTAAAGTCCACCTTTTTAAGCTCAGGGAAATTACAGGTAATCATTCTCAAACAACAGCCTCAAATAAAGAAGAGGCTCAGACTTTTCAGTGGTCCAGTCGCCCACACGCCTCCATGTCCCTTTCCTCAGCCTAAATGCCACACAATTATGACTGACTCTAGGTCTGGCAGGCCAAGATGGCTGGGGGTTGTTGAGAAGCGAGATTGCATAAAGCGTGTGTGTGTTTGTGCATGTGTACATTGTGTGAACAGAGAAGTCATCTTATTTACCCACCTTGGTGTTAGGGGTGGCCATCGCCCGCCCAGCTAAATGCCATGCAAATGCTGCCGCTGCCGTCAAGCTGCCAATCATGCTGGTGTTGGCATTCACGGCATGCCGCCGGAGCATTTACAGCGTCTGTGATCTTTACTAAATGAGAAATAACCCTAGCCTGTCCAAGCCGGCCGCGACGTTTAAACAACGCCATCCCCAAATTCCCATTGGAAAAATGCTGTGATGTGAAGACATTGCATTGTGTCAGAGGAATGATAAAGAAAACAAAGGGGGGTGGAGGGGAGGTGGGTGGATGTGTGGGTGGTAAGGGAGGTGTTTTACTCCCACAGTACAGCCTCATTATGATGATGTGATTTGCTGGAATGGCAGCAGTGGCTCTCGTCACTAATACCAGCTCCCCAGAGCCACGAAACAGCGCTTTATTAAACTTTATGAAAGGCTTAGCTGTCCAATTTATGAGCCTGCCTGCTGAGGACATGAGCGTGCAGAGACAGGGGAAACACTGCAGCTCTACATCAGATGAGATTACACAGAACAAAAAGTTTTACCCCTGACAGCACTTTTTCTCTCCAATAATTCAGAAATGCAAACACCAGACATTGTGTTAAATTGTCCCTACAAGAAGAGAAGGAATTGGATCAGGTCACCGACAAAAGGGCGTTGTAATCCTCATACAACCACTGAAATAATCAAAATTATAGCTTTCAAGGTACAATATTAAATTTCAGAATTTTAATATCCATAAATATCTCAACTTGGATTAATTATCTTTGATCTTTTAAACATGTTTGCTGTAGGATGCCAGGGTAACAATTCATTTCATCTGGTCTCCTGTCTTCAAGGAGTAAAGCAGGGAAAAACAGGTTGTAAATCCAAGAGATGGGAAGGCTCTTGAATTACTAGTTCCTGCTTTAGTTGGACAGATGCTGTCTACTGTGTTTAACAAAATTAAAGGGATATTCCGTTGTAAAATTAATCTAGAATCAAACATACCATAACACCGAGTTAGACACCCCCTCAAGATGAATGTCGCCGACTGCTTGCTTCTCTAGTTATACCAACTTTAGTAACAACCGCACGATAGTAATACATGGTGGTCTAAGGAGCCATAAACAAACATCAACCAAAAAGCCACTCTATAGCCACAAATAATGCTCAGAACAGCACCTAACTTCATCAACAGTACATATAGGGTCCCAGCCATAGTACTAGCCACCAAACATCTTTTTAACTTTGCCTGATTTCTTTAGCAAAGAGACTAAACACAACTCACCTACTCTCTTTCAGCAGCCGCTTGTTTGTAGCAAGTACTCGGGCTAGTCCATGACGGACTGCAGCAGGGGGACGCAGCTCAAGGAAGAGCATTTATGATCATTTCTTAATCATTTTCTTGAAGTAATAATCACCATATTAATTATTTTGCACTGCAGACTCGGTACTTCTTCTGCCTTAGCATCTCAGTCTGATTGCATTTCCACGTGTGTTTGACCCTTAATTTATTTTACACCAGAATATTCCTTAAAGAAGAAACTAAGAAATACATTGTTTAAATGTAAACACATGGGTACCAATTAAGAGCCCTGAGGAGCCTCATATTTTAGCTGTTAGGGGCAATTCTGTGCGGAGTGACTGTGACTTCGAGGCAGGGATGGTTCTCTCATCAAAGGTTAGTGGTTTCAACAATAATCCCAAGGTCAACATACCAAAGTCTTCTTCTTGGCCAAGACACTGAACTCCAATTTGCTCCTAGTGACGCAGCCATTAGTGTGTAAATGCGTGTGAATGGGATTACTAAATACTGATGGGATGAAAAGGAAATTGGGACGTGTTGTGTACAAGCAGTCTAGGTGATCAGAGGAATAGAGGAACAGCTGTATGAGTACAATTCAATTACTATTGCCACAATTATTTATAAAATGGCAAAACACTGGCCATGAAGGACTGGTGGGTTGCTAGTTTACTGTACTAATGATGCATTTGACTTCCTCTGTTACTCTCCACAGATTACTAATTCCATTCAATATACACATCCTTAATATCCACTGAGCTGTGCGCAGGTTGTTCAACCCACTCCATAGAAAAAACAGCCTCATTACCTCTTGTGTCTTGACTGACATTCAGTTATCACACACTAACAGACACACTCAGTTACACTCCTGCATAAAAGATTCACTAAAGAGTTTATTTTGGCAAAAAGACAGCCACGCAAACACACACACAGGTACACACACACGCACATACACAAATGCGTGCACGCTCATGTGCACACACTAACATGTGAACGCAGATCCTCAGGAAGCAATTAGTCCTGCCCCAAAAGAGCTCCCTTCCTCATTTCACTTACCTAAAAGTACAAATTAAATTTGTCTTACTGCACTGACAGTGGTCTCTCATCATCATGAGCATGTCAGCGTGGCAGGCAGAGAGAAAAAAACAGGTGTGCTCTCACTCAGCAGGGGGTTTTATTTCCTGCTGTGGAAAGTAGAACACAAGATAAGAGCTGCAGAGTTTTAGTTTGGTTTTGTAATGAGAGAAGAAAAAAATCGTCAGACGATGGTACTTTCTTTTGAGTGATGGAATGGGTTTAAAAAAATAATTTGAGTGGCTGTGGACAACATTACTGTTCATTATTCACTATTGTAGTTAGACAGAATCTCAGCTAATGTAATACATTTTGGTGGATATGTTATCACATATTAAGTTAAATTCTATTCTTAGGATATTTAATATGTTGTTTTAATAACAATATAGCATCTTTACTGTTGTCTTTCAGTACCTGATCAATTGGGAAGTGGTGAGATGGATTTATAACATTCACTATCCTTAGATAACATGCTGCAGGAATAGCAATTTAGCCTCTTAGTATAGATGTATAAAGTCAGAGGAAAACAGCTGTCACCTAAATTCAGTAAACAGCCTTCCCTATATCTTCATTTTGTTTTACTTTCAAGCCTGCGGTTATGTTTTAAGGTGTTCCTGAACAATTGTGAAATGATGAGTGGGGTTGATCCAGAGACTGTGCCTCTCAGCCATTTGGTATTAAAGATGAACCTCAATTCATCTTCTCATTTATTCTTCTCTGTTTGGCAACAAAGTTTCAGGCGTGTATTTATCACTGCTTGTAATTTTAGGATGATAGTCTCTAGACAAAGTGTGTGCAACTCAGCAGTAGTGTGTTGTATCTAAAAGCTAAAAAGAGGCATTTTCAACAGTCACTTGTGAGTTAATTTGTAGCGTGCTAAAAAATAATCCCAAAAATTTACAAAGCAGCTCTACAGAACACTAATGGTAGTGATTGCATAAACTGTATCTCTAATATCATCTCCAGCATTTCCTTGCAACAGGTCACCACATGTGAACTCCTCTTTGGACCGGGGACAGTCCTTGTCAGTCGATTGTTAAAGTGACTTTTTTTCGACATTTTAGGACATCTCACATTGAGCATGCAAGCATCAACAGTGACACCCTTTTTTTCAGAGTGCAAATTACTCTCCAGCTAACAACTTAAAAGCCACTTTGAGATTTACCCTTGTCCACTTTACCTCTTTTTATGTCGTTGTTTGTCGACATTCTCCTAAATTTCTTTGCAACTTCCAAGAAGTTTGTATTTAGAGTACTTGACTAAGAGCAGAAGCAGCAGGGGAGAGTTTTTCTTTCTGCAAGAAAGCTGGGATGTATTGAATTCAATACTTCTAGTGAAAATTCTAACATCTTGATCCACACTACATAGTTCACGAACAGGAGATGGGGGCACTGATATAAAACTCTTGATTTTACAGTAAGATTTAGAGGCTTTTATTCTAAATGGAAAAAATACTTGAATAATGTGCTTGAACCAGGTGTGCATTTGCATAATAAAGCTTGAGTGTTTTGTTTAACAGCAATAAAACCGGGCCTTAGGAATCTGTGTAGCAATTCAGTGGTCAGAATAAAATAAACGTTACCTGGGTTAGTTTACCCGATTATTCACAGTAGCTTGCAAATTTAGCCAGTGACTCAGCAAAAAAAGAAAAGAAAAAAAGAAAAGATGTGCATGCCATGACTTTACCACATGAATAGGTTAAGCCCACTTGTACCAAGGGTGCTGAATGAATGAGTGTTATCGTTGGCAAAACTTAACACTCAATTCAATGGCACTCTGCTTCTAATGAATGACAAGGCTAATTGCAGGAACGGCTTGTTGCTCTCTGGTTTAGATAAATACTCAGACAAGTGAAGTGCTTTAATTATCCCCCATGTGTTTGTGCCTGAGCGCTGTCGCCACCGCTTCACTCGAGAAGCCTGCCGAATGAGACAAGCTAATTAAGAGTGATTTCCCCGCTCCCCACTCATTAATAACACAACAGCAATTAAGAGGAGCTAGCGGAACATGGTGCATTTGGTGCTAACAAGATTAGCCTCATGGAGCAATGAGTTTACGAGAGACAGAGACACACGCACACACACACTCACAAAGCTGGGAAGATTCAATTAAGAGGGGAAGATATTAGAAGGTGTTGGCAGGAAGGAGAAAGAAAATGTGGAAATGCAAAAATAAGGGTGTGGGGGGTGGGGGTAGGACTGAAAAAGGAGGGAAGGAAACTGCATGACAGCGGAAAGAAAGGGAGTACATGGAAGGTGCTGAGAGGAGAACCAGCATACTTTGGATTAAAGCAGGTTTTTTTGTTCATTTTTTTCCTGCATGAATCACCAGAGTGGCCTTAAAATGAACTGTTGCTTAAAGGACATTTAGTTTCATGAGCCCCTTGAAATATAACAGATGCAAGGAAGAGACTGTGCGCCCAAGCAAGACAGCATTTAATCACTAGCAATAAATGAGCCTGTGTGTGAGAGAATAAAAACATCCAGAGTTAAAAATGTAGTAGGTTATGTTTAATGGCACCAGTTTATTACTTGTACTCTTACTATGATAAATGTAATGTGTAGATGGAAAAGATGACCCCTACAATTTGTCACATACTGTGGATGAAGAAAAAAGAGGCTGTCTGCAGTGTTTAAGGGTTACAGTGCTTAAGTGGAGAACAAGACAAGCTGAATTAGTGTTATATGTTACATGGACTTTGAGGGCAGCTGCCAACAACAAAACGACCACTTTAGGGACTGGCATGTGCACATTAGTGGACAATACAGAGCCGAAATGTTGTCCTCAAGAGTCGGTGGAGACCAGAAAAAAAGGCTCATTCAGAGAGTGAATATGGACAACCATTTACCAGGTGAAGGATGCAGCCAGCTGCGTCACGAAGGTAATGGCACACATACTTGACCATGCACTATGTGTTTGTCTATGAACAAATTGCATCTAGAAGAATCGCCAGGTGTAAACC